CTAGGCAGCAGCTGTGTTGCCCTTCAACTGGGGCTTTGTTTGGTCAGCTCCTCCCCCAGCAAGGTGGGACAATTCAGTTTTGAATGCTGCCCTTTGTCCAGAGATCTGCTCTAGGATCCATCACCTTCCCTGCTTTGGGAGGTTGGCCTGTCATCCTATCCCTGCTCTAAGCCTTTGTGTTTTTCCAGATCTCTGCTGAGTGCTAGTGGCTCCTTTGGGAGATTGGCTTGTCACCCCACTCCTGTTCTCAGCCTTTATGTCTCTCCCCATCTCTGCTGGGTGTGAGCAGTTCCTCTGGGAGGTTGGCTTGTTGCCCTGCTCTCACTCTCAGCCTTTGCTGTTTTACCTGTGTTAGATTGCTGAGTTCCACACTAACAGTTTGGCTCCTTGCCTTACCACCATTCTCCAGGGCAGGCTCAGCGTTCCACCCCTACCTCTGCTGTTGGTGTTAGATTACAGTTTACTGTTTTTCAGTTTTGCTTGTGGGGGGAGTCCATCTGCCCCGGGGGCTGAGCTAGATTATTTACCCAGGGGGGTGCATAGGAGTGTTGCACATGGTGTGTGATGCTCACCTGTCTGTTCTGTAGTTTCATGCAAGCAGCTTTGGAGCCAGCTGGCAGGGAAAAATGTCCTGCTTTTTTTCAGTTCAGTGCAGCATAGGGAAGCTTTCCATGGACTAGGGGTCCAGGATGCTGCAGAGTTTGATTCTGATTGATGCTCTGTCTTCTGCTTGTTGGAAGAAGGAAAAAAGAGAGAGAGAGAGAGAGAGAGAGAGAGAGAAATGGGCAGGGCTCTTTTTCCCCAGGGCCGGAGGCCAGACACGCCTTGCTGGCTGTGCTGTGTGGAATTTTCGGAACTATTAGGTAGGATTAAAGGCTAATTTAAGGGTCAGTCTTTGATTTTATCTGCACCTAATGTTATGACGGTTATTATTTTGACTAAGAGCAATCACAAGTACCAAAGTGTAGCTCCAACATCTCAAGGACATTTCTGAGGTCATGGAGTTAGGATTACTGATTCCCCACCCTAGCCACAATTTTGGATCTCCCTTTTATTCCTTATTTTCTGTGTATCTACTATATTGATGTTGTTGTATATGGTTACTATGGTGCATTTTGCAAACATTTTATGATAATAGCAGTTTTTTAAACTAATAACTTCAAACACATAAAGGTACTTTATACTTTAAATCCTTCCTGCGCCACCCTTCCTTCCTCAAAAGCAAAATACTGTCTTCCCTATGAAATAAAACACTACAGGTTAAGGGCTCAGTCCCAAAAGATACCCACCCACTTCAGATGCTAATCACAAGTGTGGGTCCCCATGTTATCCATACTTCTGTCTAACTTGGCTACAAACTAGGGGTTCTATACCTCCCTCCCCAGGTTTAATAGTTTGCTAGAAATGTTCACAGAACTCGAGGAAACTGGCAACTTATGTTTATCAGCTTATTATAAAGGACATGGAGGATACAGATAAACATCTAGATAAATATATACATAGAGAAACATCTAAAAGGGTCCTGAGCACAAGATCTTCTGTCCTTGTGGAATTGAATTGCATCAGCAGTCTTCTGGCACATGAATGTGTTCAACAACCTAGAAGCTCCCTGAACCTTATACTTTAGGGGTTTTCATGAAGCGCTTATCACAGAGGCATGATAAATTATTAACTCAATCTTTAGTACTCTCCTCTCTAGAGGACGAGGGGTGGGCCTAAAAGCCCCAAGTTTTCTGGTACCTACCCCTTATTCAGGAACTATCTAGGAGCTCACCTCATTAGAGCAAAGGATGCTATCCTCCAGGAAATGTCTAGGATTTAGGAGATTTGCACCATACTCTATAGTCAAAGACCAAATTTTAATAGAAAAAATGTTCCTAGCACCCCACCAGTCAAGATATTACAAGGGTTTTAGGGCCCTATGTCAGGAACTAGGAACAAAGAAAAATGTAGAAAATTATTCCACATCCACATGTTATGTAACTAGTGTCAGATTTTATTTTTTTCTATTATGTTTTGCCATTAACAAGTATTTGTCATTACAGCAATTCTTACAAGCTTTTGATTTTTTACTAGTATTAAAACAATTTACACCACCATTAAAACATGACAATATTCTGAGTTTATAATTACTTTAGCAGTGAAATTTATACTCTCATGTTTAGTATCTTTTTGTTTCAACTTGAAGACTTCACTTCAGTATTTTTGGGGGGAACGGGGATTGGGACAGGGGTTTGAAGTCAGCACTTTGCCTTGCAAAGTAGGTACTTTACTTGAGCCATACCTGCAGTTCATTTTTTTCTGGTTACTTTGGAATTGGGGGCTCATTAACTACTTGCTCAGTCTGACCTCAAACTGTGATCCTCTCTATTTCAGCCTCTCAAGTAATTAGAATTACAGGTGTCAGCTATTGGTGCACGGCCCACTTTAGAGTTTCTTACAAGTCAGATCTTGTGGTGATGAACCTCATTTTGGTTTTTTGTTTTCTTTGAAAAGTCTTAATTTCTTCATGTTTAAAAGATAATTTGTCTGGCAAATATATACACTTTTTCTTCCAGTACTTCAATATATCACACCATTGTCTTCTGTACTACAAGTTTTCTACTGAGAAATCATCTGATAACTTTAGGGGTAACTCCCTTTTATGTGATGTCACTTTCTCTTTGCTCTCAAAACTATTTGTCTTGATTTTACACAGCTTAATTTATTGCAGACAAAATCTTTGGGTTCAATGTGTTTAGGAAGTTTTCAGTCATCATTTCCTAAAATAATCTTTTGTCCCTCTCAGTTCTCCTTCTAAAATTCCTGTAATACACACATCAGTTCACTTGATGGTGATCCATAAGTTCCACAGCCTTGCCTTTCCTTCCCTCCACTTCCTCTCCTCCATTCCTTTAGTTGTTAGTGATCTTCTGACTGCTAATATCAAATGGCTTTCAGGTCCCTGAGTCTTTCTTCCATTGGACTCCAGTCTACTCTTAAAAGTGCTATTGAATAATTCAGTTCAATCATTTTTTCTTCAGTTTCAGAATTTTGTTAAATGGTTTGGGTTTACTTACCGAACCTTTCATTTTGTAAATCGCTTTCTTTGAGGCAATTATTTTGTCATGCAGTACATGGATACCCATTTCTTTAGGCTTAGCTAGTGGAATCTATGCCTGAATATTTGGGATCTTCATAGCTTTGCTCTGGTGTCTATGCATTTGAAGGAGTTATTGTCTCTTCCACTTTTCAAAGACCAGTTATTACTTTCTGCTCTTGGCCACCTAGGTATGTGGGACTACCATATGACTGCCTCTGGGACCTTGGTCAAGTGGAGCTGGAGCCAGGTCATGGAGCTATTTCTAGGTCTGCAGACAGGTCCGCAGGTGGTGGGCCTGCTACAAGGGTGTGTGCCTGTTTTCTCAAAGCAGCTTTCCTCAGTCCTGGGCTTCACTGAAGTGCCACCTTATCTAGGTGAAGAGGAAACTGTACTTCTGTATAAGAATAAGGGTGATTGATATAAGAGCAGGAAACACAATACACTTATCATTAAGTTTGACCATGTACAACCTCAAGGGAATTTCAGAATGAAACACAATTTCATTCTATGTAAATAATATTAGGGCTGTCTATGCAGTCCCATATGAGCAGCATCAGAAAAGCCCTGTAATTCTTTACCTTCCTGGGAATAGGAAAAGGGAGTCCCTGGTAAGACTGATGTTAATGCCTAGTTTTAGTATAATTAGTACAGCTTGGCCAAGGGAGGAAAGGTGTGAGTTCGAAGTCCATTAAAACTTTTTAGTCTGAGATTAACAAGAAAATAACTATTTTAACATCTGGACATCATTTTCTTGCATGTATAACTTCATGTAAATATTTCTTATGCAACTACTAGTTGGTTATGTCCATCTTAGAATTATTATCAGTAGTATTTTTATCTAGCCAATTAAATCTTAGCAGTGTAATTTGGCAAAGTAAACAGATTTATTTATACTAACATTCTGTTAAATGAAGAATAAAAACAAAGCAATGGGAAAGCCAGCAAAAAATATAGCATTTAGAAAACACTTAGTAGTAAAAGCACCTAATATACTTTATTGGCAAAATAAAAAAATGTAACACATCAATATATTATTTATCCTAACCAAATTATAAGTAAAATATTTCAGATTAATTAGGTTTAATTCTTAAGATGTCCTATCCAATTTATATATGAATAGTCTTTTTATTTCTAGCTATTACTTGTTCATTTCAAACAGTTAAAAAATTTTGTGGTATCCATACAGGAACTTCGGAAACCCATCGGGTATCAAATGGCTACCAGAGTTAGTCTGTGGTCCCAGAACCACACAAGATAGTGGTAACGGTGGTGATAGCTTTAGCTATAGAAAACATAACTCTGAAAATTGAATTGTTTTCAAGACAGACATGTTTCCATTCTAAGCAGTACTATGGTCTTCCACCTCAAATTATAACTCCAGTCAGCTCGACGTGAAGACTTTGTGGTATATACGTGGCAGGCGGTATTCCTGCAAATCTCCATTGAGAAGTTCATTTAACCAGCTGGATGCTTTCACCATATAAATGAAGATGCTGTATATAGGCACTTGTGGGATTCTTTTATATTTTTGTCAATAAGAGGGTAGACAGAAACTTCAATTTTCAACATTTTTTTTTAAAGTACCCCAATTTATGTATAAAACAGGGGTTAAAACAGGGGTAATAACATACTGTTTTCCCATTAGGAATAGAATTACCTTCAAACTAATACTTTGAGATAATAGATATGAATTAACAGTATTGTAATCTTATGACACACTGGTTTGTAACATGCATAATGCTATTAAATAAAAAATAATGAAAAATTTAAAAAACTGTTTAGTTACTTATATACATTTTTATTTTAAATACAAAGGCAGATTTTAAAAGCTGTACACTGAAAGCAAAAAATACTTCATATATTCATGATCAGCTGTAATATTTGTTTAGACTGTCCACACTGAAAATGTTTACACTTATTAATAAGGAATGCCAAGTGTATCCATCAACATTTGAATTGCTTGCAGGGAATTCCTGATTTCATCCATATTATCTCTTCTCAAAACCCAAGCCGGTTCAAGTCTGTTTTAAAAATAAAAATCTGACATTAATAAAGTTCTTCTCTTAAAAAGAACTATCTTCACATTTTGTATTAACTAAAATGTGACTATTCTTGAAAACATCATTTCCCTCACAATACTCTTAAAAGACATGGGACAACATGATACCATTGCCTGTTACCAGTTTTTAGATGGTTTTCTAAAAACTGATGCAGCCTTCTTTGAAGTTTATACTTCTAGCACGACTTTTTCATGATCTGCCAAACTCCTGGTGTCTTATTTTTTTGTGAACCTACTGCTTTGCATTTTCTCAGCTTCTCTCACCATTCAGTATTGTCAACATCCATGTGGCCAAAAAGCCAAGTCATTCTTTTCCCCTTTCTCTTTCTGTTCTTCTGCAACAAATTCTTTCTCACATGATCATATACTAGACTGTCTCCAACAGAAAGTGTATCACCATTGAAATCTCAATCTGAGACTTCTACTCTCCAACTACCACTTCCCATTCACCTATGTCATTCTGCCCTAACACAGGCACTGAACCAACTCTTCCATGACACTGAGCTACAAATTCATTTAACCTCAACAGGTACCCACTGTCCATCAGAACACTGTTCTCACTTCTCTCCTTCACTAACTTAGTACATCAATGTAATACCCTCAGAAAATTCTATTAACTCTATTTCTTTCTCTTATCAAACTCATCTGGAAAATTCTATTTGAGCTCCAAATTGAATAAAAATATCGGCTTTGCTTATTCCTGTACAGAGGAACACTGCTAAGAGAACTACACAACCAGGCTGACGTTTTATTTTGTCAGCTGTAGACCAAAAGCAAGCATTTAAAATCACCTCATGTGTACCTTTTCTCCCCAGGATCACCATTTTATTGCTTTCCTCTTGTTGAATGTCTCTCCACATCCTCTAAACTGCTTCTCAGTTGTTGAACTGATAACCTCACACTTAAGACAGTGCTATCATTCAGAGGGAGCTTATGCATCTTCTCACATAAATTCCTAGTATATACATTTCCATCCTCTTATGTTTTCCTGTTAAAAACCCAAATATCTCACCATTGCTAAGTGGACAATATGTAGCTCCAATATTGTACAATAACCACAGCTTCAGCTCCTAGAATAGTTCTCAATAACTGAACATAGTGAAATTCTAATCCACAATCATACTCATCTCCTGGTCTTAAATGCTACCTATGTCCCACAACCAATGATACTCTGATTCATCATCTTTGTTCTGCTCAACCACAGACCAGGTATTCTGATGGCTTATTTGTAATTTCTTCTTATGTCATAAGTGTTCCAGGCATATCCAAAACAAAGACCAGGATTCAACACTCCTCCTCCCTCTGTTCTTTGCTCAACTCTTACTTTACTTCACCTCACTTCCTTTAGGACTCCGTTTAATTATTTCCCATCAGAGGTGATTTCCCAGTCAGCCCCCATCTGCAGGACCTCCATGTTACTCTCTATCTTAGCAGTTATCACAATCTTTATTTCTTTGTTCACTATTTTGTTTATTCGTTGCTGTTCTCTTGAGCTCCATATTGTACAACCATAGCTTCAGTTCCTGGAAGTGCTTTATACAATTTCTACTCTCTCACAGGGATAGAAGGGACTGTCTGGTTAACCAAGAAAGCAGAAACTCTTTTTGTAACATGTCTTAAACTTATTAAACCACAATTATCTCTATAGGTCTGCACTAGGGTAAATGATGGATCCAAAAGATTTAACCAGAACCTATGGATGCTACCTTATTTGTAAAAAATGTTTTTTGCAGTTATAAAGAATTTTGAGATAACATCATCCTGAATTACTCATGCTGGCCTTCAATTTAATGACAAGTATCCTTCCTTATAAGAGACACAAAGGAGGGGAAAGGAGAAGGCCATATGAAATGCAGGCAGAGAAAGGAGTTACAGAAGCATGAGACAAGGCCACTTAAGAGAAAACAGAAGTTGAGAGAATCAAGGAAGGACTGTAACCTGAAGCCTCTGAAGGGAGTGTGGCCCTGACAATCAACACTTGATTTTGAACTTCTGGCCTCCAGAACTGTGAGGAAATAAATTTCTGTGCTTAAAGTCACCAAGTTTTCGGTAATTTGTTATGGAAGCCCACAATACTAATGCAAGGTCTCACAAAGAACTTCTCTAGAAGGAAAAATAAACCAATGTGATTGTTGAGTAACTACCAAACTCCCAAAACTACAGTAGTTACTTCATTAGCTACTGAGATTGCCTCCTTTAGGTTTACTGAACATTCCACTCTAGTTTATATGCTATTTTTCCATTGTTAAGAACATTATCTTGTCTGATCATGATGTCTCACACATGACCCCAGGTACTGAGGAGGCAGAGTTCAAGAGGATCTCTATTTAAGACCAGCCTAAAGATCCCATCTCAACCAAAGTAAGTTGAGTGTGGCCTGTTATCCCAGGTATGTGACAAGAAAGATAGGACAAAAATGTGAGAAAAATGACATAAAGTAAACAGGGCTGGGGGTGTGGCTCAGGTGGTAGCATGCACAGAGCAACAAAACAAAAAAGAACACTTGCTAAGTATTAATAATTATTTATCAAGCAAACCAATGTTGACACAAAATTATTGAGTACCCTTAACTGCTTACCTGGAAACTATCCTGGTTCTTATAGGTGTTTCTGGAAGAAAGGGAATCCCTACAGAAGAAGTCTTTTTTTGTTTCCAGACTATTCTTTCAATATTCATTTTATGTTTACGAGCTGTGAGTTTGTAGAGACTATAAATACAGTCAACAACTTTGGATCTACTTCGTACATCCTAATAATGAAAATGTACATTTATTATAAATCAGTAAGAATTAAATTTCTCTCTCTCTCCTACAATGGCAAAATCAATCATCATCAACATGATGTAGTAAGCTTCTGAGTTTTCAACAATCAAGAGCAAGAGCAAGAAAAAATTCTGAATCAATGTGCACTTCAATTACAAAGAAGACAGATATTCAAATGCTGTAACTAAACTCCACGCTGAATTAGAGCAAGCAATGTTATAGCTGATATACTTATATCCAGTGACTAAGGCTTGTGAATCTTACCTCTTCAAAGTTTCCAGTCATCCACTTAACCTCTCCTCAACACAACCCTAGATGAGGTACAATCTCTTGCTTGAGCCTCTGCATATCTACCCTTCCTCCTTTCCTAATGAACTCCCTACTTCACACCATATTCATTTATGACAGGAAAAAGGCCAGAGTCTAGTCACAGGCTAAAGCTCCCCTACATTCATTATCCTAACTAGAGAGAGTAACTCAGGACTCACCATAGAAAATCTTGAAATACATTTTTGCTTAAAACAGGAAGATAGAGAATTATACATATTTGGCCTTTTTGATGTTTTTGTATTTTACAGTGCTGAGGATCAAGTAAGTCCAGGGCTTTGCCCATGTTAGGCTAGTGCTCTACAACTGAGCCACACACCTAGCCTGGGACTTCAGTTTCTTTTTTGACATGACTGGGGTTTGAACTCCAGTCTTTGGGCTTTGCAAAGCAGGTGCTCTACAGCTTAAGCCATACCTCCAGCCAGTTTTGCTCTATTTTGGAGATGGGGTCTTATGAACTATTTGCCTGGGGTGTTATAGAACCACCGTCCTCCTGATCTCAGCCTCTCAAGTCACTAGGATTACAGGCGAAAGTCACCAGAACACCCAGCTTAGTTTCTTGAGTATCAAAATGAAACAACTCATACACATACCATATTTATATACATATATAAAGATATACATATATGCATTTGCATATCCTGAAATTTTATTTTGCATATATAAACCCTCTTTTAGTCTAACTACTAAAGGAAAAGTACAAGATGCATAGACATAATAACCTCCAAGAAAGGTAACTGATTAATACTTACAGAGGCTTGATTTGTTGTCTTTAATAAAATAGCCAACAAGCAACAAGTTTTTGTGAAAATGCTCCCACTCTTGTCTGCAACTTTATCCCCAGGCTTTTCTCGGTACATCTGCAAAAGCTCCAACAGTGTGTCTATACAATTCTCTACACTATAAACAGCAGAAGTCGTTTTCTCATACTTGAAAAGAACAGAATAAAATGTGAAGTTATAATAAGCAGTGCAAACAGAAAGTTTAGAGCCAAGGTTTTGAGCCTCTGCAACAGGTGGAAAGGACTTTGTGAAATGACTTTTGCTACTATTGCTGGATCTACCTTGCATGCATATTTGCATCTGAATCTGTTTTCTTTACCACCTACTACTACAGTTCACAACAAAAATAAATCAAATCAGCCTACAATAACCTGCAGATCTTGGATTCAAATCCAGATGATGTGCAGAGTTTGTGTTCCTAACGACCATTTCTCAATATAAAGACATCAAGTAAAGTGTTCTAAGTTGTGGCTTCAGGGTGGGGAGGGGAACTCTTAAAACCTTTAATTGCATGCAACTTCTGCAAGTATTATTGTTCCTTTTCTATAAAATAGAATAGGAACTACTTTAGAGGATTATTATAAGGATTAAATTAAGTAAGACCTGAAAATACTAGCAAGTAGTAAGTACTTAATACATGTCAGTAATTGCTAGTAACATAAGGGCTGGAGGAGTGGCTCAAGTGGTAAGAATGCCCCGTGTTGCAAGAATGAGGCTCTCAGTTCAACTCCAGTGCTGCCAAAAAAATAAAGACAGAACAAATAAAATCATAAAAAATTAGCACTTGTAAATAGTTATGTTAATAGAATAATACAGCTTAGCCTGTAGTGATGAGTAGGGTCACATTTCTTCATCAGTGAATATTTTGTTATTAAACTAGAATACTACCTTAGCTACATGAAGCAAGACTTGAACAGCATATCTGATGACTTCCATACAAGGAACACTACGATTACAACTTCGGATTAAAACAAATATTTTAGAAATTGCTCCACTCTCAGCCATGTTCTCACAACAAACAGGAGACAATCTAGTAACTACCTCTGAAAGGGGAAAAAGAAAAAAAAAAAAAAAAAAACACGTAAATTCACAACAGAATGAAGTGTTAGATAATACTTTACTTTCAACATTCTTTAAAGGTTCCAAGTAAAAATGTATTCTTAATTGTAAATAAGTTACTGCTACAGCAAACCGACCCAGGTGCTTCAAAGCCTCCAGAATGGCAGAAAGGTGCTTTGAGGTAAAGAGGTAATGAAGGGCCAGTGCAGTTCTTTTGTACAGCTTGTTTTCTTCTTGAATCTCCCTATTCACAGCTTGAAGACTTAGTCGGATGACTTTAATTTTTTTACAGTCATTTTTCTTCCTCCAAGCATAGCCTCTCCATAATGCCTTAGGAAATAAGAGTAATTTTAGAATTAGTCAGTAATGTTTTGAACTTACATCTACAACTATTTCCACAATGTAAATATTTTCAGTACATTTATGTGATACAATTGAATACGTCTGGACTAAAACATCAGCTCAGTTCTAATACTATAATAAAACTACATAATTTTCACTTACCTGAATTTTAGTGATTCTACTAGTAAGTTTTTCCTGTCTCTTGCAAAGGAGAAACTGGCGTACTGCTTTCTGTATTACTGATGCAGCCTTGTTTTGCTGGTTCAGACATTCTTGAACCTCGTGCTCAATTTTAATGATGCTACGATATTTCTCAATAAACCTTTTTTGTTGTAATCTTGCTCGAAACCATCTCTGTTTAAAACATATAAGGCATTTTAAAAACTTTTACTTCAGGTTTTAAAAATAAATGAACATATGTACACTTGCATACAAAAATGAAAGAGAATATTGAAATAACTTTTAATCCTGCCCACTGACAACATTTTTCTGCTCCATTTGGTTTAAAGCCTTCCAGTTGATGTGAGAAGTATGTGTGCACCGGTATGCGTAGGTGTGCATTTCACTCAGCACAACACTGTCATTATTTTATAACTTATATAAGTTCTATCACACTGTACATCATTTTGCAATTTTCTCCCAATACTTAATTTATTATTATTATTTTGACAGTACTGGGGCTTGAACTCGGCTTTGGGAATGCTAAGACAGGTACTCTAGTGCTTAAGTCATACACCAAGCCCTTTTTTGCATTAGTTTTTTTTTTCAGGTAGGGTTTTGCTTTGGGCCTGGGGCAGGCTTCAGACCACAGTCCTCCTATCTATGCCTCCCAAGTGGCTAGGATTACAAACACATGTGCCACCAGACTTCACCAAGTATTTTATAGTAAACATATGCTAATGTATACAAATAGAATTTTTCTGTAAGATACACAACAACTACAAATTATATTTTAAACAAAAGACATCCAATAGATAAACTGGCAAAGAACACAAAAAAACTTAAGTACACAATACACAGGTAGAATTTAAATCACTAAAAAAATATGAAAAAAAAATAGAATTGCTAATAATCAAGTAAATCCAAAACAAAAATGAGACACTGCTCCCACTCCTTACAGTGGCAGAACTCAGAACACTTTTGAGGCCACCTTTGGCAAAGATAAGAGAAACTATGCCCCCAGTCTCTATGCACAGGAGTGTGAATGAGCAGAATTACAGCATGGAATAACTGACAACTTTATTTCTGTGCTGTAAAATATCAACCAATTTTTAACTCTCAAATCATATATGCTGACAGTCTAAACACTACATGACTTTATAGAGAAGTGTTTGAAAATTACTATTTATTAAAGATTTTAACAGAAAAATTTGATCTTATAGTTTTCCTGCAGAGGAAAAGCTAACCTGAATACAGATGACCCAGTTAACATGCTTCTTGGCACGGTTCAGCACCATGTGAAGTCTGTACGTTCTTTGAATCCTAAGAGCAGACAGGTGATGATATGCAGCTGCTGTGAAGCGGAGCAGTCGAGTTCTGTCTTTCTGTTCTAAAACCTAAGCAGGGATAGAGAGAGAAAAAAAGAGTACTGTATTAGTAATCGTGTATCTGGTTCCCAGGATAATCATCATTGTTTATTTTTGTATTAACAATAACATCAAATTAAATAAACAAAAATGAATATGTAATTCATGTAGTTAACAACTACAATTACTTCCACTTCAACTCAAAGTAATTACAATAATTTATTATACAATAATAATGGTGTTTCTAGTAGTGTTAGCTCATAACTCAGAGTATGGGAGCAAAATTATACTTTGGGCACTGTATACTAAAGAAAAATAGCATTTGCTTACCTGGATTACCAAGTAACAGCTAGTTAAGACTGCTAGAAAGTACTTATAATGAAAGAGGCATACATACTAAACTCAAGAGGTTAGAGTATTCCAAGCAGAACTGTTAGAGATGGTATTAAATTACACAAAACCATGAGTTAATTTCCCCAGTATTAGATAGTGTACCCCAAGTACTGTACAAGACTCTTGTAGTGCACACTTTCAACAAAAGACTTCTCCTCTTTTAACTTCAAATCTGATTATTTTGTCTGTGCCAGAACTTTACAATGGTAGAAGCCCAAATGTCATGAACCTCCTTGAGAGAATTCCCTCTTGCTAAAGATGTGGATGATGTCACAGGAATGGTAGCTGCAACCCCTCCAGGAGTTGTCTGAGGGTACCATAAAGCTGCTCGTGTACATGAATGTTCTTCATGTGTGGAGCCTTTCTTTGTCTCCTTTCCCTTATTTTGCTAAGAGTTACTACATAAGAGAAGTCGTACTTTGCATCTTTGCTACTGACCATCTGTGTGAAATACTAGTGCCAAAGAACAAAAATCTATGACAAAAATATTGTTATGTGGCTCTACAACAGCTGAATGAATTCAAGTTAACAACTGTATTAGTTCTGAAAGTATCCTCCCAAACCCGAAATTTCTTAATACGATTTAATATCAAATACTTTCATTTCATATGACAGATAGTCTACTCAAAAATATTACTATTTTCCTTACTAACCAGCCACACACAAGTGTCTGTAGAGTAACTGTCGACTTTTAAAATTCACCATATTTTGTCCTATCACACTTGCTAGCCTTCCTGGCTCGTATATATCTTTGTATGATCAAAGCAGCATATTTCTGCTGAAGAAAGAGCTGCCTTTCTTTATAATGTGGTTGGATCAAACAGGCAGCTTGATGTCTCGGTAAGGAAAATTTTGCAAGTAACATTAATAGATAAAAATAAATTTTTCAGCCAAATAGAGGTTCTTGAATTTCTCAATGTAAAATGAGTAGGTATAATTATTATATTCTTTACATTTGTAGTTTGAGAGTGTTTCATTTCATAGATACAGGATATGGCAATATTTGTAAGCCTTCACAGGTTGATAGCCAAAAATGAAGGTACAAGCCAGGATCAACAGGCATCTGGTACTCTTTCCCTCTCATCCTCTTGATTCTGTACAGTGTGTGGAAGAAAAGATCTAACACTTAATAAAGATGAGAGCTACAATATAAAAGGAGAGTGGTCATTTTAAATAACTTAAGAACCACGGAGAATACCCACATCCTCACACCCTGATTTTTAAACCCACAGAAAGATTATGAGTTAAAATGATTTTAATTCACTTAAACTGAGTTTGTTTTATAAACTTCCATCTATTAGCAGAAGGATCTTGGGAGGTCATTTTACCTGTCCTTAAATGAGGATGACAGTACTACTTCATAAGGTTGTTACCAATGTGTGGCACAAACTAAGAGTCAGGAGTAAGACTAATAATAATCGTCATGGTTATGCAGCAATGGTGAACAATGACATTTATAAAAAAAACCTCAATTTTAGTTTATTTAATAAAAGATCATAGATATTACAGCAACTGTAAAATTTGATGTCAAATATTTTAAACAGATCAGCAAACATGGTTTAAAGAGCATGTTATTAAGCATCTGACTTATATGAAACAAGTTACAACTTACTATGACTTTCTCCTAATAGGTTGCTTACCTTCACTGAACTCACTTGAAACTGGGCTTTGAGAATATTTTATTAATTCAGTTATATACACAAAAATTCTAGTGTTTTTTAATAGGTGAATATAATTGTTAAATGACTGCAATAGATGTGTGTAAAACAAATGTGGTTAGGTTGTAAAAACACAATCTTTTTGCTTTCTGTTTCAAAAAGTGGGTTTATGTAAGTGATTTTTATTCACACTTACTTGTATCATGAAGACATGCTCTCGAGCTATTCTTGCAGAAAGTATAGCTCTCCATTGTCTCTGAATGATAATTGCTGATGTTCTCAGCTTCAAAAACCTAAAAGGTAGTTATTGAAAAGCAATTTTAAATTACTTTAATATGTTCAATAAATATTTCTTGCCCCCCTTTAAATAGGAGAAAGAAAATAGAAGGCAATGACATTATAAAAGTAAAAAAGTACAATTCATACTTAAGTTCTAGCAGTCAGAATTTTATACACACACAGACACAATAAAAAATTTAATTGATATTATTCCATTGAGTAAGAAATAAGTTCTACAAATCTAGTATGGCAAATGATTTTCAACAAGATCAAAGGAAGATGTGATTATTTGGATCCAGACAAAAGCCTAGATAAAGGAGGCTATGGTTGAAATAATGGTAAAGAATGAAGTTTGGGTCCCTGAGAAGACAAGCAGTGGTTAAGAACAGAGCTTGGGAGATATGAGTAGCATCAAATGAGAAAGGGACATTTATCTGAAAAAAAGACAGGCTCTTTGATGTGTTCCGAGTATTACAGGTAGAGCAAAAAGAGCAGCTGTCTTACCACTTATATTTCTTAGAAAATAAGGTACAATATCATAGAGAAAAAACTCACCATTTTGGTACAGGAAAATAAGATAGTGGTCCTTAATATTAGCTGACAGTACTAAGTGTGTCTATACATTAAGCCTCCAAAAAGGATTTCTCATCGATTCTGGGATATAAAGAAAAAATCTTACACTAGGAAATTAAGAAAAGCATGTGCAATGATTTCTAAATACGTAACAGAAATGAACTATGAACAGGGAAACAGAATTCACTTAGGAAAGTTGGTAATTAGAATCTTCACTGCAAAGAATAAAGTATATGGAGAACACTGGGAGTGGAGGTACCTTCCTACAAACCTCTCAGGAGAAACAAGAGGATCATAAGTTCAAGGCCAGCCTGGGCTACAAAGCACAACTGTCTCTCAAAAAAGCCAAGGGCTGGGGATATAACTCAGTGGCAGAGCACTTGACTAGCAAGTGCAAAGCCTGGGCTCCATCCTTAGCGCTACCAGAAGAGTGTGGAAAGTGACACATGTAAAAAGAGTACAAAAGCAAACTTTGCTAGAAACAAAGTCAACAAAGAAAAATGAACCAAGGCACTTGTTAGTGCATTAGGAAATCAAGACTTAACTCAATCATTTTACTCACTTTCCACTCTCTGTCTTTACCTTCATCCCTATAAACTTGAGTTAATCAAGTATAATCTTTTTTTACTAAATTATACTATCAAGGTTATGTTGTATTTCAAAAACATAAGAAAGCCCAAGGGATGGTATATATATATATAATCTCTCTCTCTACCACAGAGTTACCATACATTACCATGTCCTCTCCAGTTTGGCATAGAAGCAACGTTGAATAACTTTAACAGCCTTTAACACAGCTAGATATTCTTTACGTGCTCTCCAACACCTATACCAGGCTTGAATCGTGCAGGCAGCTTTTACTTCACATAAATATTTCTTAGTTTTGTAGCTTTTCCATACAGCCTATTAAAAACACAAATATAACAAGCATGTAATGATTGTCTATTTTTTTATAAACTGGAAAAATCAGTATTAAAGACAGTCATATACTGACTATTATACTCTGACAAATGGTGAGCTCTTACAACAATGGTGCATGCTACAATGAACACCTACTATGTGCTTTACCGCACACACATACCCTCTGTAGCTGGCTTCCAGCAGTCTAACCTAATCTTAACCAAGAAATTAAAGTGGTAAGGAAGATCTGTAAAATGTGTGGAAAAACCAGATGTGTATGCATTGTCTGCATCACCTCAATCCATTTGGAAGAACAGAAAGAAATGAACACATGGACCTATTCTACTTCCTGGGGAGAAAGGGGACCAGTTCCCACTCCATACACATTCTGGGTCTTGTGCTTAGCCTACAGTAGAACCCTGACAAGAGTTTGTCATATTTTCCAGTGTTGCCAACCTTGAGGCTGACTGAAAGTTTAGGTGACAGCCACAGCTTACTTAACTGAGCACCAACAACTATTGATCTTTACAATAAGAGAAGCAGGTAATATTATCTCGAATTTACTGGTGAGGAAATCAAGGCACAGAGAAATGAAATAACTTGGTGATATCACACAGATTAGTAAGTGGCAGGGTTATATTAGTTAATATTTATAAATATCTTATGAAACAGTTATTAAGAGCTCTATTATTAGTCCAAATTACTATTGAGATGTCCTCAATTCAGAATGAGGAGTGTATCATATATGGCTTTTATTTAAACATCATTCAGTAGTGCACAGTGTACTCCCAAGCCTTGTGGCTCATCAGAACCACCTGTGGAGCACTGAAAGCTCTAATGCTGAGTTGTTCCCCACACCAACTAAATCAGGATGGCTAAGGTGGGAGCCAAGTATAGCATTTTTAAAGATTCCAGATGACTCCAATATACACTAATGTTTGATACTACTGGTTTGGCTACAGACTACTTGTGTGAAATATAGTTTAATAATTTAATTCCAAGAGAAAGAAAGAGCTGATTTTTCATAAGATTGTTACGTTGGCCTTTCTGTCATTTCAGCTGGATATCTAGTTCTGATGGACGCTCTTAGTTTTCTTCCTTTCCTGTTAATAACACGTGTTAGCTTCTCTTCTTGATGTCCTTGATTTATTTATGTTCTTCAGACTCATGTCCCAGGCCTTCTTCCTCTCATTCAAAATTCCTAGGTGATGCCACTACTTCCACAACTGCAATTAACGTGTGCTAACATACAAAACCAACTCTACAACCCTCACTACACTTTCAGACAAACAGGGCCAAACTCCTCGCTTACTAGACATCCTACTTCAGACTTCATGTACTCTCAACTCAAAACCTGCTCTTGCCTCTGTTCCCTGTCAGTGAATGGTGCCACCTGCTTCCTGTAGACAAACAAAGTATTATGCCACTTTTTATCATAGTCCCCACTTTGAGTTTTAATAGTTATAATTCTCTAGCAGTCAATGCAGATTAGTTAACAATGATTACCTCTTTTCTTTAGATGTTTCTCAGTTTCTAAATTTCAAGCCTCTAAAGGCAGTTTGAACACAGCTCATATAGATTTCTGAACTGCTAAATTTTTTTTCTCTTTTACTCTGACATGTGACCTCTGGGCAGAATGAATGAATGAAATGATGTGGCGGCCAGGTGCATATACTGGACAGATCTTCTTACCTTAAAGCCTCTGTCAGAAGACTCTATTGAAGTGAATGTTTGAGTACGTGTGGCAATCAACACTCTGTACCTTCTCTGAACAGAAATCACTGCTGCTCTCAGGTGGAGATAATGCCTTCTTGTCTTAAAGGCTTTAAAATGCTTTTGAATAATAACTGCAGCCTCCTGTTGTTCCTCAATTTGTTTCCTTATGGTTACATCCTGAAAACTTGCCTGAGCACAAGTTAGCTCTTTCTTACATGCACTGAGTTGAAGCACTTTCTGTCTTTTTTTATTTGCTCTGTATTTCTCTTGTATGACTTTTGTAGCCCACAGAAGCTTCTGGAAGAAATAATACTGCCTATACATTCTATATGTGCTTTGTATTACAGCAGCAGCTCTGTGTTTCTCCCTTAGCGCCTGTCTGGCTTTCATTCCTTTATAAGAAGCTTGAATGACCACAGCGGAAAGCCACTGTCCGGTGAAATGCTCTCTTTGCAATTTTGCAGCTCTGTATGCTCGATAATGCTGCTGAATTAGAATTGAGGCACGCTTCCAAATGTGAAACGTAATGTACGTTCTGTGCATTCTAAAAGTCGCCTGAATGAGAACAGCAGCCCTGTGCATTTCTCGTAACTTCCTCTTTACCATCAGTCGCCGGTAAGAGGACTGGATTGTAATGGCTGCCTTTCGCAACTGCAAGAATTGGTGCAATTTATGCTTTGCATATACGGCGGCTCGATACTTCCTCTGAACAAAAATGGCAGATTTTTTGAGAGAAATGAACCTCCTCCTCATCACTAAAGATCTAAATCTGCTCTGAATAAGGGTTGCAGAGGAATGCATTTTCTTCAAATGCCTTCTAGTTTTCATAGCCCTAAAGGCAGCCTGGAGGATCACAGCAGAACATCTTTGTCTGATGAAATGCAGTCTCTGCAGTTTCGCAGCTCTGTTTGCTTGGTATCGCTTTTGGATCACAAGACAGGTCTGTTTCAAAGCCTGGTATCTCACACGTGCTCTGTGCATTCTGAAAATAGCCTGGATCAAAGTAGCAGCCCTGTGCATCTCTTGCATCTTTTTCCTCACCCTCCATCCTCGGAATGATGACTGGATCTTAATAACTGCCTTATGTAACTGAAAAAATTGTTGTAAGTGACGTTTTGCAAGATGTACACGATATCTTCTCTGAATCCAAATAACAGTGTTTTTAAAAGAGAGGAATTTTCTTCTCATCGTTAGAGTTCTAAATCTCCTCTGAATAAGAGTGGCAGCTAAATGCATAGTTTTTAAATGTCTCCTAGCTTTCATCCCCCTAAAAGCAGCCTGAATGCTTACTGCAGAATGCCTCAACCTGTTGTACCTCTGAAATTGTATGTTTCTTTCCTTCACTGCTCGGTATCTCTGCTGTACTGCTTTGGTTGCCTTCTTTAACTTGTTAAAATATGTTTGCTGTCTGTGTCTTCTGAAGTATGACTGAATGAGAGTGGCTGCAATCTGTCTCTTTCTTAGAGCCTGCCTAACTCTTGCTCCTCTAAAACTTGCCTGAAGAGTATTAATAGCCTTTAAAGCTGTCAGGTACTTTTCACGATGAATTTTGCCTTGATGATATGCTCTGTATCTTGCTTGAATTACAACAGCTGCTCTTCTCATTGCATGGTATCTTACTCTCAACTGATACATTTTAAACGTGGCTTTAATAAGAGTAGCTGACTTGTGCTTATGTCGTATATGCCTTCTTACCCTAATACCTCTATAAACAGCTTGGATTTTAATCGCTGTTTTCTTTAAATTGAGATATTCCTTATGCTGACGGTTTGCAATTTTAGTATTTCGATACCATCTCTGAATTACAATGGCTGACCTTCTATAGGTTGTGTATTTCTGTTGGGTTTTGTAGGCTCTGTATTTAGACTGTATAGTGACTACAGCTCTGTTGTAAGTCTTTATTCTTTTTCTTACTTTCATACCACGGTAAGCTGACTGCAAAACTATGGCTGCTTTTGTTTTCAAATATAAACAGTGTTGTTCTTTTCCAATATGGTAAGCCCTATAATACATTTGAATCAGAAAAGCGGCTTTTTTCATGGTTTTCCACTTCCTTCGTTGAAGATGCATTCTATAGTATGACTGAATGATGACAGCACTTTTGTGCTGCCTTTCAATCTGTCTCCTCAGCGTTCTTCCTCTCCATGTACACTGAATCACCAAAGCTGCATGGCGGAGCTCAAGGTATGCCATTTGTTGCTTCTTTCCTGCACCCCAGGCTCTTAGATGCCGCTGGATGACTAATGCTGCTGTTTTTAACAACCTGAACTGTTTTCGGGCCTTGGCCACTCTAAAAGCAGACTGAATCTTCATTGCAGCTTCATGTTCCCTCCTGAGCTGCTTCCGGACTTTCCAGCCACGATAGGCGGACTGGAGAGAAATCACAGCAATCCTGGTCTTTAAAAACTGTGTTCTTACATCACAAACAGTCTTGTGTGCCCTGTACCATCTCTGAATCTTGACAGCAGACTGAAGCATAGATAGATATTTCACCCTATTTCTGTAGCCTCTAAAAGCAGTTTGAATTTTAAGAGCTGCAACAGACTGATGCTTGATTAGCTGGCGTACTTTATAACCTCTGTAAGCTGCTTGGAAACAAGTAGCTGTTCTTTTGACTCGCAAGAAATTCTTCCTCTGATTGACTTGTGCTTTGTATGCACGATAGTAATTCTGAATGTCAAGGATTGCTTTGTAAGTTTTCAGGTACTGCTGCCTCATCTTTTTCATTCTGAAGTAAGACTGCAGTGAAACAGCAGCTTTCCTTTGCACTCTCATCTGCTTTCGGACCAGGTACCCTCTAACTAGAGCTTGCAGTTTGATACAAGATTCACACATATGTATGTATTCCTCTCTCCTTTGTGCAGACATCTTTTGGGAACGATACCACCTCTGGATATACAGTGCAGCTGCTCTTAGACCTAAGTATTCTTTACGTGTTTGTTTCATCTTGACAATTGACTGCAACTTTATTGTAGCATTTTTCAAGGTCAGAAATTTCTTTTTGGAAATGTAAGTACGGTAATATGATTGGATCTTTATAATAGATTTGAGGATGTGAACACACGTTTTCCTGGCTTGCATCCCTCTATATGCAGACTGTAGGACAATGACAGCAGATCTTGTTTTCTGATAAGATGCTTGAGCTTTCCTGGCTGAAATGTAAGCTCGGAAATGAGTCTGAATTACAAGGGCTGCTTTCTTCATCTTCTTATATTTCTGCAACTGCTGATGTTTTCTTACATGTGCCTGCAATTTGACAACAATCTTCCTTAGGTTTAAAAATTGCAGTTTGTCCTGTCTCATTCTCCAATATGACTGCAAAACACAGGCAGCTCTAGTTCGTCGGTGTAAATTATTAGCTTTCATTTTCCTGAAAGCAGCCTGTATGCAAATGGCTGCAGCTCGTTTCTGCAAATAGCTGGTGCGTTCAGTCTTTCCCTTCAGGTATGCTCTGAAGTATTTCTGGATGGTCAGTACAGATTCTTTTTTCCTTTTATATAACTTTTGGGCTTGAAACCACCGAAATCTTCTTTGAATGATAACAACACAAGACCTGATATAAACGTACTTTCGTAATTCCTTGTTCATTCTGTACCATGACTGTATAACAACAGCTGACTTTTCTTTTGTTCGTTTCCTGATATGCCATTTTCTAAAAGCTCTCTGCAAGATTATTGCAGCTTTTGTTTGTAATTGCATTTTATGCCGCTTCCATCTTCTGAATGTAGCCTGGATTATAAGGGATGATGATTTCAGCATTTTATATCTTTGCTGGTCTTGTTTTCTTCTTAAGCAAGCACGCCAATGCTGCTGAACTGTAACTGTGGCCCAAAGATACCGTTTATAAGATGCAACAGCAATTATCATTCTTATCCTGGATTGTAGGATGATTGCATAATATTTCAGTCTCAGAAACCTTTTTCTGCTGGAATATCTTCTCCAGTACCCCTAAGAAAGGTAAGATAGGATACAAAGTAAAATAGATATAGTTTTTTAAACTTAACCCTTTTGAAAATACTAATTTTCTTACATTTTGCTTAAAAATGAACACATTAAACTTTAAAATCAATATATTTTTTGCTAGATACATCTCTGTGGTTTGAGGTTTGTTTTTACATTGATCATCTCTAGCCAACTCAGAAATCCACCTTGGTCCTCATTATATTTACACTACATTTGTATCATAGTCATTAAAAAAAGCAACATATAAGAAAACTACTGAAATCTTTTTGGCTATTTCTTGACTCTAATTTCCTATGACTATCTAGATCTTGTATGTTCCCTTTATTTCATGGGTGCTACACTATCTTACACTGATTGGTAAATGGCATCCTGTATTTTCACATTACAGATTTGGTAATATGAATATAGTTGGCCCTCTATGCATAGGCTCCTCATTTAACAGTCCAAACAACCTTAGGTGGAAAGTGCTCCCCTAAAAAAGAAAATGTGTCTGTACAGAACTCGTATAGATTTTTTCTTGTCATTTTTCCTGAACAATAAAGCATAACGACTATTTACACAGAACCATTTACACAATGCATTACATTGTATCAGAAGTAATCTTGAGAGGATTAGGTATACAGGAGGATGAATTTATTATGATATTTCATATGGTAAATTTATGTTTTTAAGCATGTGCTTGTTTCGGTATGTGCTGGGGTCCAAGAACAAATTCCCTATGGCTACCAAGGGATGATTGTATAGGAGTTTGAGAAATATACGATCAAGATAATTTTCAGAGTTTTTATTTTCATTAAGAATAAAATTACTAGCAAAAACCCTTGGTCCTTCCTATTATTGCTTATACTCTCTCTTCAACAAAATTAGAGATAAGATCAGAATAGTTTCTGCCTGGTAGGGAGGGGGTGGGGGGGAGAAGGAAGGGGCGGAGGGAAAGGGAGGAGGCGGGGGGGGGGGGGGGGGAAGGAGGGAGAAATGACCCAAACATTGTATGCACATATGAATAAGAGAAATAATTTGAAAAACCCTTAATTAGCCTAACAATAAGCAGGCTCAAGATCTCCAGTTGATTTCAGTTCCTGGTATCTAAATGACACTCCCCAACCCCACTCTTGCTACTGGTAATAAAACTCTGAATATTCTCGTAGTAACCTTGTCCAGAACACTACAAGCACTGCTCTGATTTGAAGGCAGGTGTTGCTCCCTACTGAATCTTATTTTTTTTCTTACATATAAGTGAAACAGTAAGGACTGGGCTCCTCACTCACATACAGCACCGTCTGTTGTGAATGCAGTTGTGCTGGCCCAAGCACACCTATCCAAGGGTAAGGAGAGATATGCAGAGCACATGCATTGCTGCTGACCTTTTCCCATGCCTTTTACGCCTTCTATCACATGGGTTTTGCTCCTACTCTTCAGCCTGTCAGGACATGATGTGAATACCTCACCATTCCTTGGACCATAGGAGATGTGTAAGAAATTACTACATGTCTCTAGGTATAGCCCAGATCATTTGTGCAAAATGACTCTGAGAACTACAAACTCATTGTAAGTATTATTAAGTTGCCATAAAAGAAATAAGGTAAAAAGTACAGAGGAAATAGGACTCAGAATTGTAGATATCAATCTTTGTCCTTTCTGCCCCTGACCCTAGATATTTGTTTGTAATAACCTAGAAATGAGATTGAAAACTCAGTGTGGGCAGTTTGTTTTCTACCGTACTATGACTAGTCTTCTGCCAAATGTTAATTATTTTTTACAACAGAAAGACAAGCTCACCTCTTCTTCTAACAACGTTGCATATTCCAATAGAGATTTTATCAGCACTGTGATGTCTATTAAAAATAAGCAGCTTTTACATTAACATCATTTACATTAGCAGCAAAAAATGAAATTGGTAGACATTTAGCATAATATGTGTAAGATGTACATGAGCAAAAGCTCACAGATAACACTGTATAACACTTCCTGTTCATGTACAGGAAGACTCAGTATGGTTAAGATGTCAGTACTTTCCACTTGATTCAATACAATACAAATCAAAAACTAGTGACAAATCCAAGTGCTTAAAAAGTAGCCAACATTACCAATAGAGGAAAGCAGAACATTACCTGTAGAGCAATACTGATTCCAATGAAAACACTTCATCAGAAAACAGTAAAACCAGAGACACGGATGATGAAACATTTTTAAAGAACTGTGTACCAGTGAAAATATCTGTCCAGAATGAATGTAAGAGCAGGAGGTGTGGCTCAAGCCATACAACACCCGCCTAGCAAGGATGAAATCCTAAGTCCAAACCCCAGCACCACCAAAAAATTAAAAATAAAAAAAAAATGAATGTGCGAAATAATATTCTTGACGAAAGGGAGGAAAACTAAGAGAACTTGCAACACTGGAAATAAAAGCAAAGCAATAAATGATTAGGAGCTACATCAACATATCAGGAAATTCTCACCATGGTTTTTAATGTCTATAACTGTAACAAGTGGGACAACCACAAGATAAACACAGTGGTAAGGTGCAGGATATAAAGGAACCAATACAATGATAGTTTTCTACACTGAATGTAAGTATAAAAATTACTGCTAAGTGTAAAAGGCTATGTATACTATAATCCCTACAGCAACCACCAAAAACTATATAAAGCAATGTAGTTAAAAAGAAAATGAACTAAAATGGAATACCAAAATGTGTTTAAGTAAATAAAATAATAGGAAATGGGAAACAGAAAAATGAAGGAGTGGGCACATTCAGACACAAATACTAAATTAGACCTAGGATTCACCAACGAATACTTAGAATACAAAGACCCTAAAACATCAATTAAAATTCAGGGTTGATGGGAGGTTTAGCTCAATGACAGTGCTTCCTTAGCATGTGTGAGGCCCTGGGTAAGTCATGCCTAGCTACGACCACATACGAAAACAAACAAATAAATAAAAAATCCAAAAAAACCCAGATTTTTTTCAAATAAGAAACTGTAGACTGTCTATTTAAAAAATCACTTCATATATTACAGATATGTAAAAGGGAGAAAAAAAATACCTTGTAAGTGATAGTCAAGGAAAAGCTGGAATGATTATATTAACAGAAAAAAACAAACTAAAGCTCATGTCATATTTAATGTGAATACTGCACTGAGAATATGTAAAGTATGAACTTCCTCACACCTATCTGACATCATGTTGGAATTCTTAGCCAATGAAATAAGGGGGAAATATAAATTGGAAAAGAAGTAAAACAGGAATGACTGTAGAAAATCCCAAGGAATCTAAAACAAAACTTTCATAGAACCAAGTAATTTTATTAGCAACACTGTAAGTCACAGAGTTAACACACAAAAATGTCTATAAAAAACAATTAACAAATAGAAACCCAAATTAAAACCAATACCAACTATAACAGCTCCAAAATCAATGAGATACTTAGAAAGTATAAAAAAGGAATGAAAAAAAAAAAATGAAAGCTCTAAATGCATGGCATGCCACAACTTCATAGACCAGAAAGTAACTCATAAAAGCTGCCAGTTATCCTCCAAATCGCTAAAATGGAATGCAATTACAACAAAAATATGGCAGGATTTTTTAAAGATATACAACAGCTGAATATAAAATTTATGTGGAAAGACAAAGGAACAAGAATAGCCCAATCCACCTGGAAAAGGGTAAAGTTGGAAGAACCACTTTCAAGGTTTACTTCTAAAGCTACATTAACCAAAGCACTGTGAAATTATCAGCATGTATATACTGGCCACCCAAATATGGCTAAATGGTTTTTAACTAAGCTAAAAGACATTTCAATGGAGAAAGAATATTCTTTTCAACAAATGGTGGTGGAATTGGACATCTAAACATTAAAAAGAAAGTATACTTTGATCTAATCCCCATGCCTTAGTCAAAATTAACACAAAATAGACCACAGGTTTAAATTTAGAATAGCCAATCTATAGAAACAGCCAAGATGCCCCACTACCAATAAATGGATTAAGAAAATGTGGTTTTATACACAATGGAATTTTACCCAGTCACAAAGAATGAAATTTTGTCATTCACAAGTAAATGGATGGAAGTGAAGAACATCATCTTAAGCTAAATTAGCCAGGCTCAGAAGGCCAAAAAGTGCATGTTCTCCCTCATATGAGGACTTTCAACCTAAAACAAATGCAGCAATATTATTGGACATGGCTCACACACTAGGGGGAGATGTGTACTGGAGGAATAGGAAATGGAAAGAAACCTAAATCTTTAATGTGGTTATGTGTTCACTGTAGAGGAGTGAATATAGTAATCATAAACTGACTGAGGCCACTATTGCAAGGAGACCAGGAAATAATGAAGAAGTCTGGCAGAGATGAACCAATATGGGTTTTAAAACACAAGTGCATGGAAGCAACACTATCTTTACCTCAAAGTAACAAAATACTATGTCTTTCTTATTATCTCTTATGTTTTCTCTTAAACAAAATCAGAGAAGAAGACGGCAGAACAGATTCTGCCCGTAAGTAGGGGGGGAAGGAGGGAAAGGCAGCAAACAATTTAGACACATGTAAGTAAATGGAAAAACGATAAAATAAAATAAAGAAAAAAAAGAAGAAAACTGTGGAATGTCTAGAGTACTTGGGTATGACATTAAATAACAATCCATAAATAAGGAAAAATGACAGTTGGATTTCATGAAAATGAAATACTACTGCTCTGCAAAAACCCTGTTAAGCAACTAAAAAGAAAAAAAAGAAGAAATAAGCTATTGATCAAGGAAATTATTTACAAAATATTGACAGAGAAGGTGGACTTATCACCTAGGTGTCCAGAATTCACATAAAGTTATAGTTAAATGAAAGCAAGGCTCAAACATACACAAAAGAACGAATGGAAGGAAAAGCATACAAAAAATGGAAAAAGATATTTAAGAATGTCACACACACACACACACACACACACACTATAAAAAGAATAGATGTATACTTAAGTTAATATGACAACAGGAAAACTGACAATTTCAGTAAATCATACTGAAATAACTGAGTATGCATGCATAAAACAAGAATGGTCAAATGATCCCTTGAATCAATCACATGCAAAAATTAACTTCACACAAGATCTAAATGTGGAATATTTAAACATGTAGAATATTGGAGAATATCTGTAAGATATTCCTTAAATGGCACATAAAAAATACCAACCATAAGAGAAAGTAAAGAACCCTCCTCTAGGAAGATATAAAACAGTCACTCATAGCCAGGGAGATGACAGTTACAATATACATGTCCAACAAAGGTCTAAGAGCTACACTACAAAAAGATCTGTCCTAAATCCACAAGAAAGCAAAGAATGAAATGAAAACTTAAAGTCATCTGAGATGATGCCATACAAAAGATTTCCAAAATAAAAAGGTGTTTGACAACATTAATGATCAAGAAAATTCAAGTGAAAACTACTCCGACTACTATTATGTAGCTCTGAGAATAGCTGAAAATAAAAAATAAATTTCCAAATATTTACATAAATGTGAAGTTATACAACTGCAGCAAATGCCTGCTGGGTTTCTAATTCGTACAACCACAGAACTTTGGAAAATGCATTGGCAGTATTTATTAACACTGAAATACATATTCCCTAAAAACAAGCAGTTATGCTTTACTGAGCAGAATGAATAGATTTCATACCAAAAGACACATTTGAAATACTCCTAATCATAATAGCTCAAAACTGGACAGTCAGAAATCCATCTATAATAGAGCAGGTAAACTTCGGTATTCCACAATGAAAACTAAACCACAGCTATACTATACTCAACAATACAGATTAATCTCATAAATGTAATAATGTCAAGTAAAAGAATTTGAGTCTACATAAATTTTAAAATTATGTTTAAGCCAGGTGAACTGGCTCACACCGGTAATCCTAGCTACTTCAGGCGGAGATCAGGAGGATCACATTTCAAGGCCAGTCGAGGCAAAAAGTTCTTGAGACCACATCTCAACTAATAAAAAGTTGGGTGTCTTGGCATGAGCCTGTCATCCCAGCTCAGTGAAAGCTTACATAGGAGGGATCACCATGTAGGCAGCCCCAGACATAAATGTGAGACCCTATTTGAAAACAACTAAAGGGAAAAGAGTTAGGGAATGGCTCAAGCAGTCGAGGGTCTGCCTATCAAACGCAAACACCTTGAGTTCAAACCCCAGCAGCACCCCAAAAATAAATAAATAAATAAAGTACAATATTTAAAAGATGATACATAGGAAAGAGGTATGGTTGGTATAAATTAGCTAACTGTTACCTAGGACTGGGACAGGAGAGTTAATTGATTGGGAAATGACTCCTCAGAAGCTGGCAACATTTTACTTCTTGCCCAAGTGTAGATACATAGGCACTCATTCTATCAAAAACCACTGGGCTCTCCATTTTTGTTGCATGTAATTTTCTAGATATAATACTTCATATTTTAAAAAAAGGCTGAGAAATAGACAATTAAATCAGAATTCATCTATCATTTATAGTACCCAAAATCAAAAACTTTCACATTTATAGAGCAGATAAATTTATGTAACAAAGCGCCAATGGCATTTCTCTAATATTATTAAAATACAATATCAAAAACTAATTTATAAAGATGTAAAGCATGTATTATGTGCATCTAGAAATATTGCTACAAAGCATAATATGTAACAGACATATTGCATAATTTTTACTAAAAAGAAAAAAATGATGTAGGCATTCTATTGACTCATTATACAAGCACTATTTCCTTGAAATGCCAACCAAGTAAGATACAGAAGAAAATGTGTACATTTGTCTGAAAAGAGAAGTTTTCAGGACTTAGGAAAGGGAAGCAGAAGAGCTTGCTTAGCGACACTGCTATGCAAGTTAGAACGGTGTGTCATGCCAGCGTGCAACATGGAATGAGAGACTGGAAATGGGTGATGTAACACAAAGAAGGCAGAAACAATGGTAGTTAGAATGTCTTCTGCTTCAAAGCAAAGTAGGTATTTCAATTCTGTTTCAGACTTATGTATGCTGAACTCAGTAAAGAGTTTTTCAGATAATGAGGAGGTGTTAAATACTCTACATATCCTCAAGTTCCACATCCTCAAACTCAACCTGACAGATCGACAATATTCAAGAAAACAAAATGTGCCCATACTGAATATATACACTTTTTTCCTTGTCGTCATTCCCCAGACAAACAGAGTAACAACTACATACACAGTATTAACATTGTATTAGGAATTGTACATAATCTGGAGATAATCTGAAACACACAGGAGGATGTACTAAATCCCATGCAAATACACTACTTTGTTTAAGTGACATGAGAATGCCCAGACTCTGGTATCTGCAAAGGGTCCTGGGATCAATCTTGCTCAGGTATCAATGAACAACTGTATTAAATAAAGAACCCCAAAATATAATCACCAAAATCTTTATCAAGTTTCCTTTTTCCTTAAGGAATATCATCAAAAATGTTTGAGTTCAAATATTAGTCCAGGATACTATACCTGAATAACTGATGCTGATTTATTTTGAATTACTTCCAGTTTTTCCCTTTTTAACATTAATAATTTTCTCTGTGCTAAGAATCTTCGCCAATATTTCTGAATGACCAGTGCTGCATTAACCTCTTTTTTAAATCGCTGTTTGTTTAGAAATTTGATTACAGCTGACTGAATAATTCTTGCAGCTTTGTCTCTCTCCTTAAAAAAGAAAATACACACACAAATAAAAAATACTTCATTACTGAAGACCTTAAAATGATTTTTCATAAGCTAAAGATTTAAACATTAATCAAACTGATCCTGGAACTAGAACAACCCCTCCCTTAGGCATACCAACAGAGCCAATGGAAGGGCAAATACATGATGAAACAAAGTTTCCTAAGCAAGCAGTCCAAGGTAAAGATCACAGTCATGTTTAATCTATCACAAATCCTCAGTAAACAAGCTCAAAATAATCTGAAGTGTACCAGGGTATGTGTCTCAAATTTGGGTTCAGTGAATTCATGCCTGACCTTTAGGAAAATGGTGTAATATATTTAAAAAATGCTTTGTAGTAAAAGTAATTTTGTTTTTGTATAGTTTGAATCAAGCAATACAGAAGAGAGGAAAAGCAAGGTATCTCTTCCTTCAGCGCAGATGTGTTGTTGGACTAAAGCAGAGGCTCAAGAGAAGAGCTGCGTTTGCACTGTGAGAAGGGGTACAAGACACGCTGGACAGCATCGATGGCTGAGGAGGAGCCGCCTGCCTTGGGAACACCAGAGGCCACACCCTCCATACCTCCATTTGTGTGACTTCTAAAACTGAACTCCTATGAATACTAACACATTGTGTGTGTCCAGTGCTTCATAAATAATACAATGAACCTCATAAGAACAAGTGTACAGATTCTGCACTTTGTCTACAAGCAACATAGCATAGTTTGAACCAGGCTGCCTGGCTTTATAGTCTGTGCTTTTAATCACTTTGTTATGCTCTCCATGGCTGGATTTACCACTTCACCTTACCTAAACTGGAAACAAGAATACAAGTTATTTCCTCTAGTGGAAAGGAACAGCCTTTTATATTGCTTGGTATCAGTACAACATGCAAGAGTGGACTCTACATAGAAATAAGATGTAGATTCCCATTATCAATTAATGATAGTCAGCAGATGGTACCTGTGCATGGAGGCTGCACAAAAAACAACTATGAAGACACCAAATTGTTTACACACACACACACACACACACACAGAGGAAACTAGGAGACTGAAACAAATACTAAGGAATGGGAAGCACCATACATTGCAAGATTCCTATGTGAAGAAAAGACTAAATGATTTTAGTCTTATATGTATAGCAAAACTGATTAAACCATCTAACATCATTGTCAAAGACCCTGTAAAACCTACGGCCTTTAGGTTTGGAGAGATTCAAGATAAACATACCCCTATTAGCTAATTTTTTTTTTAAAGAAGTTTTAGAGAAGTAGTATGTATCATTTGAGTCAAAAGTTAAAAGGACCAGGTCAATTCTTGGTTGGACAAAACAGACCAAGGCTCAATCTTTAGGCCTTACTTCAAACAAACTAAAATCCAAATTTATTCAACAGTAGAGAAACTAAAGCTAGAGAATAAATAAATTAAGGAGGCAACTACATTACAAAAATTAGCAACTGTTTGAAAACTTGCATGAGTTAGTGGTGAAAGCTTCCAAGCCCACAGTCACTGATCCTTCTCTGAGTAAGACCACTTATCATTTTTCATCCTCTGTTGTTCCACCAGCCAGTCACCATCTTATTTCTTCTATTTTGTCTCATATATGGGGTCAAATACTTTGATTTACTTCATTTGTTGACAGGAAGAACTGAGAGATGTAATGTGTCAGAGGAACCTTGGATAACTGGCTTTTTGCCAATGTTTCTTTGTCACCAGGAAGCTTGAGCTAGTCCATTTCCACCTGATAGATAAATTATGACAGTGGCATAAGACCTGAACAGTGTCAATCTCAATACAATGTTTATAAGCTTTCCTAGCTTGTTACATGTCTGCTAGGATATATGGGGAGCCAGCTGCTTAACATTCCCAATAGAAAAAGATCTAATTGGATACTGGCATAATTAATTATATAAGAGGGGGAGGAGTCACCAGGAGAAAGGAGAGAAGCAGCGGCCAGATTGGATCAATGAAGTCCAATCATAGGTACAGAAATTTCTTTTAATTTTGTCATTCCTAAAACAGGGAAATTTCCATTATCTGCATGAAATAAAGGAATCGAAGAAAGGAATGATACCAACAAAAAGCCAGGAAACCTCTATGGTTAATATCTGATTAATACAGGGTATCTTCAGTGGAAATAAAGCAGGAAATGATAAATACCTTTTTTATAATTTGAAACCTTCCATTTAATGCATTATAGAAACAATGAATGTATTAACTTAAGGACTGACTAGGAGAAAATAAAACCTTCCAAAACCAATTCTGATGTAAGTTTCAAATAGTACAGTTATCCTGCCAGGGGTTTGTGGGTGGGTGGATTGTGAGAAGATGAGGGGTAACACAGGCACGGAGCACACACAGCAGAATGACAATGACATGGTCTTAGAGAAGAACATGAGTACAGAGTACAGGCATGGAAACTTCCACTATCTTTTATTTTCTGAAAGAAAACAGACTCTGCCTGTTTCCCAAAAGTTGTTCTAAGGACTTCGAGTGGGGCAAGAACAAATCATTTCAATTAGTGTTATTTCCAAGTCAGATACGGCATAAGAAAACCCACGTTACATTTCAGAGTTGGCAAAATTTAGCTATTTTAGACAATTACTGAGAATTTGATCATAAATCCACTATAATTTAAAATTGAAGAGGAATAGTAGGTGGAATTTATTTCTGAAATGTCTAGGATAAAATTGCATTAGACAATGGCTGCTTGCTTTGTTTGATTTTTTTTCCAAATAATTAAATATGAGTTAGTAAAGGTGGTAGAGAGATAAAAGGAGTAAAATAACTTTTTCACCTGGATCACAGAGTCCATTTCAGAGATTATTAAAAATGGCATTTTTTTCTCAGAATGAGGAAAAAAACCTTATTTTAATGCAATTTTTCTATTATTTGGCTCAAAAATTGAGACAATAAGTTACATACCTATCCTCATGTCCAAATCCTAAACATTTTAAAAATTAAAACAATGGACACCAAAATACACTTTAAAACGTTAAAGTAAAAGCTTTTTAAAACTCAAAAAATGTTTCACAAACAAATAGAACATGCTTGATAAATTACTACAAAATCAGACGCTTGATGTCCTGATTTTGCAGCACAAATGAGGATAGGCACTCCAGAGCTCAACATGAAAAATCAATGGGAAATTCCTGCTGCTGGAGACAGGGCAGATTCTGATAGGACAAGGGAAAGGGAGAGTCAAGCAGCCAGGCCTAGTTTCTTTGCAGATTTACAAAGAAGGTTATGTTATCCCTCTTCTATAATGAACTAAGTGAAAGCGCAGACAGAGGCTAGAACACACATCAAATCAAGACCATAGGGCATCTCCAAACACATGTACACAACTGTTAAATTTACCTTTCTTATCAAGAATCAGTCGACATCTTAGGAAATACAACTCACACTACACTGTTTTTCATTTTCCAGAATTACCTTGTAGCATTGTAGATCTTTTCTTAGTTTATATTTTCTCCATGTTGTCTGTATAAGTCGAGCAGCTCTTATTTCTTTACGGAGATCCAAAAGCCTTGCACAAAGAAATGACAAATAGGTAATAACCACCTAAGAGAAAATATAAAATATGAAAACAGAAGATCAACAGAGAGTATACGACTATCACCCTTTGGAACTTATTATTAACAGTTATTAATTAAGAAACTCTTCTACCTACCTTTTCATCTGGAATTGTATTTGACATATCTGAATGATGAATCATAGCAGGTATTCCACCAAGGTCTCTAACTGCAGACCTAACCAAATGAAAATTTTTCTTTTCATTTTCTAGAAGCTCTTTGTGTAGTTCTGAAATATTTTCTGCTATGCAAGTGAAAAAGAGAAATTAAGACTGTTGTAGCCAAAATTCAGACATGCCAAAGAATTTAGAAAAGCTAATCACCAAAAAGGGACTGACCATGATCCAATGCTTTAAGAGACGTATCCAGAGTGCTGTCATCAGATTCAGATGAAGAATTTAATACTACTGCACCAGTCTGTGTGCATTCCACAGTGTGGGTAGTACGCTGACAGATAGCACCAAAAGGCACATAGCAAGGGTGGTAGTGGTGGATCAGGTAACATAACACCTGGCCATCTGAGAAAGACACCGTAAAATTCTCCACCTGATTGGAGACATCAGAAAAATGATTATCTATATTTAGATATCTGTATCAATATCAATATAATGTTTTTGCAGATTATTTCCCTTTTAAGAGCTAAAACTATCATATTAATTGCTAATAGCACCTAGTATGATACTATACTTATAGCCAAATTATTAATTATTCAATACTAACCATGTGAAAAATAGAATTTAATTATAATATTGTCCTAAGTTGGAAACTTTATGTCCTTCCCACAATCTCAAAGTAGCCTCATTCGAGAAGTGTCATTAGAGATATAATTAACCTGAATTCACAGAGTGGGTTCTGAACACAGTATGAAAGGTGTCCTTATAAGAGAACAGACACACAATCAGAAACACAGTATGATGGTACAGCCAAAGACTTGCACCCACAAGCTAAGGAACACTAAGGATTGCTGGCAACCCGCAGAACTTAAGAGGAACAAGTGGAACAGTTTTCCTAGAGCCATCAGTGAGACTGTCGACTGACCAGCACCATGCTTTCACACTTGTAGCCTCTAGCACTTCAAGAGAACAAATTTCTATTTTAAGCTACCCACTTTGTTTGACTCTAAGGAATCCTAAGCAGTGTTTCAGCACTGCTCATAAGGACCATTTTGAATAAGGAAATTATTGACAGAAAGCACAAAATGCAAAAAACAAAAACAAAAATAACCGATGGCACCAGATAGACCATGAGAAAGACATTCATGTCTAGAGCAAGAAAAGAAATAAGAAGTCAAGAGAGTCTTGTTCCATCCCAGCTGGGAACAGTATCTTGGTATTTGCACATGTGAACAACTGTCCTAAAAAGGCACCAGTAATGATTTTGGCATTAGAAATAAGTTTTGGATAGTCATGGAATTCATGAATGATGGTGATCAAATGTGTCATTGGGTTTTTAGCACTTAGCCAAAAACAGATTATCTATGTATTTTACAATTTTTCTACTAGTAATATTTTGAAGAGTAATATAGTTCACCATATTTAGTTACATATATTCTGTATAGTGGTTCCTGTTTTCTATTCCTTAAGGACAGTTTATCCAGGCATTTCGGGGAAATTTTTGTTTCATGCATTTACATTTAAAAGTATGTATCAGACTGATATGTAATCAACCTAACAAATTATTATGAAAAGACTCAATTCCTATCTGTTGTCCCTTTCCATACGGTGGGTTCATTTACATTTACTTTTATAGTAATAAAGATCTTTTATGTCCCAGATCTATTGTATACTAAGGTATTTGTTTTCTTTGTGATAAATAACATATAATTATCATACATTTTATAATTGGTGATAGATTATAAAAACTATGATATATTATAAAATAGCCAGGCATTTGAGGAAAACTTTGCTTATATACATAAATAATTTAAGAAATGTAAGAAAATATTTCATCCTCTAAGTTAGATTTTAAGCAAAATTTATTTAAAGATGTTAGGTAAAAACAAAAACAAAGAAACCTACCTTTTTATTATAGAAGGCACACACAGCATTTACCCAATCCAACAATAACTTCACACTGTCACTGTATTGTTCCAGGGGACCAGTATTCCTTTTGTCTTTTTTCTTATTAGTGACAGCATCAAAATGGCATGACAGTGCAGACATTGTTTTTCTTATGCTCAGTGTGTGTTTTAGAAAGTGAATTTCTTCCCTTAGTTCTTCTAAATTAAGGGAAATATCTACCTGAAACATATAGAAAGGATAAATTTCTGTTACTTTTAATGAGCAGAAATCCAAGTAAATATCTTCTACTTAAAGAAACTGAAGATTAGGAAAAAAAAAAAAAAAAAACCTAATAAGAAATTTTTTACCTATGGGGGAAAAAAGTAGCCAACACCTCCACATTTTCCTTTTAATGCAGGCAGAATCTATACTGAACTGGTAGACTGTTTAGTGGTTAAGAGCATGGGATTTGGGGCCACATAAGGCTGGGCTCTAGCCTCAGCTCTACTTCTTCTCAATGATGTAAATTTTAGGTTCAGTTTTCTTACCTGGGGGGCAGATTTAAAACCTAGCTTATAGATATGTAAAATGAGTATTAAACTGGAATGCCTAAACAGTTTCCAGGACAGAGTAAATCCCATTAAGTGATAGTTATTATTGCTAGTCTTTAGCTGATTCAAAACAATTTTATGAATCAGTATTCGAAATTGATACAAAGTGTAGTGTGTCAAATATATAATACCTGAAAAGCAAAGGCTATTTTCCAAAGCAACCCAAGAGTTTTTTCTCTGTGCCTATCCACAATGTCCTTAGATAGAATAGGGTTTCCTACAAATGAAAACACAGTCCATTAGCATAACATATGTACACGTCAGTAATCAGTGAGGAGAAGAAGTTTTACATTTATGCCTTTACCATGCTCATCACTTAATTGAATTCCTCGTGATTTAAGAACTTGAAGAACAATATCAACATTGTGCATCTTTTGAAGACGACTTATTGCAGGAATCCTGAGTTTCTTTGAAAGATTCCAGTTCTGCGTGAGAAGTTCCATAGTTCGTCTAGCAGCAAAGAAATTTTCAAATGAAACTGCCTTATAAAAACATACATTAAAAAAGTCTTCATTTAATAAATTACCCCCACAAATCACAGAAACACATTAAGGTCAAAAGGTCTCTAAAAGACTACTGGGTTGCTCCATAGTTAATAAGTTATTTTTCACTTTAAGTTTAGAAGATGAGATCATTATGGATTCATTATAAGAAAGAAAAAAAATGAGACACACAAATACACACATGAACAAAATAATAAGAGTTCCACAGAGAACGAAAGGAAGGAAAAGAGAGGAATCACAGGGGAGGGGTTAAGAGGAAGAAAAAGAGGGGCACAATTAGGTGCACTATATTCTGCACATCAAGTAAGCACTTTTCGTTCCTGTTTTAGTCATCATGGTAAATCCCACAATGAGGTATTAGTAACTCATTTCTTTGCAGGTGGAAAAACCAAAGTTCAGAGAAGTTAATTAAACTGCCTGTGGTTATATAGCTAGTAATGACAGAACTAAGAAACCAACAAAAATTCTGTTTTATTAGTTTCCAAGGTCATTCATATAAAAAGGATTAAGTCCCTACCTAAAAAAGTTTAACTTCAAATTCCTAATGCGATCTAGGTAACTGGTGTTTTATCATTTCATAATAATCACTTCTGCAGAAGAAGCAAGCCCCAAATGATTACCATCCTCCTACATCAAGCACTCAATCAATGTAAGGAACATTCCTACAACAGTAGACCAACCCATTACCCAAGGCATTAGTGGACTAATCATTCCTATTCTGAAATGATCTCAAGGCTCCATGAAAAAGTCATTTTGCTCATACTGAACAAAGGAGAAATTTAGTATGCAAGACTGAGTCTCTTAACTACTGAAAGTTCCTAACCAACTTCTGGCCACCTAAACCCAATATTGGTCAGTCTTCAGAAACTCCTGTAAAAGCAGGAAAAAAAAAAGTTGTTCCTCATAGAAAAATAGCACCAAACATTAAACAATCCTTGCTATCATGGAAATGGAAAAAGTCTAAAAACACAAATTCAAATTGGCCAAAAAAAGAGATGAATTGCTTTGAAGTTATGGAATAAACAAATTAACCAGTTATAAGAATATTATGTGAAACGTTTTCAGCAAATGATCTAGACTGTGAGAAACTGTTCACAGGAGAGAAAGCTATAGTAATTTTCAAAAAACTACTAGCTATGAGAACATCTATCAGGAAAGAAAAGATTGTTCATGGAAACTTAACATGGATGGAACAAGGGACATATATGTCATTTTTGAAAATCAGAAGATTCATAAAAATCTAGGGATCTCTTTCCTAAAAATACCAAAGAATTCCTCCATCCTGGCCAAGTCGTCCTCTGACCTCTGCTTGAATCTTCCAACACTATCAACTGGCTTCTTTTTAAGGACAGATCTGAAGGTTGGCAAGCTGAAACTTTCCTTGTTCATTTGTAGTTATTTTGCTTGGCAATTTAATCACCTTTTACATCCGATGGTCTGTTAAATACCTGAAGGCATTTATGTACTAGCTTTCTACTCCATTCAGTTTCTTTAGACATTCATAGGTCCTTTGAATGGTCTTCCTAAGATATGGATATAAGGTTTCTAGCAAAGAAGGTAGTGAGTATATTTAAGTAACTTCTTCCCTAGATTGGTTAAGTTTTTAGCCAATTTGAATTATACCATTAAGACTACCTGCAATGTACTAGTTATATCATAAACAAAAACCTAATAGGAAGGTACTACATCAGGTACAGAATTCAGGTAGATTTACTGTAGCAGTGATAATTTATGAAGGCCATCAATTCTGTTTCCTGAATTTCAAAGTTCAACTGGCTTAACATCTTAAATACTCAAGCATATTTTTAAAGAAATCTCTTCCACTGAACCCAAAAGTGCTTCACTAAAGAGGAAGTACGCATTGGAGACTTCCCTAGAAATAAGACAAATTTCTCCAATTCAGAAACTCTAAAGAGGACAACTGTAGTACATGACAAAGGCCACTCCTTCCAAAGCAAAAAGAGGCAAGCCATTATTCCAACCAAAACCAATTTTGAGGATTCCAGTTGGCTATTGGGAAAAAATTCTATAGGTTGAAGTCAAACACATGAGTTTATGTTCCAATTCTACTGCTTAAAACTTGGGCAAGTCATTCTCCCTTTTCATCTTATTTTACCCACACATAAAGCAAGATAAAAACTAATAAAAAGTCTCAGTTGTTAAGCATCTCATGAAAACACTGTTGACAAAAATATTAGTCAAGTGTTTGATATTTTCATTAGTTTCATGCTCTTCCATACTCTTATGCTGAGACATCAGCAGTTCCTATCAATATATCCTAATCACATGTTGGAAGAAAATAAGGTGATAAGAGACAGGTTTCTGGGAAAAACACTGATTTATCATTTTTCTGAAAGAGAAAGCTTTTTTTAAAATCTCAAATTTTCTATTACATGAAAGAGAAATGAAAAATGTATATGTGCAGAAAAAAAAATTTTCCACAAAATTTTACTCTACTCTTTAATGTAATTTTACTTAATGTAAAATGACTCTATTTCTTGTACTTACACAAGACGCACACCACACTGCAAGTCTACAGCAAGATTTGTAACAGCAAAATCAAATTCATCAAATGGCGTCTGAACATGGCTCACAGGAAATCCCAATAAGCTAAGGTGACGAGAAAGGTCACCTTCACCACTTAGGAAATCTCGTGAAAAAGCCAAAAGAATTTCTTTACTAGCCTATAAAGAAACAGATTGCAGATATTATGTTTCAATAGAATTGTGTCTAGAATGAAAACAAATCCTTCAAATCATTCTGTACAGAGAAAAAACAAAACTAATGTAACATAAAAGCTTTACAGTTTCAAATATATGGTAATGTATTTCTAACTTATGATTTTTCCACATATTTCTAACTTATGATTTTTCTAAAAATTGCTCATAATTAGCAATACACTGTTAAGAACTAGAATTAACTTGATAATATATGACATCAAAATTAGGAAAGAAATTTCCCCAGCAGTTATATTCATTATCAAGTCAAAATTAAAAGTAAGGATGATGCACTGGTAAAATGACAACCAGCAAAAATCTTTAGCCATGGTAACTAAGAGAGTCACCAGACAGACATTCATTCCTATTCTGCTCCACAATACTGTTCTTTGGAAAACTAACTATATTTCTAAACAGAGTATGCCATATAGTCAAGCAAAACTCTTACATGGAAATACGATATATAAAACATGAAACAAAAACTGTACCTTGAATTCAGCATCTTTACAGAAGAGACAAGGATCGTGATCAATAAGTCTGGACATTTTAGCATGATCAAGGAAGCAGACCAGCAGCAATAACTTTTTTAATGTGAACTTGGACAAAGCTTCTTCATGACCTTAAATAAAGTACAAAAACACGGCAATTCATCTACAGAGGGCAAGTTTCACCTTAGAATACAGTCATAATGATGGTGATAAATTATATGCTAGTAAAGAAATAGTAGCTACCATAAATAAAACACTTAAGTACCCTTAGTACTTTACATGCATGAATCCAATTAAATAACTCTACAGGATGGTTTCACTTAAAATCTGCATTTCACAGGAAAGAAAACAGGCACAGTGACAGGAAGAGATTCAACTGGCCTCATTCAACAAATATTTAATGAACACCAACTATGTGCAAACACCATCCTAGGTGCTAGACATACAGAAGCAGGTTACAAAAAAAACAATCCCCATAGGACTTACAACCTATGACAGAGTATGTGGAGACAACAAAGAATAAGAATAATTACAAATAGTGATAGAGTAATGATGAGGAATGAAGAGGGTGCAGGAAGGTAGTGGTAACAGAGACTAGTTTCTTTACAAAAGTAAATTGCAACAAGACTGCCAAGAAACCATTTATGCATAGGGTGTAGAAAAACTCACCATCTCTGTAGAGATGAGGAACAGTAGGATGTCTATATTCAGCAGCTATATCAGGATTCCAAAGCAAGCGATTCAGAATAAACATAGCCAACCCCGTGACATCACTGTTGTCTTCCAAAGAAATGAGTTCTCCATAGACTGTCTGAAAAGACAAAAATTAGAGCCAAAGCCAGGAAGGAAGAGATAGACTGGGGAAGAGCAGACGATGATCTTGAGGCTCAGGCAGTGTTCCATGCCCTAAACAGTACAGAAGTGACCTGGTTATCTACTACAAAACCTCTTTAAACTGTACATATTTCTTTTGGGCCTTTTTTAGCATACATAATATACTTTACAATGAAAAATGACAAACTTCAGGAAAAATTATTAATCATCTGACAAGCAAATTCTATTTTTTTTAAATTGTTGTGCTGAGGTACACTGTGGCATTTACAAAGGTTCTTATAATATATCAAATATCTACATTTCAATTTTTTCCTGTAAGTTAAAGAACTTTTGAGTATAGGCATGTTGTTCAAATTTAACTATGACTGTTTCAGTAAATATGTCATAAAAGTAAAACAGAAACCTAATTATTCAAATTTCATAAAAGTTAACAGGTGGAAAATCAGCTCTAAGAATCTAAGGTAATAATCTGGGACATCCAGGTGTTTATAATCAATTACAAATATAAAATTAGCGTATCAACATGCTTATTATTGATTTTGAAGGCGAAGAGAAAAGCCTAAAAATATGTCCAATCATACTTTGTAAGCCTACGCTGATAAAAGAGAGCTGAACACATGGAGAATTATTACTACTTGCCAAAACAGAGAAATTTACTTTTATTTACTCTTGGCTTTTGAAGCTTTGTTAAAATCTTCAAAGGTCATCCATGTTTAAAAAATACAAAGTTCTGGTGGCAAAGAGAATGTTTTATTGCTCACAGTCACTGACCTCCATTCCCCGTAAAAGGATTCGTTACTTTCACTACCTTTCGTGGACTTACTGTGTCTCTTGCGAGAGGCCGATACATTCCTGCCTAGAGTGTGCTTGCCTAGACGATGCAGATGTGCTTTGACCAATGGGATATGGTGGAAACAAACCACATGTGAACAAAAGTCTTAAAGAACAGTCTCACAGGAGCAAGGCACTCTCGTGTGCCCCTGCACAGCAGGATGACCATAATTATTATAGATAACAACAACGCACTTCCAGTCAGAAAGCTACAAGAAAGGATCTGAAACTTTCTACCAGAGACATGACAAATGGTTGAGCATATAAATATATTTAAGCCGATTTAAACATTATACAAAGTATACAAGTATCAAAACATAACATGGTATTTCTCATATGTACAAATTTTATGCATAAAAGCATAAAAATAAAATTTTTAAATAAATAAGATGGTTAAAGAATAAAAAGGGAGATTAAAAATGAATTAAGTTTCTACCTAATAATCTTGTTTCCCTTGCCATACACACACAAAAAAATCTATGGCCCAGTTTTGGGGGTCTCTACTTCAATCAAGGCTCCAGAATTACTTGACATGTGAGGCAGAAACACTTGACATGTACTTTACTGAGCAATGGAAGTGAAAGGGAAATAGTACTGAAAAAATAACTTTTAGTAATGATGCTATCACAGTAAGCTTATTATATGTTCTCTCTGAGCCTCCAATTATTCATATAGAAAAGCTCAATTATTGAAAAAACAATCTCTTTTGACCCTGAAGGCTCTTCTACCCTGAAACCTGGAATAAACAGAAATAATAATGAGATCTCACACTGATAAAGTAAGAAACTACAGAGAATACTTTACTCTAAAAGTGTATATTTAACAGCCAGCTATCAGCAGTAGCTTTCAAATTCTGTTGGCTTTAACATTCTAGATGTTACTGAGCCAACCACTATAAAGTAACTAAAACTCTGATGACATTTTATGAGAAGTACTTTGGCATCAGACTATGGAAGTTTGAGGCCAGGCCAATTATTGGCATTTGGCAAGTCACCTGACATCAGCTTTTATTTTATTGGTAAAGTGAAATAATAACACATGCTTCACGGAATTTTAAAGAATCTAGGATTAGAAAATGTATTTAGAATAGCCTAACTAGTCTTTTAATTTGTAAATGTTCAAAAATGAGCTTACAATAGTCATTCATCATACCCAGCACCAAATTATATCTATTGAAAAGACTATACAAGTAAATTATGCTGTAACAGTATGGCAGTAACATCTAATTGCATGATCTATTCACCTATTGAATGTTTATTAATTGACCTCACTTTTTTACAGAAAGATGAACCAAGCTAACCATATAACTTGGTAACTATTTTGTCAGTACTGGGGTTTGAACTCACTTGCTAGGGAGTCACTCTACCACTTGAACCATGTCCCCACCCCTCTTTATTTTAGGTATTTTTCTAATAGGGTCTCGCTCTTATGCCTGGGCTGGCCTGGACAGCAACCCTCCTAGATCCTCCTACTTACACTTTTTAGTGAGGATGATAGGTATGTGTCACTGCACCCAGCTTTTTTTTTTGGTTGAGACACGTTCACACTGTTTGCCCAGGCTGGCTTCAAACAGTGATCTCAGCCCTACTGAATAGCTAGGATTAAAAGGCTTGAGCAGCCGGACCAGAGATTTTTAAACTTTCATAAGTTAATCCATATTTTATTAAAGTCTATTTTATTTAAGGTGTATAATTAAAAGAATAAAATAAAAAACTGAAATGGATGCTTACCTCTAGGCCAATTCGAAGCCATAAAGGATTGTAAGACAACAACCAATTTAGGACTTTCTGGCGTTCACCTGAAATGTAGGTCAAAGAAAGTTAGGTTTGCATCAAAATCAAATGAAGACAATAAATAAAACTCCATGGCAAAAATATCACTGCAAAAAATAAAAATCACTTACACAAAATAAGTTAATTCAAATGAAAAATATTTAACTATATATGTGGTCATATTTATATATGGGAGACTTTAGGAAGCAAAGCTAAAACAAGTACATCTGGCTTTGAAATACAAATCTCATGGGAACTGGGATCAGTATCTGGAAGAGATTAACTACATTTTCAAGTTAATTGCAGCATTATTTGCAATGGGTAAGATATCTGTCTATCTAAGTGTCCATTGACAGATGAATGTATAAAGAAAATGTGCTGTATGCATATACACAATTGAATACTCTTCATCCCTTTAAAGGAAAATCTTATCCTTTGCAAAACCATGGATGAACCTGGAGGACATTATGTTAAGTGAAATAAGCCAGTAAAGAAAGAGAACTACTGCCAGTCTTGCTTGTACATGGAATCTAAAAACACTGAACTCACACAAGCAGAAAGAATGGTGGCTGCCAGTGGCTAGGGAGATGCTGATCAAAGGCTTCAGCTACACAAGACAGATAAGCTTTGGAGATCTAGTACACTGTGCAATTAGCACAGTTATTGATACTGCACTACACACTTGAAGTGTGCTAAGTGTAGATCTTAGCTGTCCTCGACCCCCTAGGAAAGGCGATGGGTGTTAGTTACTCAACGTGGTCATTCACAACATACACATATACCAACATCGTACTGTACATTTTAAATATACACAACTTTTATTTGGCAATCACGTTAAGGGGCAAACAGAGAAATACCGAATTTCTAGTGTTTTTAAAGAATTAATCTCAAGATTTCTATAAACTCCTTACCAACATCTTTCCAGAGGTGTCTATCTTTTCGAACAATTAGCCGTCCAACTTCGATTTCAATTTCAAGCTTTTTAATAGCTTTAACCATTTTTTCAGAAGTGAACAAGCGGCACGCTGTGCGACGTAACCTGTTCAACCTGCACCGCACAGTGTAAGCTCTGAGAGACACTTCATCCTTCGTAGGAGCTCTGAGGACACTTATTTTATGTGGATTCTCCACTCCCAGAAGTAGAGTAGCAGCATTTACTGATAGAAACAAAAGGACGAATGATTCTGATTAAACAGTATCTCTACACATTATTTAATCCAGCAATAAAATGCAAAGTAAGATGATCAAACGGAATCTTTTCCCCACTCTCTCCAAGTTTACTCCATTCTGAGTTTCTTATCTTAAAATACAGGTGTAATCATTCACCAAACAGGCAGATTTGGCCAGTCTACCTCTACAACCCATGCAGTCCAAAGTAACCACTGCTCACCACCTCCACCATCACCCAATGTCAATTGTTAGCATTGCTCACTCATACTAAAGAAGTGGCCTTCTAACTGCTTTCTGTTTCCATCCTCTTTATGAATTTATAAAAAGTTAAGCTTCTAAGGAATATGATTTTTTAAAAGCAATTGAATTTTGAAGTATAATCTGAATCTTTATATGAGGAGTAAAAATTAAACTTCCTTTTTGGAAGAAAAAGAAAAGTGATCCTCTACATCATCTAATCTAAACCTTCCTTTAAAACAGAAATCCAATGCAAGTTCTCTGAGCAGTGCATACCAGTGTTGGCTGGAACACTTCGACAAAGAGGAAATCCCTGCTTTATAAATGGCCTACTCCATGGGTTGGCAACCTAAATTTTCATAAAGATCTTTTATTGAGCCAAAATGGATCCCTGTGACTTCTTTATAAGAACTGCACAAAACGCTTCAAATGTTTGAAAGCCACCAGGTTTCCACCCTGTCTCACACCCAAGTCTTCTCTTCCACAGTAAACACAGAATATTGTAGAGCTTCCTCCCATGAATTTGTTCTCAGGCTCCAAATAATCCAACCACTTTTCTACACACTTCTTTACCTAAAGTATTTGGCAGTGGAGTCAATACACACCAAGTAGTGAAGCCACAAAGGACTGACTGCATTGGCTGACAGGAAAGAAAGAAAAGTAAAAAGAAAAAGCAAATTCCAGTACTTTCAGTACAGAAAACCTATGTACATAAACCTATGTAAATAAAAATTACCACCTATATAATCTTTAGACCAAGTGAACCATTCTAAACCCCAGTTCCACTGAACAAATAAATTAGTGAACACACCATCAGTACAACATAACCAGCACATATAATTAAAGGACAAATCATGTCAAAGTTTTGCTCTGTTCAAACGAGAGTATTATTAAATACAAACTTAAATTTATGTGTACCTTCAGGAACATTTGTTTTTACAGTGAAGTCATCAGGAGTTAATATGAAATTTAGCCACCAAGTGAAGCCCTGTTCCTGCTTTTCCTTCCAGCGCTCATCATAAAACATGTTTTTGGCGGCAAACGGCATTGGGTGCCTAGGAATGTCTAAGAATACAAGTCAATTATTGCACAAGAAAATTTCCCTATTAGCAAAATCATCTTTAAAACTCTGAATACTATTTCCTTTTCACTCAAAAGGGTTGGTAACATTTTGAGTATAAAATACAATCAAGACAAAAAGGGGAAAAATAAAGCACTATCTCCTGGCTTATTCAAAAATCCTAACCCCAGTAAGTCTAATAGTATCATAATTGCAATTAATACATGCTTTAAAAATCCTTTAAGGACTTTATCCAATAAAAAAGTCAATTCATTCCCACTTGAAATGCCATTAGTGCTTCATTCAATGTCACCTTTGAAGTTAGTTTAAATACAGTAATCACTTGCCTGTTTTTAATGGTTTGATGAAGGTCAAATTAGATTGTGCCACAGCAACAATGCGTTTTCTTCTTTTGCTTGTTTTAGAAATGGGAGTTTTAAATACTGATGAATCTAAAATAAATTAGAAAACCTAATAGGATTAAGAAATAAATTTCCAAAGTAGCTTAATGTTTAAGTTAACTTTGGGTTCTTCAGAATCATATTCACTTAGCAAATACTAGTAACTCCAGGTACTGATACTAGTACCTGAGTTCAGTACACTGAACTCAGTGGCCAATAAAACCAACACCTAGAAATTATAGACCATAAACCACAATGACTTTTTGTCTGTGGAAGCTACAATCCAGCTTTAACCACAACTTACAGAGTGCATGTATTCCAGGCTCTGTGTAAGATGTAGCAAGAATGCAGAATTGAAAGACAGGTCCCAGCCCATGGGACCATACAGTATAGAAATATACTTAGGATGACTCAGAAGGTAGAAAGAAGGTATAAGGAATATGGCCTGCTGAGAAAACTGCAATTAGGATGAAGCAAAGAGTATTCATGAGAAATGACAAATAAGAAGATGGAAGAGGCAGGTAAGAGGTCAAGAAGATTAATAATACTGGCAGCTAATGATTGAATACATTCTGCCATATACTATCAAATATCAAAGTCTTTCATTCACACAATTATCACAACAAATCTATGAGAAGAGTATTATAATAACCCACAATTTATATAATTAGGATACTGGAGCTTAGAGCAATAAATCACTTGTCAAGGTAGCAAGTTAGAAAATAGCAAGGACTTGAACCTACACTGTACTATTCCAGAACCTGATTCATTACTTTGAAACACCTACTATGCCAGTGAGGGGTTTTAATCCAGGAAGAAACACCTTTGTTTATATTTTAGAAAATAGTAAATGGAATGACTGGGATCAAGACTAGACAGAAAACTACAAGGCAGTTAGTAGTGAGTCAGGCTAGCTATCATGAGACAAATTAGAGGAGAGTTATGTCGACCATGAAAGCAATAACCCTCAATACCAACTAGGGAGGAAAGTGATCAGAGTGAGAACAGACCCACACCCAGATATACAGCTCAGGTGATTTGATACAATGGTAGGAGGTTATAAAGGAAAAGTACAAAATATCAATTCTAGGAACCATTGGAAAGAGGCTGTTTATCCTTGTTTAGAGGAATATCAAATCTATAACTACTGTAAAACTAAGGAACATGACCGAATTGTAACAGTGTTATCTATTAGGTCATAATGTTTCTATTTGAACATTTAAGACACAAATTTCTAGGGATTCTCATTCTGAAACCTTGAAGAAGCTGGTTCCTTTGCCTGTAACCACTTTATTCTTTAGGAAGTCTTCCTGGGCACCTTCTCATGCCTCACTGTTATTCGGACAAAGCCCCCACTTCTGTGCCTCTATAATTCCCAGGGCACAGCTTGAGTACAGAACTGAAAGCATCTTGAAGCTAAGAAATTATATTGTTTCCCGTTACATCCACAGAGCCTAGCACAATGCATAACACATAATAGGCACCTTAGAAGCATTCAACGAATGCACACAGAAAACTGCCCTCAGTTCTTCTAGATTTGTCAGAAGAGAAAGAAGCTAGAGCAACACTGAGTGAATTACCTGCCTCTCACATAGGTTCATAAATCAGATACCCAATGTGTATAAACTTCTCTAAATCTAACAAAGGTTACAGTGGTAAAAGGCATAGCCACCAACTAAGTGGCTGCCTTAAATAAACAGTAAGTGAGAGCGTCAAAACTGCAGTGGTTATTTGTTCACTTATTTGCTAATTCTTTCATTCTCTTCATCATTTATTTTACATCATGTAGGTGATCAAAACAGCTATGTTCCTCATGATCACAGAACTGATCTAATCAGAACTAGCTATCCCAAACAGTAAAGAAATAAAACAGAGTTTTAGTTATGTCATATAAGCTATATTTATATTTGCTAAGTGAATGTAACTAACTACAAGGAAATTCATTAGGGAACATAATTAACAGAAATTGATTATAGTACTTGAAGTAACTGAAAGGTCTCAATTAATGAGAACAGCCATGAATGTTAATAAGAAGACAAACAGAACTACAAGAAGACGATGGTGGGCATATGTTTAAGGATAACTAGAAAGCTGGCTGGATAAATGGATCAAATAACAATTATCTTTGAATGACAGACTAACATGTTTGTAAATTATGTGATTAACAGCGGGGAGCCACTGAACTTTCCTGAGCAGGATTAAGACCATCACATGCCAGATACAGCCAGTGCCATTTGCACTAGGGCATCAGAACTTGAGACTCACTGGTGATCCCATTGTGTCTTTCATCATTGCAACCTCTGGTCATTGCTTCAAATAAAAACCTTTCATTTAGCTTTTCTCCCACTGAAATCCTCACAATGTAGCAAGATATGGTATAAAGAACATTTGCTTTGTATCTAGGTAAACATAAATTTAAACTGTGGCTCAGAATATTTAGTAGCTTTTGTGACCACAGACAAGTTACTGCTTTTGAACCTGATAAGATAAAGAAATTGGAGAAGGAAGTCAGTCTGGACAGAATAAACACAAGAAGCTGCAAATACCCTGAGGACAGAGAATGTTTAAAGTTCAAGGATCAGAAGGAAGCCAAGGGAAAGAAGCAGAGTGGGCAAGGGAGAGAGAAAAGTGAAAGTGAGGTTGGAAGATGGATGGATGGGGATATGGATCTTACCGGACTTTGTAATCCTGTGTAGGAAGTTTGGTTTCCTATGCAATAGGCACCCATTAGGTGCCATGAAACTGCAGAGTCCAAGGCTTCAATACCTTTAAAGTAGTAGTGTAGAAAACAAACAATAGGCAAGGGTGAAAACAAGATCTGGGTGCACACCTGTAGTGACAAAGACTGGCCCCAATGGTGTCAACTGATAGTGGTAAGAAGTGATCAGATTTTGAATATATTTGGAAGAAATTAAAGATTTGTTGGTGGACTGAGTTTGGAATTAGACCTGTGTTTGAACTTATAAAGGATGGAAGAGAAACACAATTAAAGATAATTCCAAGGTTTCTGGTCTGAATAGTGAGAAACAAAAGTATTTGGGATGGGAGATGAAAACAGGATTATGTGTTTTGAGTAGAGATGGGAAGTTTATCTTTGCATGACTTAAATAAAGGAGATCATTAGAAGCAAATAGGAGTGTTAGCTGTTGGATATGTGGGCCTACACAGTAGAGGTTCATCCTGAGGAAGTATCTGTAGGAGGTCCACATATAGAGAAGGGATTGAAAGCTATGACACAGGACAAGATCATATAGAGCCTTAGGGAGAACATGAAAAAAGTTCATGTAGGTTATGGGTTAGAGGCAACAAGTTTTTCACAAAGAAAACTGAGAGGGAAGAGAACCAGGGGAAAGGATGGTAGAGGTTCAGAGTTCTGGGATGCTAACAGTTCAAGATGAGGACTAATAAATACTCACTGTATTTACAGTGTGGAAGTCATTAATTATTTATTCCACTCTTGGGTTTTCTTTTAAGCAAAACTCAAAAGAAATGACATTCTCTTTGTGATGCTTCACCGTTATGTACTATTTGCATACTTTTCTGCATATAGATTATACTTCAATTAGAAAGTTTTTGAAGTAAAACATCATTTGCTGTTTCCAATTCCTCTCCTATTTGTCGAACCCACTTCGATTTGGCTACTCACCTGAAACTTTTCAAGGTAAATGACCATACATTTCTCAGGTCGAAACCCCATCATAAGTAGAGGATACCTGTACTTCTATTTCCTCAGTGAAACAGGAATCACATCTTCAACTTAGAAGACTCTTGACATACTGCCTGGGCTTGATTACAGCTCCATCACTAACTCTGAACCTGTGCAAACTACTCAACTTTTCAATGCAAGAACTTCCTCATTTGTAAAACTGTACTATAGGTAAGGATAACATTTACTTCATATGAATGTGGTAAATATTAAAGACAGTTAACAGAAAAGCCCTTACAACTGGGTCTGGCAGAGAAAGTGATCAGTAAATGTAAGCTACATCATCAGTTATGAGAAAGGAGGATAGAAATTTTGGGAGAAAGGAAGGGATGGGATAACCTACAGAAAGTAAGCCAGGCAAAAAGATTCAAGGGCTCAACTGGTATTAACAGTCATTAAAACTAATAGACAAGATTTGGGCACAGAACAGAATGGGATTGGAATTTGCTGCACAAAGACGGTGAAGGGAAAGAAGGTTAAAGAAGTGATAATGATGAATTACAGAATTCAAGCTGAGCAAAGAAAGGAGAGGGCTGTGGAAACAATGGTGCATTAAGGAAGTGCAGTTGTTGAAATGGTATAAAAAAAGGTTGGAGATCAGTTCTACAGAGAAATGCTGAAATCACAAACATGGTAACTGGAGACTGTGATGCTTTTAGCGTGCCATGGTTTAAAAAGGCCAGGTTATTAGAAGAATCTTCTGTCATGACTTTGAAATCACAATACTAGTAGTTTTAGAAATAGTATTATAAGCCAGACTCAAACTTCTGAAAGGAGAGATATGGATGAGGCAGACTGAAAAAGGACCTTCGAGTTGTTTTGTTTTCAAGAAAGAAATAAAGTTTGAAAACAGCAGGAAGCCCAAGTCATTTGAATACAATATTTTTTTAAAAATCAAAAATAATGCAGAAAATTCAGAAACAAAATATCAGAAGTTTAAACATAGGCAGGGCATAACTATTTCAGAAGTTAGCCCTACACTATATTTGCCTTTGACTGAACAAACTGATAAAAGTACTAGTTAATGTAAGCTTATCAACAGTGAATTTACTAAGAAAACAAACAGGTTTATTAAACCAAAACAGAAAATAATCCCTTTAGAAGTATACTTCCACTAGAGACTTTTATAAATAAGACTCACCAGTTTTCTTCTTCAGGCTTAATTTCTCCCTGTTGCTAATACGTTTTGAGATGGGTGTTATCATCTTTTTGGTTTTTGTGAAAGTTGTCTTAGATTCAGAGGGAGAAAACTGGAGTCTTTTAATTTCACACTCTTCTGTGTGCTCTGCAGCAGCAACCTTCACCTTTGCAACTTCCATGTTCCCATCACTCTTTCTTTTACGAGCAACAAAAGGTGTCCTTGAAGGACTTATTTCATTTTTATAACTCTTAGATTTACTTAATACTGGCTCTATAACTGGAAGATATGAAGAAAAAGCCTCTTTCTGATTATCTCTTACTTTTTCACAATCACCTACTACACTGTCAAGACATCTTTTTGCTTTCGGTTTATTGTCCTCAGTTTGGTTTTCTCTGGCACAAGTGGGCTTCCTTTTAGTAACAGTAGCAGAAAGTATTGGACGTCTCTTAGGTTGGTTCTTGTGGTTGCAAAGAGAAACCTCTTGAACTGAAGAAAAACTAGGATGGGCTTGTTTTGTAAAACCATAGTAATCTGACTTCATTTCTATACATTTAAATTCTTCAAAAATAACTTTGGAAGTTTTTGAACTCTGACATTCAGGAATACATGGCAAAACTTCATTTCCCCCCCAATCTTTAGGAAACTGTGGGAGTCGAGAACTTGAATTTGATAATTGTGATACTTCACATGTCTGCTGAGATATACACATATGTGTCATGTTATCGTTTACAAATTGACTTGGGGATAAAATAGGATTGACTGACTCTGATTCTAGATCCTGCTTTAGTCCATAATTATCATTTATGAAAGAATCTGGACTTAAAATTGTTCGAGAAATTTCAGGAACAGTTTTTGATTCCAAACACAAAGGCTTTAAATTATCTGTCCTAAATGCATCTGGTGAGAGACATGTCACCAAGCCTGGTTTGTTATTATTATCAGCTGTGTGGTTGTTATTTACAAAAGAATCTGGACTTAGAAAATTTCCTTGGCTTTGTATTACATTCAAAGTTGAAGAACAGTTTGGGGTAAGAACAAGTTTATTCTCTTCACTTTGGCCACTAACACTTATGGAATTAAAGGAAGTTTCGGTGATGACATTCTCATTAAAATTAAAACCCTTTGAAATGGAATCTTCTACTTGCAATTGTTCCCCATTTTCAGATGCATGAAGAGATGAGTAGGCAGTAGACCGACGCAGAAAAAGTGGCAAGCAAGTTTCACTCTGACATTCTTTAAAAGTGGGACTAATAGGTGATATGGGTATCTTATTTTCTTCAAGAGTTAAAGAATTGCTTTTTGTTGGAGAACAGCCTTCACTCATAGCCAAATTTTCACAAGCTTGCAACGGGCTCCGAACTCTATCGACTTTTTGGGAAACACTAAATGTTTTATTGATATTTTGAATTTTTGAAGTCCTTTTATTATGACATGAAGAGGCTGGAACTTTCTTCTTATTAATGGTATCCCAAAGACTCTTCTATAAAATTAAACAAGATATATTGATAAAGTTACAGCTGTTGAATAATACTTTGAAATAAGCAATATGATGTACATTATTTCAAGCCTGTCATCAAAATAATTTTTACATATTGTTAAACACTTTTTAGAGTAAATCACAAATGACCGAAGCATTACCTTTTTCTTTTTTTGCTCTTCTGCATTTCCTAGTAATATAGCTTGGTGTTTCAGAATATCATTTACAAGAAATGTCACAATCTCTCGTACTCGGCCTTCTTTCAAGGGTGTCCAGTTAACAGAAATAGCAGTTGTTTCTTTAGGCTATAGTGAAAAGGATAAATTTTAAATGATCATGATAATAGTAACTATATAATAATCAAAGCACACCACATCACACTTAGGATATCAACCCTCCAAAGCCTAATAGCAGTTAAGAAGTCAAATATATTTTTCTTTTGTTGGGTTGCTCATTTCGTGGTAAGGAAAAAGGTCATTAGCAATAGCAGGGTTCATAACAAAATAAAATTATAATAAAATTCTAGTTGTATGAAAGCAATGGTTTTTAAATTTTTTATTGTGGGGCTGAGGATGCAGTTCAATGTTAAAGTATGTGCCTGGCGCATGCAAGACTCTGAGATCAATTCCCAGCACCACATTAAAAAAAACTGTAAATGTACTTCTTTATTATGGACAGTACTTCTATTTCAAATACAATAACCTTGAATTACGAAGACTTTCTGCAAAAAGAGACATGAAAATGATCAACTAATTTCCCTCTTTGCCACAAACTCCTCTATAGTCCACCTCATAATATTGATCCTTGCTAAGCAATTATTATGCTCCCAGCACAGGTGCAGGTATCACAGGACTCATGCTCCCCCCAAAGGAAGCAGGTACTATGACTGTTCATGTTCACAGATGAAGCCACCCAAGTCCAGAAAGCTTTGCTGAAGTCATGTAACTAGGAATTAGAACCCAGGAAGTCTGATTTCAGGGTTCAGACTTTAACATCTATATCCCAGAGTAAGGCACATAGAATCTGCCAAATGAGAAACCCTGACATGACAAAACAAATTTGTCAGGGGAAAAAGGTAAGTTTTTGTTTGAAAGAAGAAAGAATATAGCATCATCAGTGGCTGTTTGTATTTAAGTGAATTATTACTCTATAAAGAAGAATTTATTCTAAAAACAACAAAGAAATTTGCTTCTACGTTACAACAAAATAGAATTACATGAAAGCATTATGTAACTGGCAAAGAAATGTGTCTGTTCATAAAACAGAAGGCAGGGGCAGGCAGGTTCTGGAGTGCAGAACCAGTAGTGATGCATGGCCCAGTGTCTTCGCAATGCTTTACCAAGCAGAGCTCAGGCCTCCCTCAGCCAATGGTTCTCACATTTCACAAGGTTCTACTTACTGAAAAGAACACAGCAGTTGAAACGAGAGCTGTACTGTCCAGCTTTTGGTGATGACCATGGTCAATATGATGCTGTGACAGCTACAAGGGAAGTTCTTAAAACAACCTTCACAACATTAAAATGTGATGCACCATTAAAACTACACTGACAGCAAGGGCAAAAAAAAAAAAGGATTAAAACACACAAACGTGCATAAGCACCTACCACACATATATGTTGAAAACAACCCTTTGTTTTTGCTTTTTGCTGTAGACATTTCGGCCAAAACGAAGTCGATTATTTCACCAGAAAATGTCATCATCTGACTCTAAAGATACACAAGAAACTAAAATGCATGTTAAGATGATGACTGATGGGAGGCAATTTCTTAAAAGCTCTAATCAATGTACTCCTGACAATCTTAAAAAAAAAATAGAACATGAAAGAGTATCTATTAATCTGGAAGGCGAAAAGTATTTTGCAACGCCTGCTGCAATGATGCTTGCGTGTTCAACACCAACGCTTACTTGAGATGCTGCAGACACTCAGTGCAAGCGCACCGATGAGCTGTCACCACTCGTCACTGCCTGCCCTGGCCATACACATACGGCAGTATATACAGCTAATACGATACGACATAATGCCCTATAACATACACTATGGACGCGCCCACAGCATGCACAGAGCATATGCACAATTCGTATACGCTGCACACACGTGCGCACGGGAAAACACCAGCTGTGTCAAGGCCACGCCCACAGTTACCGGCTGGAGCGTGACCTCATTCTCCGGGGCCCCTTCCCCTTTCGGGGCCCTGCGGGGTCGCGCCCGCCCCCGACCCACCTGCAGGAGGACGCGGCGCGGCGCCACGCTGAAGCCGAGCTGGGCGGCGCGGACGCGGGGCACCTGCACCTCGGCCACCTCCTCGCTGGGGTTGTGCAGCAGCAGCGGCAGCGTGCGCGAGGCCCCCAGGCAGACGTCCCCGAAGCAGACGAACGGAGCCCTGCAGAAGTGGCTGAGCGACAGCACCGGCGGGGAAGTCGCGTCCTCCCGGGCCGCAGAGTCCCGCCGCCGCCGCCGCCGCGGCTCGGCCGGGCTCACCTCCCAGCCGCTTCGCGCCGCTCGCCGGGTCGCCATGGCAGCTGCGAGCCGCCCGCCCGCCTCGGTCCCCGGCTCGCGGGAGGCGGCTCACGAGCGCGGACTCCGACCCGCCTCTCGGGCGGCCGCGGAGACCGGAGCGGCGAACTCGTGCCCTTTCCTCTCCAGTGGCCGGCGCTCCTGGAGGAGGAGGATGGAGCAACGCCCGCGAACGCAGCGCAAAACTAGTGCGCTGTTTTGCCTTCGTTTAAACTTCTTGCCTCCACCAATGGGCGCCTTCTAGGGTCCGCCCACACCATTAGGGAGCCAATCAGGGAGCGAGAACTCCTGGCCAATGAGACGGCAGCGCCTTGTTTAAATGATTGCACAGGCGCCAAGCGCTCCTAGCAAAGGAAGTGAAATAGCTGCTGCGTCTTGGTGACACAGAAGCCGGTGGCTTAGAATTGAAATTGCGTTTAGATTTTGTGACCAGGTTATGATGAAAACAAGAGAGCATTACATAAATACAATAATCACTACGGTGCCCGACACCACAGAGTAAACCGTTAAGTAGGCAAGAAAATGTTTTAAGTCATTCCTCTTATCTGATACACCCCGCCCAAGATTATGTCAATCAACTGCACACTAGCAGTTTCCTAAGGTTAAAGGCACGAGGAAAAAGAAATTAAATTGATAACTCATGTGAAGATGCCTACTTAATCACTGCCATAGGGACTCAGTACCTTTATTTACATGCTGTTTTCTTACCTGAGGATACTAGAGCAAAACCAGATAAATGAAAGCCGGGATTCCAATAATTCATAGCGGATTATTTTGATGGATAATGCCATCGACGCATAACTTATTGGTTTTGTAGATACCTGGTGATAGTGATTATAAACATATTGCTTTATGTCAGGAATAGCTACAAGTTCTTTAGATAGTTATCTCACCACTGAGCCCAATTTGGTATCTCATAGGATAAAAATATCATTGTTTGTATTTTACAGGTGAAGAAAATGGAGCACAGAGCCACTTAGGATAGGTGCCCAGGCAGTTTGGCCTTAGTTCTCGCTCTTACTCACTGCAACATACTGCCATTAAAAGCAGTAGGAATTTAATAACAAGAATAATGTAAATATGTACATATGGCTACACAAAATATGTATAAAGAAAACTTTGAGTGAAAAAACAAAATGAGGAAGATGAAATATAGAATTATATTCAATGACACCCAATTTGACCTGAGGTTCAACCCTGTTAATATTTAAACAAACAAAATTGTTCAAGGAGAACTTTTAAAAAATCTTTTAGAACTGATACATAGAATGCTAGTAGGTAGTTTTATTTTTAGTAAAAATATTAATATGAATTACAATCATTTTCACATACACATAATTGATACAGCTTACTATGAATGTTACTTATATTAACATTACAAATAAACCCTCTAATTAAGACACTCAAATGATTGCTACAATTCTTAATATGTTAATAGCACAATTTTATTTACATTTGCTCTTATATTTGTTTATATTTTATTTTGTTTATATATTTGTTTATATCTGCTCTTACAGATATTTTCATGAAGCATTGTTTTCAGCTAGCATTGTTTTAAAAATTAAAATGAGCTGTACTGGATAGGTTTTTACTTGCCTCTCCACTTCTACTCTTCACTGCTTTCCAACCTGCTCTCTGCTGTGGGATGCTAATCTGTCTTGGCTACCTCATTGGATTTTCTTACTCAGTGGCTTGCTTCTCTTTTGCCTTAGAAGAGGTTGGCCACTGCAGGAGAACATCCCCCATGGATGTTAGTTGGCTTTCTGTGTGAATGAAGAATCACACAGAGCTGTAGAGGTGCCATCTTCAGATGGCACTGTCTCCTCACCCCTTTGGACCCTGTCAGTCAGAGTACCATGTTGTTACTAGTCCCAAGGTATTGCACTATCACTTATGGTTTTCTTACACCAACTACATCTTGACAAATAGTCCCTTTATTAAAATTTCATTTCATTATACTAAGTTGGAATAGGACAACCGTTAATTTTGTAACTCTGACTGATACAAAAGTGGCCTTAAGGAACTGGCCCTTAACATGGAATTCTAGAATTGAGTTGATCTTATTTGAAGAACATAGGCATTAATTGTTGCTAGGGAGATGCAGATTAAGATGATGTGAGGCACATATGGCATCATAACTTCTCAAATTATTTCTGGGAATAGCATAAGATGAGGTGTGTTTGGAAGCAATTCATTCAATGATCGAGTGGTTGTGACACCTTTATAAAGTGATATGCCAACACTTTATAAATGACTATAGTGCTACTTGGTTTGGCCTAGCCACCCTAGACAACTTATACAGGAGAAAAAATGGAAATCTATGAAGCAAACAACTGAGGCTATTTTAGATCCAGGAAGCTCTAAAGAAGTCCCTCACTTTCTGCTGTCTTAGGGAACATGTGGTCAAAGATTAAACCCAAATGTCTAATAGGAAGGTTAGGGCTTTGCTAGTAAATATAGTAGTGCTATTCAAATGCTCAACATTGCTTTTCTTTTAAACTGAGGTAACAGATTTAATGAAGGCTTGGGCTGCTGGGAATGGGTATGATTTGGATCTGGAATGTCCTCCTCAGTTCCATGTGGTAAAGGGTTGGTCCCCAGTGAGGAACTATGAGGAGGTGATGGAACATTTAAGAGGTGGAGCCTGTGAGAGGTCTTCGGTTGATTGGGGACATGCCTTGAAGAGGACAGTGGGACCCTGACTCCTTCCTCTTTTGTTCCCCCTTGCGTGAGCTGAGTGTTTTGCTCTACCATGCATTCCTGGCCATTCTGTGTGGTCACAAACTGAAACCTCTAAAACTGTGAACCAAGATACACCTGGTTTCTTTGTAAGTTGATTATCTCTGGTATCTAATACGGCTATACAAAGATAACAGAGTGACATTTAGACAAAACTGACATGACTGAGAACTATCATCTTCCTTATTTCCATAAGCTTCTCTGGACAACAGAGACGGTCTCCTTTAACCTGTCCCAATCTGAGGGGTTCCCTAGTCTTTCAGAACTGCACCTGGAACAGGGACTCTCAAGTCACTGCAAATTCTCCTCAGCATCCACCCTCTCTCCATCCCCATGATCTCTCATTAGCTCAGGTTCCAAAAAATGAAATCTGGCCAGGTGAAAGATGTACTATGGGAGAAAAGAGACCATATTGTATACCACAAGAATTATAGGACAGCCTAAAAGTGGATCCACATGGTGTTATACCAAGGGGATAAATCTTAAGTAAAACAATCAGGCTAAATTTATTACCATGGATATTTTACCAATTTATTACATTGGTTTTCATAGTGTGTTAGGTCCACCAATTTAAAATTGAATGGTTTACTCATGTCAAAATGCTGGAACATACTTAGCATTTTATGATGAGTCCAAAGGCTGAGGAAGATGGGAATGTTGGAGAACATCTGTATGTACAAGCTACTCAGTCAAGACACCCTTAAACATACATATCTCCCCTCATGCTAGAATCTTCCCTTTTATGAAGACTTCAAAAAAATGCATTAATGAGAGGACTGTGATACTCTTGAAAAGATGCGGTGACTGTTCTTTATATGCCAGAAATGACCATAGAGGAAGTTTTAATGAAAATAGGTTTTCTGATCTCCAAGTGAATGATAGGACCCACAAGTGCTTAAGGCCCATAAGCACTCATCAGACAAGATGGTACAGCACTTATCACATATGCAAGGACTGAATGATAACGTCCAGGATTTGTAGTAAAAGCTAATTAATCAAAGATCCCCAGAAATAAGAGACTGTGACCATGATTAACATTTGACTTCAACCAAAACTACCCAATGAACCACTCCTAGACTGGAGACCCTCCCTCACTGCAGATCCTCCCACTCAACTTTGAGATAATAAACAACTGCTGTTTTAAGCCACTGTTTGGATAGCAACAGATAACTAAAGTATCATACACAATATTACCTGTGTCAGAGGACTCAATTTTGCAGAAATGGGCTCAGGGTCATAGAACTTGGTCTTCTAACACTCTCAGAATTGGCTGCTTTTATAGAATAGATAATGCCTGTTGAAGGCCATAATAGCAGAGAGGGAATGATAGTTTGCAAGACTGGGATACAGTCTCATATCATAGTGTAAGCCTTAAATGAGCAATCATTTCTCCCACAACCAGAATTTACTGTTCTGAGAAGCGGGGTCGGGGGGAATTAGAGATAAGAGTGCCCATTCTGAATAGGTATTTCATTAGTGGAATATTGTTGTACTTTAGAAACCTCTCAACAAAATAGCATGACTACTTCATGCAAAGTAGTCATTATTTAAATTTATATTAGACACAATAGTTTAATGTCTTACATACTTAATATGTATTTCTAAACAATGTGTTTTATGAGCAATATGCTTTAAAAATATCTCTAAGATACATGGTTTTCCATTTGTTATTGCTTTTGTATTCAATTTTTACAGAGGTGTGCAGAATACTGTGTTTCTATGCAGTAAAAATGAAATTCAATAAAACTTAGATACACTTTATTAGGACCAATGAACTTCCTATTTATTTTAAATATCAAAATAACACAAAGAAATAATTCAATATACAAGACACTTTCTATTCTCCACAAGAACTGAGTTTTTCTATAAAGACATTTATACTTAAGAAACATTAGACAAACAAAATACCTATTAAACCCACAAGATACTTTACACACAGTTGACAATTTACATAGTTTAGATTTTCCCTTGTAACTGCTTTTAAATGTCCTCAATTAAAAACAATAATTATGATTTAAGACAGAAAAGATCAAAAGCATTTCTATTTTAATGTACATCATAAATTTCCTTAATCAGAACAATTACCACACAACACGGAGCAGCTAAATACCCAGCTTTGCATCCTTTTTTGGCAGCCACACTCATCAAGTGTAATATAGTTTTATTTATAGAGATAAGAAGAATCTGATTGTTGAAAGGAAAAAAAACATTATAATTATAGCACAATACATTGACTTTATGCAAGCAGGAATATCAAACAAAGAGGCACAATAACACTGAGAGGTGTACATGCTCTTCATTCAAGAAATGTTTTAGACTCCCCAGCAGTAATGCAAGTGTTGAAATTACTTTTCTTTACCTAAGAACTTGAAAAAGAGGTTATTTTCATCTTTGTGTAACCTCTACACTCTTAATATAATTCCTAATATCTCTTTATATAAGTGGCTGCACAGACTAAATTTGAATTGTTTAGGGGTTTTTTAAGAGTTATAGGCCTAAGATCAACATACAGCAAGTTGAAATGTGAAAAATAAGCAAAATATAAGTACTCTCTCTCTAGTGAAGGCTTCTTTCTCTCATCTTCCACACAACCAAATCCTATTATTTCTATCTTATCAGTAGTACTACTTCCTAAAAGAAAGAGCAGAAAGCATGCTAATATTATAGGGGAAAAGTATCTTAGGTAAAAATAATTTTATAAGAAAGAAAGGAGGACCTTCTGTTAAAACAAAAGGAAATGTGCAAAAGAAGGGGTAGGGTCTATAGAATTGTCTAGGTCAGAGGAGTCATTTAGAAAATTACTCTACATTTTCCATTACTCAACAGCAAGTCACATTTGCCATAATACTACTTAAAATTTTAGAACTAGTTCCTTATCAAAAAATACATTTTTACTCATTTTAAATTTGGCACTAAATCTTAGGACTACCCAAATATGATTCTGATAAAAGTCCTAAATTTTCCTGAGTTCATCAACTCAAGTTCTATAGTTATATATTGGTTGGGATGTGGCTGATCCCAAACTCATCTCAAACCATCACCCCTTGCTCAGTCTACAAGTAAGAAGTCATGCAGTACAGAGCTGTGTGGTTGTGGAAAGTGGTTATGGGGAGGGATGAGGAAAGGGAGAGAGAAGAGTGACAGACTGCTCATTTTACTTGTCAGATTCTTCTAATAAGCATCTAGAGACAGGCCCAGAAGTGGCTACACAGAAACTATAAAGGCCACCAGAGACTTAAAAAAAAAGAAGACATAAATAGTAAAAACAAATGTTGACAAGTATTTAATGCCAATCTTCCTATAAAAACATAAAGCAAACTAAAAAAAAAGCTGTTGCCCAACCAGCAGGCAACATAAACATAACCCCCATAACCAAAAACACAATCAATTATTAACAGTACAGTCTAGGCAGCAGAATCAGCTTGAAGCAACTACAACACTTTGAAAAGGCACAAAGTAGTCAATCCAGAAAACATGGTGAGAAGGGCACTGTCGAAGAGCAAAGGCTCAAAATCTGTCTTTTCATCAATAATAAATGTGTGATGTGGTAAGAAGAAAATTCAAGCTTGTAAACATGCCTGTTTAATTTGTTTGTAATTGTAAAGTAAAAAGCAACCAGTGATACTTAATTACTTATTAGCCCTTACCTAACACTTTGCAGTCAAGATATGCCCACACTGTACAAGGCTGAGAGAAATTTACTGGAGTACTCATTACATGACCTACCATCACTTAAAAGGCAGTCATTTACTAAAGCACCAATTAAAAACCCTATCTTTCTACTCCCCTCTTCCCAGCAATGAATGTCTAAATTAAATATGCAAAGTCTACTACCTTTACAATTGTTTTTTACAGAGATCTTGCTGGCATAAGGGACAAACCCTAACCTTAAATAATATTTTAGACTGCAAAAGACAGTGGGGTTTCTTATAAAGATAACATCAACTTGACCTAAAAAACAATGCTAAGACAAGAAAAATTTTGACAACATAGTGTAAAAAAAAGCTTATTATTCAGCATTTAATAGTGTTCACTAAAACACGTAACATTCAATTAAACTGAGGAAAACTGAGTATTCTTACTTGTAATTGGTTTGTCAGTACAACATTCCCAGAGTATTTTCTTCTGCTCTTATTTTTATACATAAAATACAAGCATTTAATACTTAATCCCAGCATTCAAACTAACGAAATTTTTAAAAATCCATTATCCTCAGAATCCAACTGTGCTTCTTTGGACAAATATTAAAACAGTAAAGAATTTAAATTCTTTAAACTATCTAATACCTACTAAAAATCTTTGGTGCATTTAAGTCAAAACTGATTAGGTTAATAAATTTCTGCACTTGATAAATTATTCAATTTACAGTTTAAGTGCTAACTGCTAGCTCCTAAAAATTAAAACAATAAATTATGCTCATAAAATAAAAAATTCTCATCGAGGCTAAACAAGTCATGAAATTCAAAATTCTTAGTTACAAAATAAATGAATTTTAGATTACAGAAAGTTCAACTGAAAGAGAAGGACCTCACTTTATACTTTTTGTGCCAACTTCCTTATATACATTCAGTTTGCCCAAATCCATGAAATTTTCCCAATTAAAATTTTTCTTATATGTTTGGAACTCAGAGGCAGCAGGCTGCTTTTCTTGTTTACCTATTTCTTTCTAAGAAGTATACTACCTTCCTCCCAGACTGAGTTAGGATTAAGTGAGAGAATGGAGTGCCTGGCACATGCATTGTAAGCACACACTAACACCACCTTCTTCTTTCTTTACAGGTGGCCCTGCCACTTATTGATCACGTGAGCCTAGTGAGTCCTTGAATCCTGCCCTCAGATTCTTGCTTTCTAAAATGGAAATACATCATGTCCTTTCTACTTCAGAGCTGGTCATAAGGTTCAAATGAGATAACATGTGAAAATGTTTATTAAAACATCAAATCACTATTCAAGTTATCTACAATAGTAACAAAATACAATTATTCACTTTACTTAAGAGCTATATTCCAGGTAAGTTCTATGTAAACCCTTATCTACAATTAAACCATTATATTTAAAGCATTAGAACATCATTATTAAAAGAACCCTAAATACCTTCAAAAAGCAAAGTTTTCTTTTCAATGTGAAAATGAAATATTCTTTTTCTGCCATCAAATATACAAACATACACACATACATAGTTTGCCTTTTTTATAAGTCCAAATTTTTACATTAGCTTATATATAAAGCTGAGTACTTTTAGGTATGATTTGTTTTCATTATACCAAAATTTTTAGTCAAAATCTCATCAGTCTTCATGATAAAAATCATAAAGATGTACTTTTAACAGACAGGTCGAAAGACTAGTAGACTCACTGTACCTCATATAGTCAAGCTCTAACGTGTAAGTACCCCAGATACAAAGTAAATAAGGATGCTTAAATATAAGGAGCAACACAGCAATTACATATGCTGGTCCTCAAATAATTACACCCAAACCTTAGTAATGAGGCAAAACTTAGGCTGGTTTTATTATTTATTAAGAGCTACTTTGGTTAACTGCCTCAATTTTCAACATTTTATCTTGTTCTGTTATACAAGATATGGCAAATGTTCCTAGGAAGTACCTTCATTTCTTAAGTGCTTCAAGAGTTTCCTCTATTACTAACTGGTTAAATTTTATTCACTAAAAGATCTTTATTTTATTTGTGATTTTTTTTCACAAGGGCTAGGCCAGACTTTACAGTTTACACACAAGAAAGTGCTTAAAGCAATGAGGAGTGTAAACAAAACTGAAACAGAAAACTTTTAGAATTATATTTTCCAGTAGTTTACATACAAATGGCACCTTAATAATAAATCAACCCTGCCTAGTCTAATACTCAAGCAACCCCACTAGGAAAACATTATCCTAGTTTAAGTGTAAATTGACTTGAAAAAAATGAAAAGTGCACATCTCTAAAGGTATTTTATAATTTTGACTTTTTCCTCAATCAGTAAGGTTTTCCTGTGACTGCTCTTTCCTTTCACTAAGTCCTCAACTTTTGTTTCATACAAAAATAAGAATCAAGAATAATTACAGACACTGGGCATATATGAAAGCAAAAATAAAGATCTGAATTGTATGTAAATCTGTACAGAAGTTATAGTTCCATTCAATTAAATGACACTAAGTTAAATCAGGCACAAATCTGAGAATGTGTCTGGCACTTTTTCTATTAGACATGAAGTATTAGGTTCTGTTTCCCAGTTTCAGTTAGCTAAAGTAAACAAAGCTGAAAGTAATGTGTTCAATTAAATGCCATTGATTAGTCATAACTGCTCCTTTCTAGTGATATGAAGATATATGCTGTGATATATATTAATGTTTCTGAAATAAATGACAAAATACAAAAGGCAAACTTGAAGATACCTAGTGAAAACTCTTATTTTTCTTTTAACACATTTCAACTTGATAATTTAATACCTAGACCTACATTTGCAAATATTTGTACCTCATCATAACTGAAGTACAGGCAAAATCCAATTATCAGTTCATTCCCACATTTCATTTAACATGCTAATCTTACATTAGTTAGCTTTCCACTTTGAACTTCTCAAAAATCCAAAGTATAATGATAAATTAAAACTATGGATAGGTGGCAAGACAACACAGAAGCATCCAGGTCTTTCTTATACATTCAAATTCTTAATAACAATTTTTTAAAATTTAGATAAAATAATGCACAGTTATAAAAAGAAATAGTTGTAATTATCAGTATACTCTTACATTCCCTCTTAAAGGCTAGATGGTCCTTAACTTACTTGTAAGACAGGGAGAACACAAAAGAGAGATGAAAGTAAGAAATAAAAATTTGCACTGATAATTAAAGAAAATCGTATAAAGCCAATAACTAATAATTCTGAAAAGTTTGAGACTCATTAAAAATAGCACTAATCTTTAAAATATGAAAAAACGTTTACTTCAAATAGTATGCCAAAATGTATTCAATATTCACATGTTCAGTCAACAGAGACAGTTTTCTTGATTTGAAGCTGTTTTGAGGACTTGAGAAACTAGAGAAAATGAAAAAAAAGTAGCAGCCTACTAATTTAAAAGCCACTAGCTTCTAGCTACCATTAGCACATGACCATCGAAAAGTCTGTGGAATGTTTACTCATGAATGATGCTCGCTAGTGGAAATATTTTGAACAGCAGTAGTGTTATCAAGACCCAGTAATGTTCCAAGATAAGACTGTTCTCTGGGATCTAGCATTTGCTCAGGTCGGACTGGATGAACTATATTTGCAGGTTGAGGAGTAAGAGTGTATTTTTCCAGAAATGTTAACTCAGCTGCACGTGGATAATCAGTTGATTGTGGCTGTGGTGACAGGATCTCATGGGATGATGGTGGAAGGGTGCTTGTGTGCTGCACCAAGTCACTGGGAGTGTCAGGCATCTGAACCGGGACCAAGGTAACGGGAACACACACTTCAGATACATTCTGTAACATAGTCTTGGCTTCTGATTGATAAACTTTGGGCTGGTCCAGATATTGTTTTGTTTCTGCTTGAAAGATTTTATCATCAGATGAATACTCTACTGGCAAGGGCACAAGTTTGTCCTCAGAAGTACTGAGAGGATCATCAGGAGATTTTATCCCATGAACATGGTCGATGTGGTATTTCAACTTGTCTTTCCGCTTAAATGTTGCATTACAGTGCTGACAGTTGAAAGGTCGGGCATCAGAATGAATAACCAGGTGTTTTGTTAAAGTTTTCTTAATTCTAAAAGACTGATTGCAAATTTGACACTTGTACGGTTTTTCACCTGCATGAACAAAAATGAAATTGAATGTAAAATGTGCCCACTTGATTTAAGCAGCAAATTTTCCATATGCACACTAGCAAAATCTTGGTAAGAACAATATTCTTGTATACTATTACAAAATGAAGACTGTAAACTCATAATGAAAATGAATTCAACATTAAATAGATCTAAGTTAAATTCTGAATACATCTCTCACCAGCCAATCACTGAGCAAGCTAACCAACTTCGAAGCCTAGTTTCCTAACACAGAATAACAATACTCCCTAAACAAGAGAGTAAAGTAATAGTGTTTTAGCACTATACCTGGCACATGACAAGTGCTTGATAAACCTTAGCTATTAATATTATTGCTTACTTTATTCCCATTATAGCCCACAAAGGTTTGTTAGAACTGAAACATTTGATTTCCTTCTACCCAAGGAAGATAACAACCAAAACAGCAACTCTGTTTAATCCGGTTCTTTGGTCAGAATGAGAAGTAGTAATACTCATCTCTAGCCTAAGGTCAAAATAAGAAAAGTTCATCAGGGATAAGAGTAAGAAAGCTAGATCAGTCTCTAATTCCTTCTGAGTCAGGTTCTTACTATACAGTTTAATTTTGTTTTCTATAAAACATTTAAAAATCTTAGGCTAACCAATAACCCCTCAAAGACACACTTGTTCTAATCCATGGAAACTGTGAATATGTTGCCTTACACAGTAAAAGGGACTATAGGTTGCTTAATGGTAAGATCTTACAATGGGGAGATTAACTGGATTATAGAGGTGGACCCAATGTAACTGCAGGGGTCCTAAAGCACAGCTAATAACAGCCCAAACTGCTGGCTTTAAAAACGGAAGGAAGAGCCAGGACCCGAGGAATGTTGTGGCCACTAAAATCTGTGAAAAGCTGACCACTCACAAAATAACTAGAACCTTGGTCCTGGTCCTACGACAGGAACTGAAATTTGCCAATACTATAAACAGCTAATGGATTCCTCCTTTGAGACCCCAGAAAGAAATACAATCCTACAGACACCAATATTTTTGCCTAATGTCAGACGTACAGAACTTTGAGATCGGTCATCAATCAGTGTTAAGCTGCAAAGTTTGTAGTAATTTGTTATAGAAGGCAATAGAAAATATACCCAGACATGTTAGTACTGCAGTAAGCATTAAGACATGAAGCGAGAGCACACAAGGGAGGGGTGAGGATAGGTAAGACACCTAAAAAACTAGCTAGCATTTGTTGCCCTTAATGCAGAGAAACTAAAGCAGATACCTTAAAGCAACTGAGGCCAATAGGAAAAGGGGACCAGGAACGAGAGAAAAGGTTAGATTAAAAAGAATTAACCTAGAAGGTAACACCCACGCACAGGAAATCAATGTGAGTCAATGCCCTGTATAGCTATCCTTATCTCAACCAGCAAAACCCCTTGTTCCTTCCTATTATTGCTTATACTCTCTCTACAACAAAATTAGAGATAAGGGCAAAATAGTTTCTGCTGGGTATTGAGGGGGGGAGCGGGAGGGGGTGGAGTGGGTGGTAAGGGAGGGGGTGGGGGCAGGGGGGAGAAATAAACCAAGCCTTGTATGCACATATGAATAATAAAAGAAAAATGGAAAAAAAAAAAAAAAAACCAAATGAAAAGAATACATGTTCATTGTTATATTGGCTTGTTGATACCATTATCTTCATCTTTCCATTTCAAACATCATCATCAATTCTCTAGAAAAGAGATAAGTACATTTTTAGTAGAAACACTAATCTCTATTATTATCTGTTAATACTTTGTAGCTCACAAGAACCTTCAAATCCCATTAACAGAAAAATGTATGTAGATTAGGATGCTGGGATGTGGTGCTATTTGATTTCTACTTGTTTCTGGACCAAGAACATTACTGATGTCACTAAAGTGGAAGGGAAGCAGGCAGTAATACAAATACTACTTAATATTTGTATATACAAAGGAGCAACACTTCGGAAATCAAAATATTTTTAAGTTCATACAGAAAAGACTGCATCTAAAATCTGATTGTGCAGCTAAATACCTGGAATCAGAGATGATATGAAAAAGTTCAGAGTGTATGAAAAAAGCTTTTAACAATTGTAAAATTTCTTAAGAACTATAAAGTTCTTTCTATAAATCCTAGCATCATCACTTCTCAGGCAAGGAGATTTTATGACTGCTGCTGAAAAGAAAAACAGTACCACAATTTGACTGATAGAAACAAAAAGCATAGTTAATTTTTTAAGGGAAAATGATTCATTCCAATGTTCTCCTTTGGCATAGTATTAGCCATTATGGTTCCCTCTGTGTCTTCATGAAAAAGATTTTAAAATGCAGCGGGTTTTTCTTTCTTTTTCTTTTTTCACTTAACAGTCAGTTTAGTGTGCAACAAATACTTTCAGAAAAAAAGGATAAGAATGGGTATACTACTTTGAAAACTTTCATTTTAGACATTTCATTTTCAACAGAGAAATCAATTTAGACTTGTAAAAAGACAAAAATCCATTAAATGAAATGTTGACATTGCAAATACATAAAACAAGTTTAGAATGCTTAAAGATACGCAAGTAGAAAAAGTTAAGACTATGAACTTGAAAAAGGAGAAACAGGGCTAGAGGAGTGAATCAAGTGATAAGACTTCCTGCAGCAAGCACAAGCAAGGCCTTAATTTCAACCCCCAGTACTACCAAAAACAGTAAGAATAAACACAAAAAATAAAACAAAGGAGAAACAGAGGAAAAAAATTATTTCTACAGTGAGTCTTCCTATGTAAAATTATCTATATGAATCCAAGTTTGGTACATCTCAAGACTGTAAATCAAACACCTAAAGCAACCTACAGAAAGGTCTGTCTAAGACTTACATAATGAGTTTATTAAGAATAGAAGGAAACAAAACACTCAAGAAAAAAGAGATTTAAGTACTTTTCAGCTAAAATCATAGCCCTTGAGTTTTTAGAAACAAAAAAAGTCATCCATAGAATCAGCTATATTTTGATATTAAGACTTAATACTGAAAAATATAACTTAAAGGATTTTATTTCAGACATGATAGAGTAGTTTATGTATCATGCCTCTTAGTGGAAATGGGGGGAAAAGGGGAATAAAGATTTTTAAAATAACCCAAAAAGCAGGTGGGTATGGTGGAGCATCCCTGTTATCCCAGCATTTGGGTGAGGCAAGAAAGAGTTCAAGGTCAGCCTGGGTTACATAGTCAATTCCAAGTCAGTTTGAGCAATACAGCAAGACCCTTCTCAAAAAAATAAATAAATAAAAATAAAACAAGGCACAACCAAGTCAGCCAAAACTCAAGGAGATAAGATTCTATAGACAAGGGAAGTATTGAGGCAGTGGAGGTACTTTCTTCCCTCCTCAGCACACTCTCAGATGCAGTGTATAGGTAAAGCAGGAGCCTAGGTCTTGAGAACTCTATTATAATCTTATGGAAAGACAACTAAAGGGAAAATGGATAACAAAAACACTTGATTATAAAAGAAGACAAGAGAAAGCACTATGGAACAGATGGCACAAATACCATGACAACAGATTCAAGCCTAGATAAATGAGAAATCACATATAATGCAAATGAACTAAAAATTCCAATTAAAAGGCAGAGATCACTAAAATAGATAAAACAATACCCAAAGAAACACATCTTAAATACAAATTAAAGGGAGAGAAAAAAAGGTATTCAATAAAGTTATAAAAACTGGTTATTTATACATATCCAGTAAATAACATCAAAATATATAAAACAAAAAATCTAAAAATCAAAGGAGAAACAGACAATATACAGTGATGGTTAGGTTAGAGACTTTAATTTTTAGATTAAGTACAAAACATGTAAAAAGAATGTAGAATGTTTAACAATTGACTGTGTTCTATGACAAGAGTGGAATTAAACCAGACATCAGTAACATTAAGCACTTAGAAAACCATAAATATTTAAGAATTGACTAATACAGTTCCAAAATAAACTATGAATGAGAGAAAAAAACAGAATAAATATTGGAAAATATTTTAACTGAATTATAAGGTAAATATTAAATATAAAACTTGAGGTATGAAATGTGACTAAAACTGTGTCTAGAGGATAACATAGCTTCAGAATGCATACAGCAAAAAAAAAAAAAAAATGAAAGGATAAAATTTAGTAACTTAGGTATCCACATAAAAATGCCATGTAAGACAGAAATTAAGCCCAAAGGAAACAGAAGGAATTCGAAAGACAAAAGAAGAAATTAAATTCAAAATAAATCAACAAAGAGAAATAAATCAATGAAGAGAAAAATCTGCACAACTCAGTGGTGCTTTTAAATGATGTAAACAATAAATCTCTAGCAAGGAAAGATACATTACCAACAGCAGGTTATTACCAATAAAGGTTATCACTGAAGAGCTCATAATCACTAAAAAGATGAATTCTGCCAATCAATTTGACATTTTAAACAGAATCCCTTAAAAATAAAAAAAGAGAAACTGAGTATCTCACAGCTCTGTAACTATCAAGACTCTTTAGTTAGGCTGGGGATGTAGAACAGGAAAGAGCGTTTGTCTAGCACACACAAGGCCCTGTTTTCAATCCCCAGCACTGCAATAAGGAAGACAAAAAGAAAAAGGAATCTTTAACTAAAATTTGTCTCTAAAGAAAATAACAAACACAACAGAGGGATTTACTGGTGAAGTCTTCCAAACATTAATGAAAACACAAATTCTTCCAAGTAACTCTAAAAGCTCTACTATTTCCAAGTCATTCTTTGAGACTAGTTTAGTTGCGGTTAAAAAAAAAGCTTGTCATAAATTTTCTAAGGAAAACAATTAAGCTTATTTTTAAAGTGCCTCATGAATACAGCCCTCATGAATAAAAAGAACACTAAATGTAAGCAAACTGAATTTGCATTATCAGGATAACTGACCATGAACAAGATGTACTACATTCTGAATATAACATGACAGGATGAACAGGATAACGCATCAAGAATCAATCTGGCTTTAATTCCAGAGATATGAGTTTTATCATTCAAAACTCAATGTAATTTACAACATTAATAAAAATTTTAAAATATGATCATCTCAGTGGATGCAAAAAAAATATAATAAAATTCAATACCTGTTCATGACAAACACTCTAAAGTAGGAAAAAGTTGGTAATTTCTTTATCTAATCAATGGCACCTACAAGAAAAACTAGAAAATATCATGGTAAGCTGCAAATTATTGACAGATTTTCCTTTAAGACTGAGAATAAGACAAGGATGTCTGCTATCAATGTTTCTATCTGTATACTACTAGAAATGTAAACAAGGCAGTATGTACCCCACTTAAAAAAAAAAAAAGAGCAGGAAGAGAACACTGTCATTATTCACAGATGATATTTGTATACTTAGAAAATCCAAAAGGAAAACCTAGAGATAAAAGATTAAAAATTAATAAAAATTAGCAATGTCACTGAATAGTCAGTATACGAATATTCTGCAGAAATGTTCATAGAAATAAAATATAAAATTTAAAAACAAGTTCAAAATTTCATTCAAAAACATGAAACACCTAGGTATAAATCTAAAGAAGTATGTGTAAGATACTTATACTCAAAACTGAAAGAAATCATTGAGGAAAAAATTTTAAAACACATCAGTGGAGGGATATACAGTATTCATGGACTGGATCATTCAGTATTGTCAAGACAACCAATAAAGGAAAAATTAATGCATATGCATGGAAAGACAAGAACAAAAATGCTCCCAGCAGCCTTACTCATAATGGAGCCAAGTAAATACAAGCCGAGTCCATCAAAGTACATATATTCATAAGATAATAAAAGCAAACTACTGCCATAGAAGAATCTCACAGATACAATATTGGCTGAAAGAAGCCAGACCAAAAAAAAGTACATACTATGAGGATTCATTATATAACATTCAAACACACAAAACTAATTTTTTAAGTCAAAATAGTCATTGTCTTTGCATGGAGGTTACTGACTGGGGAGGAGCTGCTGAGTTCTGGTAATGTTCTATATCTTACTGAGTGGTGGCTACATGGATATATTCATTATAAAAATTCACTGAGCTGTTCATTAAGATTTGTGTACTTTATGTGCGTAAGTATTTCGATAAGAATAGAAAACAATTAACCTTGAACAGCCTTTCACCAAGCTAAAACCAAGTCCTAAATTTTTGTGAGCTTTATGCTGATTCTGTGTTTCAGTCAATCATCTACTGAAGAATACATATATTCAGTACTCTGAGGATTACACAAAATCTTACAATTTCCAAATAATTTCTCTAACCGTTTAGTTTAAAACAAAGAGATTAGAGGACAGTCATAGGAAAACTAGTAAGTTGATCCATTCAACAAATATTTATTAAGTATAATGGACCAGTTGCAAGCCATAGGCTAGGCACTGATTACATCTACTCATTTAAAGCAATTAGGTGTACTAATGTACCCAAAAGGAAACTAATCTACTGTATGATACCTTATATATATGTGCAGAAAGGACATACTTAACAGAAAAGAAAATCTAGTTAAGGGGATTCCAAAATAAAACCAAGAAATTGGCAGCACATGTAATGTATCCTAACTGCAGAAAACAAGGTTGTTCTGGTCACCAGAGAGGTATACTGCTATGAAGGCAAAGATAGTTCAATACCCTTTGAGCTCATGGCAATGAGGACAAATGTTTATATGGATAAAACTGCCATGAAATTACTACCTAATTTTACTCTGCATCCATAGCTGGCAATTTTCCTTCTGATCAATACATTTATTAACTCTTACTTCCTGGGTAAGGGCACCCTATCCAGTAGACATTAATATTTCTTTTTGTCTATAAGTTAAACTAATAAACTAACATTTTGGTCACATGGTTACCATGAACTATACAAACTACACACATTTCTCACACACACACACACACACACACACACACACACAGAGAGAGAGAGAGAGAGAAACTGAGTTTGTGGAGCTCTAAATCTCAGCAATGAATGAGGGAACGTGGTAATTAGTTCTTGGAACTCTATGTCCTGTCTGGGTACCTGCTGATTATTTAGGAGGTGACAAACAGTAGCCTGTAGGCCAAACACAACCTGCTGCCTGTTTTGCCAATAGTTTTCTTGAAACACAGCTACATTAATTTGTTTACACACTGCTATGACATGAAAGCAGCCATAGCAGACACAGTTGAGTGACGTAGTCTGGCTTGCATGAGCCTACAATGCTTGTTACCTGGCCTTTCATAAAAGTTTGCTGACCCATGCTTTAGATTATATCTCCCAGTCATTCCGTAAGAGCAACAGTCGTCATTTTATTCTGTAATAGAACTCATTTCCACAATTTTTAAAGGGCAGAGGAACTTGTCTCTAATTCCAATGAACTATGAAATAGCCAAAGACAGGTTCCATACTGTCATCAAAATCAATTAATATAAATCAGTGCTTTCAAAATTTTTAATGCCATTCACCCAGCACTACAGCATTTCTCCTTTATAATTCTTAAATCATCAATGGTCTCAGGTTAACTTTCTGTAAGTTCACTGTCTCCTTCAAGTCATAATTCTATTGAATTTTAACTTATTACTGATGTGGAAGATATCATTAACTAGTTTCTTCATTTTACAGTCCTATGTATGTACCCCAAATTATAACATTTTCACTTGGAAAAGTGAAATTTAATAACATTCTATCAGTAAGAAATCTTCACTATCAATTCTTTGGTATTTAAATTGCCAAAATTCAGTTAGTTTCCATTTATGAAATCAATTCATTCTATTCTGGAACAGCAGTTTGAAAAAAACACAAATTGAATACAGAGCAAAGCAGTTATAAATGCATAAATGGGCTCCTTTAAAAAGGAAATCTTAATTAAAGATAGTGAAGACAAGACTAAGATGATATATAAGAAAAAAAATCAAATATTCTGTATTTCAAAATGTAATTGTGCTCTCAAAGGGAAAAAGGAAGATTTAGAAGACGACAGTGTTTAAAATGCAGCTTAAGCAAAGTATTCTACTAAAACTACCTAGAAATCACGAATGGTGTTGTAAAATGGAAAGCTAAATGATAGTAACTTGGAAAACGAGACAATGAGGCCTATGACTCCTTCAGAAAAATGAAATAAAAACACCAATAACCAAAACCTAAGAAAATGAAATAAAGGAGGAACCATAAAACAAAAGAAAAGGAGTACGAAAGCTAAAGTAAATTCTCTGTAAGAAAATTTCCTCGAATTTTAAAAAATGAGACTTAAAAAATACATTGAGGCTTCTATTGTTTTAGAGAAGAGAGGACCATAATATTGCTAATTCATGGTATGTACTTGGATGAACAGTTGAAAATCTTACTGGGAAAAAAACTTAACCAAAAATTAACATACATGGACATATTTTGCTCCTGAATAATTACACAAAAATATATGTAAACTACTCATTAAGTTTTACCTGAATGTGTCCGAAAATGCATTTCCAGGCTTGATTTTCCTTTAAAAATTTTTTTACAAACATCACATTGATGAAATGTTGCTTTATATCTAAAAAATAAATAACTTTGGGAGTTTTACCACAGAATTTAAATAAATGACAACAAAAGTAAGTTATAACCTTTAATTGTACATATAATTCTATGTAGATACTGATGTTGATTAAGAATAAACTGTAGCAAATCTTAAAACCCTCATTCATTAAAAAGTTGACATTGGGGTCAGGTGTTGTGGTACAGGCCTGGTAATCCCATGAGACCCTATCTAAAAAACAAACTAAAGCAAAAAAGGCTTGTGGGCATGGCTCCAGAGGCAGGGCACTTGTCTAACAAGTACAAAGCCCTCACTTCAAACCCCAGTACTGAAAAAAAAATAAAAGTTCACATCGTTCTCATCAACAACTCAATATTATACATTTGAACTGAAGAAACCCAGTTAATTTCATATCTAAATAAAAGTAATGAAATACAAGCCCTTTATTTTTATTATACTAAATGTCCAAAAGTAAACTTAGTAATAAGTAGCATAGTGAGTGGACTGCCTATGAATTACTTTCAAGTAATCTCAAATTCAAAATTTAATTGTGAGGACCAACCTAGGGGCGAGCTGAGTAGCACTAAGCAAAAGTCAATGGCCACCACCCCAGCCTTTAGTTAAGTGAAAACAAGTAGAAAAAAATATATACTTAGTTCAATTCTTTCAGTATTGTAGACAGGCTACATAAAACTAGAGAAAGGGTGCAGGTTAACCAATACGCAATTGAACAAAATGAACAGAAAATTCTAACTTTTCTCCAACAAAGACTCGGCCAACATAGTAATTATGAGAACTTTTGCTTTTTCACTTACTTCTGCCATACTTTCTCTCCAAGATGCACACTTTTGTAATGGACAGTGAGATGATCCCTCCGCCCAAAACATTTTCCACATTCTTCACACTGATGAGCCTTTTCACCTAAAAATGAAGACCCAAATATCATAATTAAAACATGCATTTCAGTTTTGTTTTGTTCCCTCCAGAAACAAATGACAAAACACTGAGATACATGATGGGAAATATACTAGGAAAAGAAAGCAACCCTTTATTCCGGCCTATTTCCTTTATATCCCGTAATCAATATCTTCCTCAAAAAAAAAAAATCTATGCCTAATTTCACAGATTAGCATTCTTTTCCCACTTGGAGAAAAGCTAGCAGTCTTCTGCTGTAGACTTCAAATCTTACCTTTCAGTATAGCAGGGCAAGGTAAATGAAATTACTTCAAAACTAAGGATGTCTTTAGGAATGTATGTCTGGATGTGAAACCCCTCAAACGTATACACATTACACTTGATATGAGGCTCTCTTCTTGTTTATAAAAAGGACCTGGACATTTTCAGATCTTTGTACTGTACTTTTCAAAGATTTCTCACCTGTGGGGATTTCTTACATGTGCATTGAGTCAAAACAGAGATACAATGGAAAACACCAGATAATTCTCTAATGTTACATTTAGTTTCAAAGGTTTGGTCTTTCAAAATCACTGTCTCAATACCAATGTGCAAATTCATGTGACCTCTAGAATTGGGAATTTAGAATTCTCTTCTTAGAAACGAAAAAGCACAAATCCAATGAAAAGTTATTAGACTTTTAACATCTCTTAAATGATCTCAGTGGGATCATTTAAGAAAGTGATTATTACCTGTTGCATAATTTATATTTAAATTATGTTTATAATAATGATAATCACCTGTTCTACTGTGCTCATAGAGATGGCTCTTTCCCATTATTGTGCTCATATAGGTGGCTCTCTTAGCACTTCTGAACATCTGAGAGGAAAATATGAAAGAAATCCCCAAAATACAAAAATTATAAATACAGTATAAAGGTCTGAAATTGATCAGGATTATTAAGGTATTCTTTTTGAAAGACAAGGTTTCAAAATTCACTGTAACACCAACTTTAAAACCCAATTAAATTCATTTGTCTATAAACACCAAACTCTCACCAATTTCTTCTCAAATATAATCAAAATGAGAACTACGGATTCTCCTTTTAGGGAAAGGCTAACAATTGTTGCAAATAACAGCATGACATGTAAACTGAAATTTTTGACAATTTCTCAAAATTAAACTTTAAAATAGGCTTTACATTCACAAACAGTGATCCAATCATTAAACTGTCATTGAACATGTCATAAAAATAATTCCCTTTAAGATGTGTTTTACAGACAGGCCTTCAGAACCAGCATTACAAAGGGATGATCAACATGCCAATTTATGAAGACTATAGCCAATGTAAACATGAAGTAATATGCTCTATTTTTTTTCCTTTATGGTTGTGCTGGGTGGGGGTACACTTTGGCCTTTATACAGATTCTTACAATGTATTAAATATATCATACAAGAATTCACCCTCTCTACATTCTCTTTTACTCCCTCCTCCCTGGATTCCTGGAGTGGTTTCAAAAGGTATCATTTTTGCATTTACATACACGTGTACACATTTTTTACACTGTATTCATCCTCCAATCCACTTTCCCCACCACATCCTCCCTCCAACTGTTGCCAGCCCTCCCCCCTGAGCAGGACTTATTCTGCCCTCCTGTTTTCCGATTTTGTAGAAGAAAACAGATAAAACAGAAAACATTAAGAATGTTTTTAAAAATAATTTTGGAAACAGAAGTACAAAATACAGCTTACCTGAATGTATTTTTTTGTGCTTTGTAAGATGGTCATGACGAATAAATGTTTTTCCACATTCATCACACTCATATCTTTTGTCATCATGGTGCACTCGTAAGTGAAGTCTATAAAGAAAAATTAAAACTGGTGACACAGAAGGAAGTGCTTGATAATGAACACATAATGCAAACTGGGCTGTACACTCATCACTTCTGTTATTTGCTCTACTCCTGTGAGTTGAAGAGTCCTTCTCAGTCTTTTGCCAAGTGATCCTGCATTCCTATCCATTTCTTCAAAAACAAGCATTCAACAATTGCACATGGTCAAACTACCTCTGGATAATATACCTTCCTAATTTGTTAGATCCTAAATCTACTTTGATGACTCTACCAAATGTCTAGGACTATTATCTATCTGAGTGGCCAGATCTCAGAACTGTTAAGTACAAGTATTTCAGGAAACGGAATCAGTAACTAAGTATATGATAATGATAAAGAATAACAGCAGCAAATAACAGAATTAATCCTATTCTGGACAACTGATTCCACTTACAAAGTGATAGTTGAGAATTTATTACATTTTAAAAGCCCTCAACCACATGAAAAGTACATTTTTACCACTTTTCTTCATACTGATTGAACAAAATGGGGCTCATTTTATAGTCACTCAAGACATAAAATAAGAGCTTGGGGCATGGCTTGAGTGGTAAAGCATTTGCCTAGCAAGCGTGAGACCCTGAGTTCAAACTCCAGTACAACCAAACAAAGACATGACCAAAAGTTTAGATTAAATTTCATTTAACTTCATTTTTACTCCCACAATTTTCTATCTAACTATATAAAATGCATCCTAGTGAAACCTATAGCTTTCCTATTCAATTTGCCAAAACAACTCCTGATACTACAAAAATTAGTAGCAGTAAACTTTCCATGCAACTAGCCTACATCTGAAGGAAAAACATTCCCTTTAGAAAACACTCCCTGTTTAAACTCAAAAGGGAAATAAGTGAAGGTGTAAATGTTAAGGCCTTAACATTAAAACTCTAGAGGGCATTAATGAGAATTTAAATTATATACACATTTTACAATAAATAATTACCTATTTATTTAGGAAAAAAAATCAACTTTTCATAAACTGCAAATGTAGAAAGAGATGCAGCTACAAAATTAAATAAGTAACAATTGATACAAGAAGACTTTTTAAATTGAGAATTCCAGAGTTTTTAATCTTCCTACATTTTTATACTAAAGATATTCTTCTGTAATAAAGAATGAAGAAATATACCAAGTTTTTAACACCAGAGTTTTAACAAATTTTCATTCAAGGACACATATTTAAGTAATGATACCTAACTAAAAGCTTCAATAAACTTGTCTATGAGTTAATATTTAATAATATTTTATGCACAGAATGAACATAATATTGCATACTATAAGGAAAAAAATCTGTTCGGTCAAGTTTCTATACAACTTTACAAATCATAAGGGCTGAGACGTTTTAATTTAATGAACAACTAAAGCAAGCTGGGAAGGGTGGCTTAGGCCCCCAACTGGGAGGCAGCCAGGGCAAGAACAGCAAGACTACAAAAACAAAATGGGCATGGTGCAAGTGGTATAGTGCTGGCCTACCATGCAAGACACTGTGGGTTCAGTCCTCAGAACCACACACACACACAACTAATCAATTAAAAGAAAACAGAACTAAAACGGAGGTGTCACTGAACACAGGGACAACAGCATTACTTACCTGTATGAGCTCCCATGACGGAAACTTTGCCCACAAATACTACAGAGATGAGGCTTCTCTCCACTGTGGATTCTCAAATGTTCTTTTAAAGTAGTTCTGTGTTAATAAATTACATATATTTAAAGTTCTCTTAATATCAATGTACATACTAATCATGGATTTCCAAAAAACTTACTAGAAAGGTATTCACGCTAACAGATGCTGTATCAATTCTTCCCTTTCTCCCACCAAATATATGCTCTTTATTGGACTATTCTCACCAGTATACAAAGGCTTATTTTGTCTCTCTCCTTTAAAATTTTTTTTTAAACTTTGGCCTCCTTTGCCATTGGTCTGCTTAGAGATTTAATTATATGGCTTTTTCCCCACACATCTACGTTGCTCAGGCTGGTCTGGAACTCACTATGTAGCCCACTCTGGCCTCAAGATCTTTCTACCTCAGTCTCCTGACTGCTGGATTACAGGTGGGTACCACCACACCTAACTCAAATTATGTAGCACAAACAAACTTAGATAAAGCATTACTGCATTAGGTGAAACAGATGTGGATTTTGGTGAAAAGGGTTTAATAATATTTAAGGAATCCAGTTTTTCAGTATTTCCTTCCAAATATGTGCTCAATACTGGTTAAGAAATGTCTTATGGCAATGAAAGTCTTATAGGTATTTCTAACTTTCAGGTGGTGATGAAAAGTGAATCTATATAAAGGAGACAAATTACTGTTATTCCCAAATCTTCCAGTCCCACTGACCCTGAGTGGGCTACTCTGTAACTATTACTGCTGCAAGTATGTTACTAGTTATCTTTATATTTCTAATATGTAAAGCTTTCCCACCTATTCAAAGTGCTGAAAAAGATGGACAAAGTTATTTAAGGGCAAAAAGAAGTGAAAGGCAAATGAGACAGAACTTTGCAAGCACTTGTTGTCACTAGAATTTGGTTTTCATTTCAATGCCATTATCTTGTGAGTACAGCAGTACTGAGGCTTGAACTCAGTCTCCTGCTTGCAAGGCAGGCATCTACCACTGGAGCCACACCCATGCCTCCTGACATGTAGGAGTTGAAAAGGCAGAGTAGGAAATGAAGGCAGAGTTCTGCCAGCAGATGATGCTCTCCTCCATGACCCATCAACTCCTGACAAGTGACAGTCTGATACTTACCAAGCTTTGTGGAAAACACCTCTAAAAATATCGCTAGACTCCTAAATATGGAATAAGTACAGTAAGAAGACAGAAGGGCTGTCTTTTTCTGTTGCTATTTTTACTTGATTGTTTTTTGTTTTTACAGGAAGATTTACAAGGGGAAAATAAATTTATAATTCACATAGTAATGAACAATTTTTCATCTGTAAACATGATTTAATATAAAATATAGTGTACTAGCTAGGTGTCAGTATAATCCTAGCTACTCAGGAGGCAGAGATCCAGAGGATGGCAGTTCAAGGTCAGCCTGGGCAAAAAAAAAAAAAAAAAAACAGGCATCTTAAAACTACCCAACACAAAACAGGGGTTGGCAGAGTGGCTCAAGTGATAGAGTGCTACATAAGTGTGAGGTCCCGAGTTCAAACCCCAGTACTGCAAAAAACATAAATAAATAAAATATAGTGCACTGATTTTCTTATTTCTCTATCAAATCCATCAGTTATTTTAAGAAAATGGGATTTCTAATTTTTTTAGGTTATGAAATTTTTATATACTTATGAGCACTTCTTTAAGAGAAGGTCAGCAGCACAGGCTGGCCTTGAACTCTCCATCCTCCTACTTCAGCCTCCTGAGTACTGGGATTGCATGTATACACTACCATGCTCAGCTTTAAAAGTATACAAAATTTATTATGCACTTTTTACATTCAGTAGTTTTTTTTGGCAGTAATGGGGTTTGAACTCAGATGGTATTAAATGTATGTTCAGGTTAAGAATTAGAATATTATCATACCTTAAAATGGCTCTACTTACTTCTCCCTAGTCTTACCTTTCTTCTTCCTCAGAAATAACCTTTTTGTTTCTCTATACACCCACACTTACATATCACTAAACAATGTAGTATATGCTTTGGAAAAGCTGAGCTACAAGTGTAAACCTAACAACATTGCTGCTATAAAATTCTAAAGAGCCCAGAAGATAATGGGAATAGGGTCTCCAGACCATTTGCAGCTTCCCTGCAAATTAGCAAAAGCATGCCAGTGGGTGAAGCCATGAATAAATACCGGAAACCCGAGTTCACCAGAGCTGGACCATGTGACAGAACTAGGTAAAACAGGTACTGTAAATCTGGCAGAAATATGGTCAAAGTGAGTAGGCAGCTCTATAAACTCTGTTTCTTAACTTACAGTGACCTATCTCTAATTCTGATGAGTAGCCCCAAAATAAGGTTTCTGTGAAAAGAAATGAGAAACATCATTTTAATTGAAGCAGAAGAACCTAAGAGGAAGAATCTCACTAGCACACAGAAGAACCTCAAGAGCACAGAGAAGGCAGGCCTTCTGTAGAGTCTGTTCCAAACTGAGACGAAACATGCTACCCAGGGATCTTGACAGTCAAGGTCACACTACTAGGAGCATGGACTACTTATCTGTTGTTCACCTGACATTTTGGTATCTTCCTGTGAATGACCCCACCCATCCTATGTCAGAACTCCTGCTTCCTATAGCCCTTGTCTTTGCCTTCATCCTCCCTTTAGTATTGTTGAGACTTTTTTACCCTCTCTAAAGCAGGTAGAAGTTTCTTGTCCCTAGTGTCCTGAAGTTATCAAAGAAATTTATCTTGGTGTTCGCTCATTTTCATCTACTTACCTAAGCATTCAATAGGTCATTTCTAGCTGGCAAATCATGTCCTTCTGTTCTTGAATTATTTTAATGGAGATTCTCCCCCTCTCTATTCTCTCCCTTCTTTCTTACCTAGGTCCTATTATTCAGATGCTAGATTTGTCTGGTCCTGTAATGCTCTGGTCTTTATAACTTTGTATCTTCCTGCTCAACTTTCTGCTTTCAACTCCTGCATTGAGATCTATACTTTGGCCATCATACTCTGAATTTCTGGGAGCTCTGACTTTAATTACTAGAGTTACCTTTCCATTCCACATCCTACTCTAATTTAATGGATTCTGTGTCCTCAAATGGGAAAAAATTAGTAATTCACTTCTTTAAAAAAATTCTATTTTCTTCTGTCATAAAGTTTCTTTAAAGATTTTTCTTAGTGGTTTTTTGAGGCAAGATATCACTATGTAGCCCAGTCTGGCCTCTCAAAGTTCAATTCTCCTGCCTCCACCGGTGGAGAGCTGGGATTCCAAACATGTGCCACTACACACACCCGCTTCCTTAAAGTTCTCTTTTTCCCATTTGTTAGCATGCAGTCTATCTTCCATGTTAACTATCAGCTCATGATTAAGTGTGTTGGGCTATAAAAAAGTCGACAGGAAGGTCAAAGAATATGGGTAGGTTTATTGGCTCTGGGTTTCACTGTGAGTGATGTATAAGTGATATGGATGTACACCACTTACTAGAAATATATTTCCCAGAGGCTGCTTCAGGAATAACCTTTTTCATCTGCTGCTTTAATCTAAAGTTAAAATAATGGCAGGGATCAGGGCTCAGGGCATTCAGCATTTTACATGTGTCTGATCACCTAACAATACAGCAAACTTAGTCCACCAATCCTCTGTTGGGAGGAACATGTGCCCACAGCAATGACACGATGGGTGGTAGAAGGGATTCCAAAGATTTAACTTCTACACTGTACTGTTTTTTTTCCTCCACTCCTTCACCACTCCTTCCCCAGAGTTCAGGGAAGAACTGACAGGTCAATTTCAGTATCTTGATATGAACTAGTCTTGTGTTTCTCTAAGATCACTCTGGGATTTGTCTTTCTTAGATCTGCTAAACCACTGACTCATATGTTGTATAGCTTTCAAATCTGTGTGGTCTTGACACTTTTCTATTCTCTGTCTTTGTAGCTTATGGTCTTTAAAAACCAAACAGAAAACCTCCAATGTATTGTTAATGGGATTTCAAAAATGGGTAAAATTATATGTTACACCAATCATATAAACCTATAAATCCTGAATTTATTATTTCTATGATATTTTATATAACTTCTTTTTCTTTACTAAAGAGCATAATTCAGGTATTTTGTGTCTTAAGTTACTCTATCCCTTATAAGCCATACTCATATAATTACTTCTACATTCAAAGAATTAAAATTTTTCTGGGTATACAAATATTCTTTACCTTTCTCTTACTGATTTCCCACAAATAAAACAAGTCCATTTTCTCTTTCCACCATGAGTACATTCTATATGGCGTTTCAAATTTCCAGTGTCATTGAACTGACGACCACATATATCACATGGAAAAGGACCTGAAAAAGGAAAAAAAAAGAGTAGCTTGCACCTGAAGTTTAAAGACAAATACTAAGCTAAGTTTACAGAAATGTCACAGGTGTACTATAAAGTTATGCCTACCACTCTCAGTGTAATAAGCAAAATCTGTAATATTCTGCAATGATTTGTTTATAGTCTTCTCTTCTCATCTTGATTGTTTATTACTAGAAAGCAGGTGACAATGTCCCTAGAGACACTACAGGGCTTGGCATCTAAAGTCATAATATATCCTGAATAAACTGAAGTTTTAATAAATTGAAATGGCCAATTACTAGTTTCATATTAGACTGAAACAAACTAAAAAATACTACATACTAAATTTGGTGAAAAAGAGACAATGAAAAACTTTAAGAAATAAAAAGAGTGGTTTATATTGCTGCTTCACAGTAAGTTTAGAGAAGTATGGCTGCATATAAAACTGTGATTCAGTATAGGAAGAAACAAGTTTTTTCTTTGTAGAACCCTGATAAGTAACTGAACATGAAGTGACTGACTGTTTCCTTTCTCTCTCCACTCTGCTGGAGCCTTCAGCTAAGCATGAAGTTTAATATTTCATAAGAAGTTCTATTAGTAGGTGTCTAGTTCTTCATCTAGCAAACATTACCATTGGGTAAACTGAAAATATTGATGCACATTTCTGTTTAGTCTTACAAAACTAAACCCAAACTTCTCATAGTAATATTGGCCTTATATGGATTCTGAATTGCATCATGATTTCACCAAATAAACAACTGCAGAGAATAAGTTCTACTGACTGTCAAGCTAAAAGAAAAATAAGGATGTGTGAAAAGAACTACAGATACACCTTAGGAAAGCTGAGTATTTGGAAGACGATGTCTCAGAATTTGAAAGAAGAAACCAAAGATGAATTCATCACAACAGCACAATAGAAAGAATATAGAATTTGTTTACTGGAATTCAGAAATCTATTTACAAGCAAAATTGCTAAGTAATCAAAACAATCTGGGGGAAATTTCAACATGTTTTATACATTAGATATGAGGGATGACCTCAAAATCTGTAACATATTAGGTATTTTTAGTATTTTCTCATTTAAAATCTCCAATTATTTCATTTTCCATGAGATCCAAATCTTTCGCTCATTTATTAATTCATTCAACAAGATTTATTGATGCTTAATTCATATGTTGTGTTAAGTGCCATGAAAAATCCTTCACCTCCCTCCCACTAAAAAAACTGCTCCACAAAGTTGGGGAAAAGAAAGTCAGTATTTGTATAATTAAAAGGAAAGAGTCAAGATGAGCACATTATGAGGACTGTTTGCTAGATGAAGAACTAAACACCTAGTAATAGAAATTCTTATGAAGTATTAAACTGCATGCTTACCTGAAGGCTCCAGCAGAGTGGAGAGAGGAAACAGTCTCTTCATGTTCAGTTACTTATCAGGGTTCTACAAAGAAAAAACTGTTTTGTTTCTTCCTATACTGAATCACAGTTTTGTATGCAGCCATACCTCTCTGAACTTTTTATTTATGAAGCTAAGCTTGACATTTACACTAAAGCAAATCTTCATGCTAACTCTCTAGATAGAATAGAATTGCAAGATCTTACAACCAAGATACATTAGAAAGTCTTCCTCTGCATCTGTTTGGACTGCAATTCTTGACTCTCTTTCCCTTTGACTCAACAGAGAATCCTAACATAGGTAGCATGTGTATGGCTTTGGGTAATCTAATGCAGCAGTTCTCAAAGTATACAATCTGGCTTATCTGCACCAGTGTCATCTCACAACTTAGGGGTGAGCAACAAGCTCTCCAGGTGACCTTCATACACACCAAATTTTGTGAACCATTTCTCTAAGGTATACAGTGACTCAAGAAGACAGAAGCATAGACTTGGGAAGCAAAAGCCTAATGTATCATCAAACACTCTTTATTGTCACTATTTAAGAAATAAAGCAAATACAATATTGTACATACACACACAGAGAAAGACGTAGAAAGAGAAACAAAGACAGAGAATACTCAAAGCAATAGTCTATTTGGCTTATTTTTATTCTATTTATTTTTCCTTGAATAATGATGAGTGAAAATGCAAAGTCACTGTTTTATTTCAACAGACATACTTCTAAAGGGTCTTGAAAATAATACTTGTAAAAACAAATGATAACATACTCTGAGAAAGAGAACACAAATTAAGCCTGGCTCTACAGTTGGCATTTATTATACATTACTCATTTAATCTTCACAGTATTTATGAAGTAGATGCTAAGCCTGTTTCACAAATGAGGACCCCAATAGTCTGTGAGGCTGCTCAGATCACACAGTAGGTGACCAATTGTGACAGAGGAAAGAGGTCTGGCCATGGAGTATTGCACTTCACTTCTACAACACACCACACATAATAAAGATTTTTCTCCCAGTAAATATCAACTCCTATTAAAAATTACATGAATTAAATAATCATTTGTTAAACACTTGTGTGAGCAAGGGATCATAATGTGACAATTTATTTACTTGCTTAAATACACACTGCATGCAATTTAATTTGGCAGGAACGTATGTTCAGATCCTAAGACACAATTGATCATATAGTTAGCAGATGTTTAATAAGTATTACTGCTTTATATGTTTAATGTATTTCTCTTAGGTATTTTCCTCAGTGAACTTCAGTCAGCAAAATTAGCTAAACCTTACTGCCTAACCCTTCTGGAACTCTTTCCCTACTCATATGAAGTAAGATAGAAAATCAATCTTTTGATGAGTCATAAAACATATTCTGGTTCAACCACTTTCAGGAAAAGTCCTCTTCAACAACAGAAAGACTGACAGTGAATTAAACTGGGATCTTACAGTTTCTACCCAATGTACTTACAATGTTTACTTATATACTAAATGATGAATTTATAAAAGTTGAGGCTCAAGTGGTAAAACACTTGCCTAGCAAGTACAAGGCCCCCAGTTCAAATCCCAGTGCTGCCAAAAAACAATAAAATAAAGTCAGGAGTAGGAAAAGGAGATAAAATCAAGTATGTTAGTTACCAAAATTTCCACATTTTGTTAGGATGCTTTTACAAAAAATATTAACTACAATTTTCAATTAAAAATGAAAAGAAACCTACCAAATCTCCCATAAAAACTGGTTTTTTTCCTGGAACTGAAGTCTAAAAAAATTTTTATCAATGAAGCACACTATAGGAACATATCTCTGACTACAGTTTTAGTAACTATAAATGATGGTTTTGTGTAACAGCTTCTTAGAATTAATGAGATACAATACTATGAAAGAACAACTGAGTAAAAGTAATTCAGAAAGGGAAGATATAAAGATAAATTACCTTCTAGCACATACTAGCCTTATAGATCACAATCACAAAGATTAAGTATGTCTCTCTGCACAATAGTCTTGAAAGTATCTGAAGACAGACATACTCTCCCTTCCCCATACAAAGCATTTCGGGTCCTTCAAAAGTTTTTCATGACATGATTTTAGAATCCAGTATCACCAAAATTACCCACCTCTATATCTGATAATATTCATCTTAAATGTGGTGCACAGAAATGATTTCACTTTTCCAGATCAATTCAAAACCAATTAGATGACTACTTCTCTAATTCTGAAATATATACACTTATAAAATCAATCTACATTGACTTTTGTCAGTCATATCACATTACTAGTTCATAATGTGCCTTTCCCTAAAATGCTTTTGCTATCATAAGTCCATCCATAATATGAGGAGTTTAGATCCTTCAAGACCCAGTGACTCAAAGTCAAGTAAGTCCTATAAGTCTACAACTCTGTATTATTCTTAATGCCATCCGTAAAGCTGTATACTCAGCTTGTTTTTATTTACTGTAAATCTATTGCTACTCAAGTTGTTTTTTGGTACTGAGGGCTTGTGCAGGCTCGGCAAACACTCTACATCCCCAGCCCTGTACTGCTACTGAAGTTGTTTTGTAGCCCAGTCTGGCCTTAAACTTGCCTCAGTCTCTCAAGTGCTGGGAATACAGTTGTGCACCACCAAGCCTTGCTTCAAATGTATTTTCTTCCTAATATATGAAGTTCATTTCATTCCTTAGAAAATGAGATTTTTACAAAATCAAGTGTTTTATTTCAAGTACTGACAAACCAACAATCAATCAGGAATTGTTTATGCCCCCTGACAGATCTGCCACCAAAACAAATAATGCCATATTTACTGATCTCCATGAACTACAGCACATATAGTACCCCTCAAAATCTGAAAGACTTCCTTTGCCTAATTCAATACTCAAGGTTCACCACAAGTGGTTCAATGATCCCCCAAATAAAATACTTACATAAAAATTTAACAGAATACATACACATAAGAGGAAAACTACGAAACTCTGATGAAAGAAATCAAGGACGAATAAATGGATATTCCATGTTCATAGATAGGAAGACTCAATATTGTCAAAACTCCAGTTTTTCCCAGCTTGATCTACAGATTTAACTCACTTCTAACTAAAATCCAGCAAATTATTTTGGAGTACAATAAACTGATTCTACTGTTTATACAGAGAGGCACAAAATCCAGAATAGCCAACACAATTCTGAAGTTAATGAACAAAGTTAGAAAACTGACACTACCCAACATCAAAATTTACTATAGAGCTAAAATAATCAATTCAGTATGGTACTGGCAGAAGAACCAACAAGTATATCAACGAACGAGAACAAAGAGCACAACAAACAGACTCATGTGAACAGTCAACCAATCTGAAAAGGAACCTAGGTTGCACAACAGAGAAAAGACACTCTTTTCAAAAAATGGTACTAGGACAACTGGACCACCATCTTCCAAAATAAAATATAGAGACAGACCTTACACCTGTGCAAAAAGGAATGCAAAATGGCCCACAGCCCTAAATATAAAAAAGTGAAACTTTAAGATTCCTACAAAATAATGTCAAAAATCTAGATGACTTTGAGTTTGGCAATGACCTTTTAGATATGACATCAAAGGCACAATCCATGAAAGAAAGAGGTAACAAGCTGGATTAAAATGAAAATTTTCTTCTGTGACATACATTGTCAAGATCATGAAAAGAAAGGCCACAGACTGGGAAGAAATGTTTTAAAAGAAGTATCTGAAAAGTATTATTATCAAAATATACAAAGAACTCTCAAAACTCATCACCACCAACAAAAAAAGCTCAACTAAAAACCTAGCTGGAGATGTAACAGACACCACAGAAAAGAAGATACACAGATAGCAAATAAACACATGAAAAGATGTTCCACATCACTCGTAAGCAGGGAAGTCCAAATTAAAAAAACAATGAGATACCACTATAAACTGTTACAATGGTCAAACTTCAGAACACTCACAACACTAAATGTAGGCAAGGATGTGAAATAACAGTAATGCTCATTCACTGCTGGTGGGAATGCAAAATGATACTGTCACTTTGGAAGACAATACGGCAGTTTCTTACAAACAAGGTATATTCAACCATCCAACATAGCCTTTAGGTTGGGATAATTACCCAAAGGAGCTGAAAACATGCTCACAAAAAACTTGCACACAGATATTTATAGCAATTTTATCCCTAATCACCAAAGCTTGGAAGTTCTTCAGTTTTAACAAATGTACTGTGTGGTGGGGTTGTGAAGGCATGGGGTACAGCAGGAAAGGTTGGTATCCTTTCAGTTTTGCTGTTGACCTAAAAGAACTTTAAAAAATAATGACTCTGAAAAGAATGAACACAGTGCAGCAGTGGCCTGCTCCTCCAGTGTGATGTGATAACAGGCAAAGGCTATTACTGCCTTAAGAAAATGTAACCTACTCACCCAGATGGAACTTTTCCTGATGCTTTAACCGTGCAAACCGTGATTTGAAATGTTCTTCACAATAGGTGCACTTAAAAGGCTTATCTTGAGAATGAAGAATCATATGTTCCTCCAAGTGTGGTCTTCGAGTAAAAGATTTCTTACAAATCTAAATGAAAATGTATGTAAAATTTAAGAGAACCTGAATTAAAATACAAACTTAAAAGGAAAAGAAAACACATACATTCAAGTAAAGAGAAACTCGGCCATCAGAAAAGTGACCCAATTATTATCAAACTCTATTTTGAGAAGAATTAAAAAAAAAAAAAAAAAAAAAAAAAAACCCAAACCAAAACACCTTGGAAGAATTACATTCAGGAATTACTGTAAAATTAGCATCAAAGATAGCTGATTTCAGCTCCTTATGTGCCTATTAGTTTACAGAATAATCTTACTAGCTTAAGTCTAGGTAGCAATTTCTTACTCCATGAAATATATATCATAAACCAATTCTGTATCAGGAATAAAAGGCCTTTGTTGTTATTGGCATATTTGATTAGGAATATGAATAAGAAATCACAGAAAAACCATTCAAAATTTATCATTTGAAGTGGTCAGAAAGAAGAAACCCAACTTCTAAAGAAGTGTGACATGTGTCAGAATTATGAAGAGTGGGGGAGAGGCTATTTAAACAACATATATTTTATATACCAGGCACAATTCACAGATTATTCTACTTAGTTTTCACCATAATCTTACAAAGTAGATATAATTATCAACATAATTATTTTATGATGAAATTTAGTAAGGGGAAGACATTAGCTTATTGTAGATTCAAATAATAATTAACATTAGTTTCTAGAAGCTGAAATCAGAGAACTGTTGGAATTTTGACATATATAACTAATCCTTAAATAAGATAAAAATGTTAAAAAATACTAAATATCAAACAATATTCATCTCAATACTGAATAAAATACTTTAGGGGTGTGACAGAATAAGGATGCTCACAAATTCTTTGCTACTCCTCAACTGAACAATAAAGTTGAATTCTCTTCCCCTTACGTTTGCCCTACTTGTTCTGAGTTATTTGACCCAGCTTCAAGATTAGAAGGAAGGTCAAGTAGCCTCATGAAAAGGAGAAGAATAGAGGCTCCTGGTCAACAGCCTATCCTTGCTGAGATCTTAAGTCATCAGGCAACAAGTGGCCAGCCACTGACCCCAAATGAGACCAAACTATCCACCAGCTAAAAACAACTAGTGACTTCAACCAACACCATGTGGAATAGAAGAATGAGCCAGCAAAGCCCTGCCTCAAACTAGGATTCCTGACACACAAAAAAGGTGAGATCTAATAAAATAGTTAAGAACAACAACACTTAAGTGTTGAAGTGATTTATTTTGTACCAACAACTAACTGAAATAGAGGGGAAACTCTAACAATTTATATTCTGTAACAGTAATGTCAAAGACCATACACACAACTGTAGATACATGAAATACTGATTTCAGTAAAAATAAAAACTAGGGTTTCTACTTCTCTTTCCATCATCTATAAACTAACCATACCAGATTAAATTTACAAAAAATTGTAGAATAACTTTAAAGAATCTAAAAGCGAGACAAGCTAAGTTTTATTACTTTCTTTCTTTCTAATACAAATTAAAAACTCTTACGTCACATTTCCAACTTTCACTCTTAGTCTTCTTGATAGAAATCAATTCTTGTGCATTTTCAGGATGAAATCTATCAGAGAAGAGACAAATATTATACTAAGTAAGTCAATATTCCATTTGAATCTGTCAGCAGTGATTATAAGAATCAGGTACACACTTAGAATCCCAGCATTACCCCAAATGAGGAGGTCCAGCCAGGAGGACTTGTGTTCAAGACCAGCCTGGGCTACATAGTGAGATTCTTCCTCAGAAAAAAAAAAAAAGGACCAGACTGTTTTTGTAAAGAGAATGGAACAGGTGCTAAGAATGTAAGTATCATCAACATTTTAATAAACTTATATATATACCTAAGCTTATGTAGAAATAGTTTAATTCTAATCATATTTTAAATATATTCAGAAACCTAGCCAGTAACAGGCAATCTGTAAGATAATTCACTTGACTTTTCTTTTAGTCCATGTTTCAGAAAATTTTATAAGTTTAGTTAACAGACTACACTGTATTAAGTATTCTTTCTCTCACAAACTTCTACACATTAAACATAAAGTTGAGTATGAAAAATACTCCCTAGACATCTAAAACCATGTATCTCTGAAAACACACTTGCTAAAACCCAATACAGAAAACAGGATAGTTAAAAAGCCACATCACATGCTTTTATAGACTACATTGTTTCAATGTCAGCAAACAGGAGGGCTGAGGTTCTGCATGACCTGCATAAGGCAAGACTCTGTCTCAAAAATAACCAGCACAAAAATGGCTAGTGAGTGGCTGAAGTGGTACAGGGCCTGCCTAGCAAGCACACGGCCCTGATTTCAACCACCACTACTGCGCCCCCCCAAAAAAAAGGTAACAAATGAATCATAAATAAGCACTCTGTAGACATTTGTAGATTACTGCATATTCATACTAGAAGGCACATTAAATTTCACTATGGAAGCAAGACAGCACTTGCCTCTTAACATGCTTGGCTAATGTCTTCTTGCTTGCGTGCAGTTTATTACAGTAAGGGCACTTGTGCTCCTTCTTATGAAACTCGCTGTCATTACTGTGCTTCTTTCTGTGAACAGTTAGGTTGGACTTTGTCGAATAACGCTGGTGACAAATATCACACTCAAAGGGCTTCTCACCTGTGTGCACACGGGTGTGACTTTCATATTTCCCTACAAAAAGAAAGTAAAATTAAATTCTGTACACTCATGACATTGTTAGTGAAATTTGACAGTGGAATAAAATCTCATGATTTAGCAAACTTAATGTACATATCAAATTCACAGAGAACTAGAAAAACATTTACCTAAATTTCTAACTTATAATAACCTCATAAACTTACCACTTTGAGCTTGCAGCTAAATGTATACCTTCCCCCAACTTAGGTCATTTAAAAATAATTATTCATGCTACACATTTGAAAAATCGTGAGGTTTGGGGCCAAACACAGAGGTGCACACTTGTAATCTCAGTCATTCAAGAAATGGAGACCTGGAGGTCTAGATTTGAGGCCAGACTCAGCAAAAAGTTAACAAGACCTAATCTCAACCAAGAAGCATGGCAGGGTAGTGTGTGCCTATCATCCCAGTTACACAGGAGGTAAAAGTAGGAGCATCACCATCTGAGATTGCTGGGCAAAAACACAAGACCCTATCTACAAAATAAGGTCTTACTTTCTATTAAGTGCAAGACACTGAGTTCAAACCCGGAACCAACAACAACAAAAAAATTATGCAGCCGGATGCCCGTGGCTCACGCCTATAATCCTAGCTACTCAGAAGGGAGAGATCAGGAGGATCATGGTTTGAAACCAATGAAGGCAAATAGTTCACAAGACCTGATCTCAAAAAAACCCATCACAAAAAAAAACAGATGGTGGAGTGGCTCAAGGTGTAGTCCATGAGTTCAAATCCCAGTACTGCAAAAAAAAATAAATAAATAAAAATAATGAGATCATGAGCTTTGGAAGCATTTCTAAAAACTGTTGGCAAATTCTCTCAACTCAAAACTTTAAAATGTATTTTTTTTAGTTTAAAACTAATCATTAGCAAAATGTTTATCAGTCATTTCACATTTACTATTTTCAAAGTTTACTTTTACTATGTATATCATATATTGAATTTTCAGCATTGACAGAGGTTTTAGAAATACCATAAAGTATGATAGAGCTTTTAGAAATACCATAAAGTAAAATAATATGAATACATATTTTATAATATATGGTATTTTCATTTCCTTTCTCACAAAAGGTAATCTGAAAAGAAGACCACAAGTCTAAATTACTAAACAAAACGTATATTTATACTTTACTATATAACCTACACATATAAGACCTCCCCAACTTATAAGAAATTAGAAAATAAGAAAATAACCTGTTTGACTGGCAAGCCAATATGAGCAGGATCAGAGCAAGTGGAAAAAGATAAAACAGGTATGATGGACATCCAGAGACATAGATAGCCTGAGGTTTTCATTATAATCTGAACATATATCTAAATTCTCTATATATTCAGAACAGGTATTTTAGGCTTTCCCAAAAGAAATAATCAAGAAATTATAATAGACTTTTTAAAAAGCAAAAGGTAACAGTGAAAAAATTGAAATAAAAGGATAATTTTAGTTTAATTTCGTATCTACATTCCTATTCTGAAATAAAATTCTTTTACATCATTATTTAGAGTATAAATTTCTACATTCCAGAAGCAGATCAGCATCATGGGTAAACACAGGCCCTGAATCCATCCACCAGGTCACAGCAGGCTATTACACTGGACAAGGAGCCCCTCTATGCCACAAATCTTTCTTGCCTAAAAAACTGGATGAACATAGTTACTTTATAGAACTGCTGTAAGAATAAGGAAATTCATACACATATAGCACTTACAACAATGTCTCACACATCATTAGCTATCAGTTGATATCTGTTATCAACATTATATAATCTATGTACTGTCAATGTGCCTATCTACTGGAGTAGGGTAAAAATTTCTATAAAGAGCACTTTTAAGCAAAAGGCAATAAAAATAAGAAAAACCTGTCAATATGAAGAATAATTTTCGATTAAAAGCTTAGTTTTGCTTTGTTCTGCAAAACACATTTATCAATAAAATTTTCTTCAGGCTAAATCTAATATGAAAGTTTAACATTTCGCTCACACACTTAAAAAATAAATCCCTTATATATTATGAAAATTACAAGAAACTCAAAATATTCTAAGGCCACTAAGGACAAATGAGGACTTGTCTTCTTCACAAGTAAAACAGATTCGCCAATTAGATGAACTTGAAAATGAATGAATTTAATAAGCAAATAATATTACTATATTTTCTACACCTTAAGTACACTGAGGAAAGGAAATCAAGGTATCTTCCTTAAGGTGGGGGAAAGATGTCAATCAAAGGCAAAGAAAAACAAAAGTATGATAAAAATCCATTACAAATTGACAATGTAGGTGAGGGTCTGTGTATTTTTTATATACATGTAGTCAGGGAACATAGTCAATGCTTGAGCACCTCCTAAATTAGCTATGTGATCTTAATTAAGCTAATAATTTAATCTCACTGTTCCTGAGCTAGTAACACTTTATGGGGTTGCGAGAAGTAAATGAACTTCATACAGATTACCAGTTCGTGTGGACCCGTGGGTACAACTCAAACAACAATCTGGACACATTTATGAACATGCATTATTACAGGGAGAACTGGAGTTTCAGCTTTCTAGACACTGAAAGGACTCTGCTTCTCTCATCACCACTGCTAGCACACCCTTCATTCATCGACATGCACATCAACACCCACCACCATTACCACCACTGTGCCCACACAGCACACCTAATATTGGGAAAAGACAGACCACAGGTCACTATATGGATTCTTAAAACAGTTTTCCTCAATTATGAATGTTTTCACATTTCATTTTCTTAACTCACTTTTTAAGTTATAAACTCATGGTGAAAAAAAAGCAAATCAAGAGAATACAGACTAATTTTTAAACTATCAAAGTGACTTTGGGAATACGACCATTATGAACTAAGGATTAACTGTGTATGTTTAGCATAGATTAAAAGATTTATTAACCTCCAAATGTTTAAATCTCATTTTCATTCCCAACTAAACAAAAACAGTAACTTAAGGTATAAGAACAGTAATCTTAAGGCACAAGAAAAATTTTGTACCAATTTTTTTTAATCTTCTATGAAAATACCCTTGCTGTAAAGATGTTATCTTAATAATTAGTAGCATTTTTCTTGTATTTAACATCAAGAAGTTGTTTATAAATACAAATTAAGTTACATGTAGCTGAATATTAAAATCACTGAATGTCAGTTAAATTAAATATCAAAACCACTTTGAATATTAAACTTCGATTGTGCTATAGACCAGCAGTTAAAAAGATGTTAGCAAAAAAGAAAATAGAAATTTAAACCAAAATGGACAAAATAAATTCAGCAAACAAGACCAATGAAAATATATAAATTTAAATAAGTCAGTATGACATTAAGAATCTCAGAAGTTAAAAACTTTTCTTAAGTTACTAATTCAAAATTTATGGCCTATTTTCTCATGCGCTTGAATTTTGGAAGGAGGATAGTGGAGAGGCAAGCTGGAGGGAATGCTAGATTCAGAAGAGCCAGGCAGAACTCCAGAGGATGGACAGAAGGGGGGGGGGGTGGAGTTAAACACTTAAAGTTTGAAGGGTCCTGGGAAAAGTCTGTTCAACTAGGGGTGCTCCTCAGTAGGAACAGTAACATCTACATCTGTTTCTTCAGTGGTAGAGGACTTAATAATTACATAAATATCAGTATGTTCATTTCAAATTTATCAGTCATTCACCGTGTTTTTCTGAACTGAATTCAACATGATCTGTGTTTCAAATCAGGAGTCATAAACTAAAGTCAGTTTCACATGACCAAATCTGAAGTTTCTGCTAGGAGAAATATTACTAAATTAGTTCATCATGTATCTGATTTTGCTAAATGTTAAACTATACCTTCAACCTATTCATATAGTGGACTCTAAAGAATATAAACCTAAAATATTTAGCCTTAAAGTAGAGAACTATGCCATTATTATAACTCCTCGAAAAACCAAGTGGAATCTGTCAGGATGCACTAGTAAATCACACTTAAAAAAGAGAGGTGGGAACAAGGCATTTTGTTACCTCTAGAAGATTGTGATTTCAACCCAAAGAAAACAAAAGTGTCGAAATTTTTACTCTCATCCATCTGTCATCTCCCTAGTAAGTTTTTGGTATAAGGGGAAAGGTCAAAGGACTCTTATTTACATGAGAATCGGCTGACAAAAGGACAGATGGTAGCCCAAGAAAGATGACAGGATCAGGCGCCTCACTCCCAGCCACTGTTAAATACTTCAGACATGATAAAAGAATGGAATCAAATTACCAGATTACATATTGTGGTTCTAGCACCGGGGTCTCAGGGTTTACTCCAACTCATAATCCCACTCCAAGGCAGTCAAATTAGGAGCTGACAAGAAAGAAAAACTGGCTTCTTCCAAACCCAATCAATGTAAAACCAGACACCAAGCATTCAACTCAGTTCAAGTAAAAGAGTACTTACTGAAATGTATTATTTAAAACAATCTGGGATATCACAAGGGATACCAACCAAGAGTAAAATGCATACCCTTCAGGGTCCCAATTTAATGAGACTGATAAAATAACAACTAAAACTCTGAGCAGACATTTTTAAATCCTATGAAAGAATGAGTTGGGATATGAGAAGGAAAACTGGAAGGTAGCCATTGAACTGTTTTAGAGATGATGATGCAGGACATGAAGTCTTCTATATATGAACTCATCCTACCTACCACCAGTATACACTCAGCCTAACGTTCTGCTTTTCATTCAATGCACTCTTCTCTCTAGTTCCCACAACACTGTGCTTTGCTTCAAGCTTCCTTCTCATCTCCCTGGCTTTCTTTCTCACGGCTTTTTCCAGTTCCCTTCTCCACACAGAAGCAACAATGATCTGTAACTCCTGTATGCTATCATTTTCTTGAGTTTCGGTCAGATAAATTCTAATCTCCTTTGCACAGTATACAAGCCACTTATTTGCCAGTCCTCATCTGTCATTTTCACTATGCTCCCTGGTAGTTACACATTTTTCCCTATTCTTTAAAGTCTCAAATACTACCTGCTCTGTAAAACCTCTCCTTATTCCCTTAGTTCTCTGTATTTATTCTGATAAGATTATTTTTATTGTAATAGGATTGTATCTTGCATGTACTGGTTAAGCTCTAAGATTCTTTAGGACAGAGAATAATAACAATAACCATTCTTTGAACACCTAAATTCTGTGCAATATTTTAAGTGATTCCTTAGAACTATCCCAGTTCAGCCTCATCATAACCCTTCACAGTAAGGTATTATTAGCATCATATTAGCATCATCTCCCTTTATTTATGAAGAAACAAAAGTGCAGTTTAAGAAACTCACTCAAGATGTGCGTTCAAAAAACCTGGGCAGTCTAACATTACAATAGCTCCTGCTTTTTAACCAGTTTCATATAAGATACAGATGAATAGGAGATAGGCAGATGATAGACAGACAGATAGATATGCTAATGTAATGGAGACAGAAAGATCTAGTGAAAAGTAAAAAGTCCTAAGGTGGGTAAGCAAGAGGCAAAACAGTATAATGAGTATAAGGTAGGTCAGAAATAACCCTACAATGTGACCTAATGATTCCAATAACTATATGGACTGAACTTGGTAAGAGGCATTTAGCAGTCTTCCTTGCAGTACACTAGCAACTTAATCTTGAGCAGTGCTTTCCCAATTTGCGTGCATAAAACTCTAGTTTCCTGGGATATTAAAAGAAGTACTCCCAAAGTGTCTTGTGAAAAAATGATTTGCTAGGTTAAGTAAAAATGGTTTGCTAGGCTTTTTTGATTAGAGAATTTGGTAAAGTTACTGTATCTTTTGTATTATAAACTATAGTTTTCCCAATCTGACTAGAACCCAGAATCCTTTTCTCATAAAGTATCTCACAGGCCTGGTGTTAAACAGGACAGCTTGAAAGCTATCTTTTGGACCCAGATTCATATTGTGAACTGACCGCTGCTCATTCGTTTCCAAGTTAAATTAGATCAATAAAAGCAGAATACAGGAAGCATGTGCTAAGAGTACAAAGTCTAAGATATACTGGAAAGATTAAATGTCTTCGGGTATCTCAACACAAGGAAGCAATTCTCCTCTCTACATTACAATCACAATATTTATTGATAGCTCTACAACATTTATCTAGCCTGACTTCAACAAGTTTGCTATACGCAAAAGCTGAGTTACTCAAGAAGTATTTTACTCATCTTTGCACAAAGCTTCACAGTAAAAATATTAATAATATGGGCTGTAAAAAAGTATTTTGATTTAGAGAAATACATCTTAAGTGAAGTTAGCCAGGTTCTGAAAGCCAAAGGCCACACGTTTCCTCTCATATGTGGAATATAGACCCAATACAAATACAAGCAATATTATGAAAAACAGGTCACGCTACAGGGGGAAGGGTAAAAGAAGAAAGCTAAGAAGGTGAATATGGTTGATGTACTTCCCACACAAGCATAAATACGGAATTTTTAAACCTGTCGAAATCACCATAAGAAGGGGACTAAGGTAGAAAGGAGAAAAATAGAGGTGGTGAACCAGTTCGGGTTGTAATACATATATACATGGAAATGTCACAATGAAATACCTTGTATAGAACAAAAATGTCTTTTTTTTAACAAAAACGGAGAAAATGAAGGCAAAGCTAGTCTTGTCTGTGGGGTTGGTGTCAGTGAGAAGAGGGTGTAGGAGGGTGAATATGGGGGAATATTATATACTCTTGTATACAAATAGAAAAATGAGTCCTGTTGAAACTATTCCAGGAATGCGGGGAGAGGAATAAAGGAGAATGATAAAGGTGAATTCAACTATGATATATTGTAAGAACTTTTGTAAAAGTCACAATTGAAAAAAAAAAGGTATTATAAAAAACATAAAGTAGTAGCCACTAAAATGCCACAGTGTAGTGCATATCTTGGGGTATTTTGACAACTAATTACCAATCCTTATAAAATTAATTTTCACATATACCAACAACAAAAGTAACACAAAAGTACAAGACATATGGGAATATGTTAAACTGTATAAATAATTTTACAAGATCACATTGCACTTATCTCTTTTTATCATTATATGTGCAGAATACAGTTTAGTTTCATAACTTCAGTTTACATTTAAATAGCTTAACTACTGCAATTTAAAAGTATATTTAGAATACTTCACAAAAGGCATTTCCCAAAATTATTTCACTAGCAAACATTAGATATCTCCAATATTCACTGACATAAAACGTCAAATTACAGACCACATTTCCCACATACTTTTTTCTAAAAAAAGAAAAGGTCATTTATTATTCATTAGTCTAATCTAAAACATCCTAATTCCAAAAAGTGCTGGGTACTGGAAAGGTGAATGCATTTAAAACTCACATATTACCATGCATAAAGGAATGTAGAATACAGATTATCAAATTGAATCTAATATAATCTAATTAAATTTTCATGACTCAGAAGTTCGTGCTTATCTCTGAAATTATACTGACATATAAATCAAAGCTATATATAATTACTGATATTCTGGAGTCTTTTATACCAAGTACAGGACTCATAATCTATTACGTTAGGACATGATGAAGAACATCTTATTAATGATAATATAAATACCGAATTTCTGCATCATGACAAATTTAAAATAATAGGATAAACTATGTATTAACAATCAAGTTATCCCCCCTACTTAAGCACTCTTTTTAAAAGTAACTTTCAAGTTTAGTTTTAAATTATCACATTTAAAATATTCATGAAAATTGACTGGAGACAGAAAACAAGCTTTCTTTTCTTTTCTTACCTATCCGGTCAAATGTTTTATCACACTTGGGACACTGCAGTATTTTTTTGTTACTGTTCTGAATGATGACTGGAGCTAAGCCTTCGTGAAGGTTTTCTACAGAGTCTCCAGCCTCAGGTTCCTCTTCAGCATCATTGTCTTTGTCGCTCTGCTCTTCAGTGTCGGAGTATTCATCTGACATTTCCTCCTCTATCTCATCTTCCTCAGCATTATACTCACTTCCAGGATCCTCAGAATCATTTCTATCTGACTTTTCCTTATCAAAACTTTCTTGATTCAAATTGTCTGATCCATCACCACTTTCTTGTTCATCATCACTGGTGTCATCGAACTTGACAGGACACTTCCTATTCCTTTTTGATCTTCTTGCAGAAAAACTTCTCTCCAGCATTTTTAACCCATGTTTTTTCCCTAATAAAAGGGACCTATGAGTTTTAGCCAAATGATTCTCTAAGGACTTTTTATAACAAAAATGTCTACTACAGAATTTGCACTGATGATTATTTGATAGTCTTCCAGTTAACTCGCTTAGTGTCTCTTCTGGCGTTGACTTTTCAGTCAGCTCTGACTGAAAAGTGGCAACATTCTCGTTATTTAGCAGCTTTACCGCATCTATAATGTCTAAAAATTTTGCAGCCTCTAAAACAAGAGGTATTTCATATTTGTACACGAAAAACTCTGATGTGTAAAGAAACTCCAGCAAATGTTGAAACACTGAATGTGTTACGTGATCCAGAGTGACAACATCCGTGCTTGGATTTTTGCTCAAACACGCATGAAAATAACTACTGCCAACAGCAACGACTACTTTATGTGCACTAAACTCTTTTCCTTCTACTATGATAAGCAAGTCGCAGAAGGATGGTTGCTTCTGCCTATCATCATTCAAATACTTCAGCAAATTTTTATTATATTGCAAAGAACTCAAAAGCTTTCTCTGATCTGGAGAAGGAGGAAGCTGCTGATAACAGTGAAGAGCTTCAGGTCTTTCCGTAGAACGAGTGTAGGTCACTTGGTCACACTCCACAGCGGCATTTCCCTCTGAAGACTCTTTATGATAGCCTAGATGGATCTTCTCGTCAAGATTTGAAGTAACCTTTCTCCTCTTCTTCATTGCAGTACAGCAATTTCAGAACAAGAAACTTCCTAAGTGTCGTAAGGGATACATAGAGGAAACTAGATTGTCTCGGACAACAGCTTCTGGAGGGGCGTGCCCGACGGTTTCATGGTCTGCAAAAGAACCACGGAAAATAACTCGATAGCCAAGCAATGTTAAATAACCAAAGGCGCTTACTTGTCAACTGATCTTTTCTACATCATAACTAAATTCTACCAAAGTCACAGCTTACCTTCATCGTTGGCTAAGATTTCAGGGCGGAGAACAAGGGCAGCTAGGTTAGAAAAGACCACCAACAAAAGAATAATTTTCAAGGAAGCCAGAGCGCACCTTCCGGGCCTGATGCACAAACAAGCTGGAAATAACTGGGCCGGGACGGAGGGAGGGATGCCTGCAGGACAGCGGACCGTGCAGACTGCGGGGTCTGCAGTCAGAGCTTAGGCGCGCTGGGGCAGTGACAATAAGGCCGTGGCGGCCGCAGAATCCGGGTCTCCCCGCGAACCTGCTCAACAGCGCCGGCAAAGCGCAGCTCTGCGGAGGCGGCGCACGTCCCTCTCCCCAAACCCGGGCCAAAAGCGGCCCCCAAAGGGCACTGACTAGGAGTGGGGTCAACCCGAGCGACGACTAAAGGAGGCAAAACAGCCTCCCCAGGCCCTGGCCAGGCGGAGAAGACGCTTGCCGACGAGATATCCACTGCCCTTCCCACCCGGTTTCCCTAGGCAGACGCCCCACGGATCCATTTTACCGGGAACCCCGGGCTCCCCCACTGGCTCCCAGCCGCTCGGCTCCACTCCAGGGCGCGCTCGCGCCAGCGCCTACCCACTTCCGGGTTCAGCCCCCGCCTCAGCGCCCACCCCGGCGCTCCTTCCCTTCGCGGAGCCTCGCCGCCTCCGCACCACCGAACACGTCCACGGCGCGCGCCGCCTCCGAGCCACCCCGCGCTCCCGGCGCGCGCCTAGGTGTGCCCCAGTGCGCATGCGCGCGCCGCCTCCAAGCGGCCCCACGCATCCGGCGCGCGCGCGCTCAGACGCCTCCCCAGTGCGCATGCGAGCGCTCGCCATCCAGCGCATGCGCCTTAAAAAACTGACTGGATGCCCCAGGGATCCTCAGCTATGTCTGGATCCATTGCTCCGTATCTTTCTGGTGACTTGGTGGCCTATGGGGATTGAACCGGAGGAGCTTGGCTGACGGAGAGGAAGCGGGCAGGATTGATGCGGAGTTTAGAAGAAAGTGGCGGAGCACGACCCGACTTCGTTCTTCCTGGTGGATTTAATACTTTGTAACCGCCGAAAGCCCCTGGCAAATGCCCAAAGAACCCAAGTCGATGTCACCTTGTTATATTTTTTTTCTAACTTAAATGGCAAGATTTAAGTGCAGGCGCTCCTAAAACTGTGGGGTGGTTTAAAAAACGAAAAGGATTGTGCACAGAAAACAGAAACGGTGCATGGAAGTGTACAGCTGCTAGGAAAGAAAAGGAAGACAAAACAAAAGAGGAAAATCCCAAAGGACAACTTTTGTTGCTGGTGTCTGAGATTTTGCGTTCCTGGCAAGTCCTAGGTGGGCTGAAATTGGTGGTCTGAGGGTCGCATTCTGAACAGTCAGGTCCTCGATCTAGTGACTATGCAGACTAGGGAAAATAAGACAAAAGCTGAGACTAAATGAAATGGATGTCCCCATATCCACCCTGAAACCCCCTCCCTCACAGCTGAGAATCTGAGAAGACCTGGAGCGGGGATTCTCCTATAGAGAAAGGGAGACAGGAAATACCTAAACTTCGTTTTATCAAACACCTGACTCTTTGTTGCTGTGAAGGTTTGCAAATGACACTGAGTAAAGGAGATTCCTGTCCAGTGATGTGCCTAGCCCGCCCTCATCCGATCAGTTTACAGCCTCAAGAGCAAAGACTGATGTTTGCCAAATAAGCCCCTCAACCTGAGACTAAGTCTTAGAAACCCTGAGTTTTCAGCCCAGCAGAATTCAGACTCAAGTGTGGAACTTCCAGCCTGTCCTTTAGCCACCTACTAAAATCATTTGAGGCAATGCCTACAATTAAATCATTATGTCTATCTTATTTCTCTGTTGTGTGCTTCTGTTTCCCTGGAAAATCCTGACAAAACCACCCGGGACAGGCATTGAACCTTGATTCTTTTTCTACGTGCCTCTCAGTAGTCAGAGCTTGTTTTGTTGAGGTGGGATCTAGCTAACTTTTTGCCCAGGCTGGCCTTGAGCCATGATCCTCTAGGTCCCTGCCTCCTGAATAGCTGTGATTACTAGCTTGGCCATCAAGTTGGGCCCTTAAGTTTGCATCTTAATGAAGCCTGGAATACACAGTGAATTCCAGGCTAGGACAGCCTACATGGCAGAAGGAGACCCTGTCTCAAAAGCAAACAAAAAATGTACTATAATAAAACTCAAACTTCTAAACAGGAATAAACTGGAAATGGTCTTGCTAACATGAGTCATATTTCAGAAAATATTTAATCAGTCATACAAATTTATAAAGGTTACATGAAGGAGTTCCAGAATCAGTAAGAATGTTTAAGATTTGACCTTTTGTCATGCTACTTCAATTTACTTTTAGACACAAACAGATAAATGAAAGCATTGTAGAACTTTTCCCATTAATAATAATACATTGTTTATATTAATAATGTATGTCAATAGGAATATTAACTGAGTCTCGATTTAGTCTTCTAGAACATTTATCTCCTTTTTTGGTAATGGAATCATTGATTTAAATTTATACTTCCTTAAATTCCCTGACAGTTTCAACTTAATCATAAAATCAAAAGTTGGAACACCTTTAAGTTTTTTATACTTAACATACTTAACAACATGTATGGTTGTACACACTTGTACTCGGGCTGGAAGATGGAGATTTCCATCTGAGGGAAGTTAGAGAGGCCCTATCTCAAAAACAAAATACAAAACAAAAGGGCTGGGGGTGTGACCCACGTTGCACAGCACTTGCCTAGCATGCACCAAGGCCCTGGGTACAATCAATGGTACTACAAAAAAAAAGTTTCTTTTTGCCTCTGGACTTCAGAATATATATAGTTTCCTTTCCTTAGAATATGCTTCCTACATTGGTTCTCTTCCTACTATTCATCTTTTTGATTCAAACTGCAATGTACTGGTTTTTGTACCTTTTTTATTAATTATTATAGTTAATTATTATCTTTGTTGCTTGTCTATCTCATCTTTAAGACAAAAATCTTTTGAGGACAGAAGACATACTAATTTCATTTACTACTGTATTTTTAATAACTAGTTAAATTCAGAGTAAATACTTTTAAATAAGTAAACTAGCTGGACATTGTCAAATTTCACCTTAATGAGAAGCCAGAAGTATAAAAGAGTATTGTTTCTTGCTGACATTGAGCTCCTTTTTCACCCTTAAGCAATGTGAAGATTTAAATTTTATACTCAAGGAATCCAAAAGTTTAAGTCCTGATGTGATATTTACCTTTACTGAAGATTAATTATGGTTCAAAAATCTACAGAGCTAGATTATTTATTTGAAGTACAGCAATGGCAATTTTATAAACTTACTCTCAGATATTGTAGCAGTTAAGAGAACAGCAGTGATCTGTAATGAGGTCAAATCTGAAGAAGGCGTAGGTTTCTTTCAAAGCTGGTGTGAGTACCAGCTGCCTCAGGTGAGGAATGAGACCCTAGGGTAGGAAGGGTTCTGTATGGTCTTCTGGGAAAGAGCAAGTAAGGAAAACACAGTAATAAAGTAGCATTCAAGTCTTTCATCTAATGACGATACCATAAAGAAAGGACATTTAAGAAAGTGAAAAGAAAACCCACAAAAAGAGAGAGATATTTGTAAATCATAAACACCATAAGAATGATCTAATATCCAGAATACAAAGAACTTACAAGTCAAAATTTAAAAATAATAGCCCAGGAGCCAGCAATTCCACTTCTACATACCTACTGAAGACAATTAAAAACACATGTTCACACAACACATTGTACACAGATGTCCATAGTAGCATTATTCACATTCAAAAAGTGGAAACAACATAACTGTATGAGCTGATGAATTGATAAACAAAATTTGGTATATCCATACAACTGAACATTGTTTTGCTATAAGAAGAAATAAATAATTAATACATACTACAATATGGATAACTAGTGAAAACATCACACTAAGTGAAAGAAGTAAAACACAAAAGATCACATATGGTCTGAATCCATTTATGTGAAATGTGGACAATCATGCAAAAGTAGATTAGTAAGGAGTAGGGAAAAGAGGAGGGAAATAGGGTGTGACTGCAACTGGATACAGGTTTCTTTTTGGAGTGATGAAACTGATCTAAAATTAGTGGTATTGGTTGGCCAATCTTACAAACATACTGAAATCCACTGTAAAATGTAGAGCTTCATAACATATAAATTTTATTTCAATAAAAATGATATATTTTAGCCAGGCATCAGTGACTCATACCTGAAATCCTAGCTAATTGGAAGACAGAGGTCTAGAGGATTGTGGTTCAATGCCAGCCCAGGCAAACAGTTAACCCCATTTCAACCAATAGCCGGGCATAGTGGCAAGAGCCTGTCATCCCAGCTATGGTATGAACTGTAAAATAGAAGGGTCATGGTGTGGTCTAGTCTGGGCATAAAGGAAGACCCTATGTCCAAAATAAACAGAACAGGGTTAGAGTGGCTCGAGCTGCAGAGCACCTGCCTAGCAAATGCAGAGTATGGCCAAAAAATAATGATATATTTTAATAGATTGTGATAGCATAGAAAATGCTTATGTAATAAATTTTTGTGAAAAGAGGGTTTTGTTCACATGGTAGAGTCATATGTAGAAAAGAACTGCACTGAGTAAAGACTGAAAGAGACAGCCTCAGAACAGTGACAAAGGGTTTTCTCTAGGTGGTGTGATGCTGCAAGATTTTCTCTCCACCAATAAAAAGCAACTTCAGCACTTCTAGTATAAATATATATTTTTAACGGGAAAAGCAAATTTTTGAATAGTAGTACAAAGAGAAGGTGTCAGAATGCCACAGTATTTGCAGGGTCTTCTCAACTTTAGACTTCAAAGTTGGACCATGTCACATATGCAAAACAATGAGTAAAGAAGTTCTATCACCTTATCATGAAAACACAGTGACTGGGAAAGTTTGGCATTGTGTTAGGACTGCTTTCCTGACAAGCAAGAAGGTATCACCTTGACTGTATCTCACACAATTTAAACCTCTGTATGTGGGGACATGAGAGTGAAGGCACTGATCGATTGCAAGAGCACATTTTTATAGTTAGGGAACAAAATGCCCCCTTAGATATTCTCATAAAAGTCTGGATTCATAACCTGTCAGATCAATTGCCTTTTTTTAAGTTTCCTGAATCAACCAATCATGCTGGGGCCATACACCCTAGTTGATAACTACTACTCTATTGTTTGGCTGGAGTGCAGCAAATGTGGAGGTCAGTGAAGCCGGACTAACATCCTAAGAAGCAAGAGTGCTGTGTGGGCCAGTTATAAGGATGCAGAAGTTTCTTGGGCATGAATAATGCAAGATTTCTGGATGGTAGGGACTATAGGGTGGGATGTGGTGCAGTCAGACATGTGAACCTTAAAGGAGAAAATTTAATCTTACATAATGTAAAAGAATGATGAATTGGAAGTGATATGGGGAGCAAACGGGAGGCGTGTGTGCTGGGAAGCACCAATTTGAGCAGCTACAGTAGCAACAGTACCCTTGAGGAACACAAAGTTTAAGGTAAGGCAAGAAGTTGGAGGGAAGATTTACTGAAGAAGTTAGAGTTAGGAAAACATTTTTGCACAGCAAAAATCCCAGTGCAGAAGAGCACCCCATAGCGGGGACACAGACTGAAGAGACCAAAGCTCACAAAGCTAAT